ATGAAGTTGATCAGCATGTTGCAGCGAACCTTCTGACAAAGTTTCATATTCGAAATCGGGAATCCCAAGGTAATGCATACTATTTCCATAAATCATGAATCTGGCGCTGACCTCCATTTCCGCCTTACATAGTAAACCCACATTATACCCTCCCATTCCAATTTTTATAATGAAGCATGGGCTCTTTTTTAGATCAACGTGATCAGCATGTCCAAGAGCATCTTGTGTGAAAGTTTGAGGTTTGAGATAGGAAATCTCAGTATCAAGTATTGATGTACAGTGTACATGCATTTATACAAGAGGTGTCCGATCTATATGATTTTCACTTCTTTCACTCAACTACTTCCCTCTTCCTCCTATTCTCATCTGTTGCCCCATTCAAGCATACAACTACCACCTGCGAACGATTGTCCTGCTTCAACCCATCATGTCAATCCTACAACTATCGTGATCCGATTGTCTTTGACTGAATGGCAGGTCCATGGCGTGTACACACCCTCTACAACACCTGCCTTTCCTGATACTACACACCCTCTTGCACATTCTTCTGCCATAATCAATCGTAACAGCATGCATTTCAGCTACTAGCAAGACCTTTACTCTATTGGTTCAAACAGCCTTTACAAGCTTGGCTATCTACTACAACATAGCCTTTGCCACGACCAAAACAACAGCAGTTGCTACCAGGAGGTCTTTACTCCATTGTCTCAAGTTACTTGCAGCTACTTGCTTTGGTACATACGGATTCCAATGGATGGGGTGCCACATCAGCTATCAAGTTTACCACAATACAAGCAAGCTTCACCTTGTTGAGATGCGCTACAGACAATCAGGCGTGATGGAAAAGGAAGCAATCAGCAGCAGCCACAGAATGCTCTTTCTTATTGGACTTGCAATGGTTGTGGTGGGTGGATGGATGGAATCAAGTGCATGATGAGAAATACTGGCATGTTGCTTTGGTTACTTGGCACGTCGTCGGCAGGAATGATCATGTCGCGTGGATACGGCTGTGGATGGGCATTGACGAAAGGGATTGTATCTTTGACGAGAGCTGTTTTACGGCCATGGACGATATTGGAGTACTCGATTCAATGCTACAAGCCGCTACTTTGCAATCATGGATGAAGGATGATTATGACACCAGCAACCAAGAATACAATGACATCATTATCCCCGTTGCCTCTATATGATTCACTCGTTCCTTACCGTTTAATCCTATTCCTTCATCATGTTTGTTTGGTAAACATCCACACTACACCATATGCTATTCTTTGACTTTTTCATTGGATGATTCTCATGATAACGGCGACTTCAACAGATGAAAGCTACCATGGCAAACAAGTTATGTACAAGCATGTGGATTTAGCTAGGATATTCCTTCCTTCTTGTTGCTTGTGGATTATACCTCATTGGATGAAATAAAGGTGGTATCGGTGTTGTAAGTCATTCAATACGATGTACTCCTAAGATGTTGCGCTTGAGAAAATGCATGGGCGAAGGGATTTCGGGTCCTGTAGGATGCAAGTAGCTGCAGCATCAAGATGAGAGAAACAACAACAGTATCTTAATCCAAGACATTTATTGAAGCTTTGGATGATGGAAGCATACGGCAACCTAACGTAGTCTGCTAATGGATCAAGGCACAGGAGGTATGCTCTGCCATATAGAATCAGTGCCCCAACGAGAGGGAGGTGCCTGATCTCGGCTCCATTAGATCGTGGAAGGTCCAGCAATCAAGATCGCAACATAAACATAAACCAGGATCAACAAGGTACTCGATCGCTGTTATGCTCCTGTTGGTGGCTGGTATCAAACAAGAGCGCTTGTCGTAGTAGTCGTACTTGGTGTATAGAGTCAACTCTTGTGCACATGTTTTAGTAGTTGATCGTGGGGATTTTTTAACCTCTCCTTCCTTTTCCACCACCACCACCACACACACTATTGTCGATACACTTGAAAGATCCTTAAAAATCGATAATAAAAGATCACGAAATCGGGACCAGCTGAGTCAGTAGTAGTACACAAATGAGTATGCGGCATGCGTGTCGTGAACCCCCTGGTCTGTGCGCCGAATTTATACTATATCAAGTAAAGAATAGCTATGTCTCCGCTTCCCTGCTATGTTTCACCATGCACATTACATCTTTTCTTTCAAAAAGTACCCTTTATACAAGTTAAAAGCATGCCTTTACTACTGATCTCTACACGCTGAGTCAATAGCCAATGAGATAAGAGTCCCAAAAAGGTCATAATAGCCAAACGGACGTCAGAGCTGGGAGCGAAATTGGGATCGAAAGGTATAAAAGAAGGGCGTTTCCCCACACTTTTTTTCTCTTTTTTCTTTTCATCAGAGCACCGTTACCAATTCCGTAAACATGAGGACTGTAATACCTTCCAAGTCTTAAAGGCCTGTTCAAGGGGGGCTTCCTTTATTGCGACCGTAACTACCTTGCAGTTCTTTAAGCTCTGGTTAAGGGCTGCTTCCTCACTGTGCCTTGGTCAAGGTTGGTGTCCTTGGCTAAAGGCGGGAATGATGAGGCAAACCTTCTCGTGGTCATTCCTGTGAGTACATGAGTCGTCTTAGACTTGTGGAAACCAATTGCCTCCTTTAGTTCTTGTTTTAATCTTGAATGCAAATCATACATAATAAACTCTCATCTCTTTAAAACATAAACTCGAGCTTTAATGAAACAAGCAATACCTCAAATGATAGAGAAAAGTGCTGCGGTCAACATGAGACCAAGGTTGGGTGGGGTAGTATTGGTGGAACACGCTTAAAAACGCGATAATACTTCCCGGACCCGAGTCTTTTGGTTGCACTTTTTCATTGTTTCTAGACAAATAAGATATCAAACGATAGAGAAAAGTTGTGCGATCAACATTATGTATACATCGTAGGACACATGTTTGAGAGACGTGTGGAAAAGCGCGCTTTTAGTTGGTTGACACGCACTTTTCCCCTTTCTTTGTCCATAGGTACCTCCACCAAATTCCATCCTTTTTACACGAGTAATACTGCAAACAATAGAGAAGCGTCATATGATTAAGATGATATCAATAAAGTATATGCAAGTTTATTTGGATCAGGGGATAGAGTGGTATGAGGCAACAAGAGCAAGTGGTTCCCATTCAGATAGTTCGCACTTGACCCCTTCTTTTCTCCGTCACTTGCATTCTAACTCTTCTTTGCCGATCGACGTTGAGGATCTTGACCCTATACTTGTGGCATCGATGGCCAAAGATCTGGAGCATTGGTAAACACAAGATCGTCATTGCGAGCCTTCTTGAACACGAAGAGAGCGTGGATCGCACATACACTAGTGCATACAAACTCACAACCTACCTCTGGATATGGATCATTTTGCCATGGCAACGCACAGAGTATCGTATGCTGTTGGTATAGCTTTTACGCCTTCTCAGCAGCCAACCGACATTGTGGACGCTTGTTATGGTTATCAACGTTTGGATCCAAGGAGGGTGTGCACTGCATGAATGGACGGCAGACCATCAACTCATGATTGGATTACGGCCTTTACAAGTGCGTTCCATATGTGATGACAGCAACCCACCAACACTACCTTGTTGATGATAATGACGGAGCAAGATTGGATTGTATTGAATGGCTATGCCCTTGGCAGTACTTTTACGTCGCCACAGTTAATAGATCCCCACCATTGCATCATACCTTTGTAATCATCGAATGGATCATCTCCTTTTACATTATAAAGCAGTACTATATACTATACTTTTGTTGCTGAAAGACCGGATATTAAAGTATACATGTATCATCAAAGTGATTTGGGATGTTGCCAAGTATCAGCAACAATAAGGTTGAGCTCCTGAAAATGCCGCTCTTTCCATACAGCTGACTCGGAAAGATGGTTGTTGTCGGATCGACGGGTGTAATTTATGCATCCACACACAACGTAATGAATGTGATACGAACGTTGGAAATGAACATGATTATCAAGGATATCAAATAATGACAGCATCTTTGACCTAGAAGCCGTCTTACTGAGTCAGCTTTATACATGTGAATGTGAGTGGATGGGCTACGACAACCATGACCACACGTGCTAAGCTAGATCGGATCTATGATGCAAAGTTTTAGAGGTGGGTAACCAAGGATCAGTGTAACACAAAAGTAGCAAGAAGAGAGAGGGTTTCTTATTTGAGGAATAAAGGGCAGCGAATCATGTTACAGAAAAATGCAATGTGGGTGAGAGCTAGGACCACTTTGTTGTTTGAGATTTCCCCCACCGCACACGCACACGCACACACCTAAATAGATCTTATAGGTAAGCAACAACATCTACTCACTATCCCCGATCTCAAGCTGCATCAACACACAGCTTTAGACTTGACGAATCGCATTTTTCGCGCATGAATGATTAGAGCCCCAAAATGAAAACACCGCTCAAAGCATTACGTTTGTTTCGTAGCGTTTTGCCGTGGTTGATGAGTGGCTGGTTGCACCAGGGATTCGGACACATGGTTTTTTGTTTCCTATTTCATCCAATTGCAAACACCCGGGATCCCACATACACCTCGTCGCGTGCTTTCAAGCATGCCATTCATGTTTATGGTACCCAATATTCACATCAACATTGAAAGTCATATGATCTTGACAGCTGCTATTTGACCAGATTGGGATATATACACATTTGCCCTTTGCGTGATACCTGTTACTTTTACCCTTCGTACACGCTATCCTCTTTATCAGCAGCAGCAGTAGCAGGCTGACAAAGAAAAACTTTGAAACCAGGAACCCTTTTAGCGTGGAGCAGTGCCGACGACCGAGAATGCGCGAATTTTCCTATAGGCCAATCCAACCTTGCTGGGTTATCGGATTACTGTTCTGCTGTTTCCATCGGAAACAACGACACATTCACGTTGAACCAGTCTCAATGGTCGATCATGGGCATATGGGTGTCGAAATATAAGGGCACCGGGATGGAGACGTATTTTTGGTTTCTTTTTCTCTTTAACAACTTTTTTTTATGTCTGAACCGCAAAATACCACAATCAGCTTTGCTGATGGCGGCACAAACACACTACCAACAGCAACTACGAACGAGAAAAAGATTCAAAACAATGACTCGACATTGACATTGTCAACGGATACCGAATCCAAATCCGGCAAAACATCCATCAAGGACAAGATCAACCCTTTCAATCGCAAAAAGCCGGTGATGCGAGTGGAAGGTCCTCCTTATCACACCATGGATCTCGATACGGTATGCAGCTTGCTCAAATCCGATCTCGAGCGAGGCGTCGATGATGATCAAGTCGAAGCACGACGTGCTGAATGCGGCTTTAACGAACTACAAGGATCCGGTGGTGTCAATCCAATCCAATTGTTTATTAAGCAATTCGTCAATCTGCTGGTCATGATTCTCTTGATTGCTACCGTAAGTGTTGAAAAGTTCTCTCTCTCGATTGTAAAATGCATGATGATGCTTATCCAATCGATCTATAGATTGTCTCGTTTGTCTACCGTGATTGGATCGAAGGCGGTGTCATTTGCTTTATCATGTTTCTAAATGCCTTTGTTGGTTTCATGCAAGAATTCAAGGCTGAAAAGACCATGGAGTCACTACGCAAGATGGCTTCACCCACTAGCACTGTTATTCGCTCTGGCAAAGAACAAAGTGTACCCACACGTGAACTCGTCGTTGGCGACGTTATCATTCTCAAGAGTGGTGATGTTGTTGGTGCTGATTGTCGTATCATTGAGTATGTTGTTTATTGCCTCATTCACTTTACAATTGTGTAATTAACCTAAATCTCTACTACAGGGCATCTAATATGGATGTGGACGAAGCGCTCTTGACCGGTGAATCTGTTCCTGTCAACAAGAATCCTGAAACATTGCCCAATGCCGAGGTATCTCTTGGAGATCGTGTCAACATGTCCTATTCCAGCACCACATTGGCCAAGGGTCGTGGTAAAGGTGAGTGATCCACGCCACAAATAGATATTGCATCCTTGCATCATACTCACATGAAAATAATCGTAGCCATGATCACTGCCATTGGCATGGAAACCGAAATTGGTCGTATTGCGCAACGTTTGATGGATAGCGATGATGCCAGCAAGACCCCTCTTCAACGTTCCATTGATCGCCTTGCCATGTTTTTGTTCGTCTTTGCTGTTATTGTGGTGATCGTCATTTTTGCTATCTCCAAATTCCAATTGGATGACCAAGATATTTTGTATGCCATTACAACCGCCATTGCTGCTGTACCCGAAGGATTGTTGGCCGTGCTCACCCTTACACAAGCATTTGGTGTCCATGCCATGGCGAAAGCCAATGCTTTGGTGCGTCGTCTTGTATCCCTCGAATTGCTTGGCTCGGTGACCAATATTTGCTCTGATAAGACGGGTACCCTTACTCAATCCAAGATGGTCATGACACGATTTTGGCGTCCAGGAGCTGGTTTTCATTCTGTATCTGGATTGGGTTTCACGACTGAAGGCGAAGCAACGGCTGAAGAGACCAATACCCCTGTTGAAATGACCGATGCCATGAAGCAATTCATCCATTGTGCTGCTTTGTGTAACATGAGCGATGTCCAAGAGAATGAACAAGTATCGGGTGATCCCACCGAAATTGCTTTGCAGGTGTTTGCACACAAGATGAAGATGGGTAAGCCTGCATTGAACGAGAAGAATTGGTCGATGGCGGCAGAATATCCCTTTGATTCGACGATCAAGCGCATGAGTGTATTGATGCGTACACCGGATGGTCATCATGTTGCCTTTGGAAAGGGTGCCACTGAACGCATGTTGGATCGTTGTGGTGGTATTCTCAATGCCGATAACGAAGTTGAATACATGAACGTGAGCGATATGCAAGCATTGATTCTTCCTCAAGTCGAAGCCCTCGCTCGTTGTGGTCTACGTGTGCTTACATTGGTGTATCGCCCTGTCAAGACTGACAAAGATGTCGTTGATCAAGAGACTTTCGCACGTGATTTCATTGAACGCGATATGATCTTTTTGGGACTTGCTGGTATCTATGATCCACCTCGTGAAGAATCCAAGGTTGCTGTTGAGAGATGTCATCGTGCTGGTATCACTGTTCACATGTTGACGGGTGATCATATTGCCACTGCCACTGCCATTGCTCGTGAGGTCTCCATTCTCCCAGCCGATTATGGTCTTGATAAGGACCCTGAAAAGGATGGTCTTGTCATGTCAGCTCAAAAGTTTGACAAGCTATCCGAAGAACAAATCGATGCATTACCTGAACTCCCTCTCGTCATTGGCCGTTGCTCACCAGAAACCAAGGTTAAGGTCATTGAAGCCCTTTATCGACGACGCAAGATCTCTGCCATGACTGGTGATGGTGTGAATGACTCTCCTAGTCTCAAGGAAGCCGACGTTGGTATTGCCATGGGTGAAACAGGCTCTGATGTTGCCAAACAAGCATCCGATATCATCCTTGTTGACGACAACTTTTCAACCATTGTCCATGCCATTGAAGAAGGCCGCCGTGTGTTCGCCAACATTAGCCGCTTTTGTGTACACTTGATCACTGCCAATGTGGCTCTTGCATTCCTCCTGATTGTGGGTCTTGCCTTCCGTGACAGTACTGGAAAGGCTGCATTCGCATTGTCGCCGCTTCAGATTCTCTTCGCCAACTGTTTGACTACGTAAGTACAAGGAAGGAAGAAAGGAACAAAGAAATTTCATGCAGCAGCTGACTTTTTATATGTGTATATAGAACACCTCCCGCACTCGGCTTAGGACTTGAGCCTGTGAATCCACTTCAAATGCAGGTGCCTCCTCGCAAGCGTAGCCATGGCTTATTCCGTGCATCCAATCTATGCGATATCTTCATCTATGGTGTCATTGTCGGTGGTATTGGCTTGTGCAACTTTGCCGTATCCATGTACGCTTGGGGTGACAACGACTTTGGTATCGATTGCAGCAAGAACTACAATGAAACATGCTCAACGGTGTATCGTGCACGTGGTGCTTTGTTTACATCCATTTGCTGCATGTTGCTCATGCACAGCTTCACATGCCGTGATTTACGTAATCCACAATGGTTGCCTTCTTTCTTTTGCGGTGAACGTCGTTGGTATCTTGCTTGGGTCCCCAAGGCTTTCAATCAGCGTCAAAATTGGTACCTTTATTATGCATTTGCATTCACCATTGCCCTCCTCATCATCACCCTTTACGTACCGGTCCTCAACGAAGTTGTCTTTAAGCAACACGGTATTGGTTGGGAATGGGGTATGGTCGCTGCTTCTTGCCTTGTATACACCATCATTGTGGAAATCTACAAGTTCTTTAAGCGTATGGTCGTCCCTTACTAATTTCCCATTTTCTCATCACACTCCCCCATCACATACACACACTTTTCATCCTTCTTCCTCCTCCTCCTTATACATTTTGTACATGTTGCTTGTATTATACCATCTAGAAGATTTAGTTTTGTAATAGAATTTTGTGGGTGGAAGGTATCGCTATTACTCCTTCCTCCCATTTTGCGTTTGTTGCATACATACACAATGATCGTTCTCCTTGATTTGTGATCGGATCTGGTTCGTTTTTATGCAGCTTGCATGCCGAATCATCTCCCGCTCTACTTATGTACTCTACTACATGTGCTGCTGTGATTGGAAAAGCTTATTCTTCATTGTTTGCTCTGTTATGAACATGCATATTGTTGTATTATATATGCACATTGGCGGGGGGGATCTTGTTTGTTTATTCAATGATGCTACTATATCAAACACAAAAGGAAAATATTAAGAAAGGCTACTCGTAGTAGCAGCAGCAGCAGCAGTGGATGGTGTAGTGGCGACACGTTGAAAAGCGGATGGATGAAGGGGAGATGGTGGTGAAGTACGATGAGGAGCAAACGGATGAGGAGAAGTAAAGGAGGCATCATTCGAATCATATTGCTGCTCAAATGATGTCAATAGATTGGCAGCAGCAGCAGCAGCAGTAGCCGCTGTGCTGGATGAGGGGCGTGATGATGATGATGAGGAGTAAACAAGGGGTGGCTGTGGTGTAGTTGCTATGGTAAAAGTGGGCTCATGCGTATCCGTGCGTTGCTGTGCACTGTTGTTATTATTGAGCAAATTGCTAATTGAAGAAGAAGAAGGAGTATGGATCGACAAAAGGTGTGGAGATGATGATGAAGATGGGTGTTGTTGATCACCACGATTATGGCGAATAGGTGCCAGCTGGATAGATGATGTTGATGTATAACCGCCCAAAGGTGCTGTTGTTGATGATGGTGGTGATGACAGGGGTAATGTTGATGATATACTACCAGGTGTTGTCATACTGTTGTAGGATGATGGTAAATGACGATATGCTCCTTTCGGTTGTGCACCGGCGGCTAGCACATTAGGAACAGGAGCAACAGGGGCGGTAGTAGAAGGGGGAGGATATACAGGAGCACTCGTACCAGCACCACTATTACCTATCACCGCTGTTGCTGAAGTGGGAGAATGTTGGTGATAATGAGGGGGAGACGATGGCAACGACGAAGATGAAGACGACGATATGGATCCCACTGTGACTCGATCCGGCTCCTGTTGCTGATGCTGATGCTGCTGTTGTTCATGCTCCTTGCCGCAAGATGTCATCATCATCGTTACACCATTGTTATTACTGCACCTGGCAGTATGGTTGTGTGTTTGATCTAAGGCTAGTAACAATGTGCTGCTTGGAGGAGGTGAAGCATGACTACCATTGCCACTACCACTGCCGCCATGGTGATTGGAGCTTAATATGGCACGTAAGATGTCTTCAATAACCACCAAGCGATGCTCAATAGCTTGAATGTGTGAGGTCTTGTATCGTTGTTGTTGTTGGTGTGATGATGAAGATGCCGTGCTCATTGTTGTTGCGGTGTTATTATTGTTGCTGTTGGTTGTATAGTGGTTATTATTGGCGGGATCATGGTGTTGTTGTTGTTGATGCCGAGATAGTTGATGCGCGCGATGACCAGCAGCAGAGGCATTGGTATTAGTAGTGGTAGTTGTATTAAGAGAAATGAGTTGCTGTTTTTGTTGTTGTGCTTGGCGGTTTGATGAATGACCGGTTGTGCCTTTGGTGGGAGAGCTGATATACTTGCATTCTACCCGAGCCTTTATACACCCTGTGCAAGGCTGCTCTCCATTGCATTTTGTCTTTTTGCGTCTACATTCGCTACAAGCGCTAACCACCTTGAGACGTTTACGCCTTGTCTTGTCGACAGGCAATGCCTTGGTTGCTATCACACCATGTTGTTGAGTCATGACAATTTATAAAAGAAAAAGCGAAAGAAAGAGAGAGAAAGAGTAAAAGGAAAAGGTCACAAGAGGGAAAAAAAAGAGCACAAGCAAACGGGAGTGTTGCGGGCGGCGCGAAAAAGAAGGAGAGCATGGGTAGTTGGGGGAGGAGAATACGAGTAAGATGTGTATGTGTGTGTGTATGTGTGCCGGTGATAGAGCGTGTATGTGCCTTTGTGTGTATGTTTGTAAAAGAGGGGGAGGGATTGTTTTCGGGAAACGTCGGTGCACTTTTACATATACACACGCACCAACATTGCATCCTTGTTGGTTCTTACAGCAAAATCATCAACATGATATAGCTATAACACTCGCCACAATGAGCAGCATTCTCTTCCAAAACAAAGGTGGTGGTGCGATGGTTGCATTCATGATACGACGAGCATTTTGAAATGGAACGGTTGATACCGGGAGCATGATGGTTGTTGTGGGGACACTGATTTTTTGACGGGCACCCTTGATATCGTTGATATGAACAACAAGAGCAGCAACAGCATGACCAGAGTATCCGAATCCACCCCCTGTGATACCACAACAACAGATCATGGGAAACGCTGTGCCACCTTGCCCGCGTTTATTGTCGCCCCTCACCGCATTAATCTAATTTACTCATCGTCTCGGAAGCCTTACCCGACTTTGTTCTCGATAATGATAATAATCCCGGGACCATAGCTTCACCATTTATCATTGTCATCTGTCAGGTAAGGGAAACCTATCATATGTACTTGTCACTATTGCCACGATGTGATCTGACAACATCCATTACACAAGTGCACTCCTTACAATGTACCATCATAGCGATGAGCAAAAGGGATAGGGTGGTAACAAATGAGCTTATTTATGCTGTTGATGACATATCTCCTTAATGCATCACCTCCTCTTTGATCTCCATCTTTAACCTCCTTCCCTTTAGCCGATCCCCGATCATGATCGATGTGCGTTTATGCTGATTATGTATTGAGGATCTTTATGTGTGTGGGGAACAACGCCCGGACCATGAGAGATCGGCAGCGACAGCCTTTGAAAAGTCCGCCTTTTCTTTGTATCCGCTAATTATGCACGTACATGGATGGATGATTCCATCGACAAAGTTTTTGATATCAAGGTCAATATGCAATGCCACCGTTAGGCTGCAATGCGCCGGATAATATGTCCGATACATGTCGCCTTTTACTCTAATATAAGCTTTCAACTAAAACTCTATGTACGACAGCGTATGTACATTTCTTGCAATGAGGGATATGGTAATCGGAATATGCAACGGGGAAATGAACATGCTGCAGCCATGAAACGCAAAAGAGAAAATCTTGTTTGAATCATGCATCTCTATCAATGAAGAGCATACACTGTGATGTCAATCATTGCATAACCAACAGGTTTTGTTTAATCGCAACAATCATGTGCAATGCCCATAAGTGTGGATTGCTGTTCTCGGATGCCATGTATGTATGTGCACTTGATAACTTTTATGAAGATGTACATCGCTCATCGACGACGAGTACATAATAATGCATTTGAATGGGCGGCTGTGTCATGCATGCAAAGGTTTTCTCGTTCTTGGCAGGCAGCAAATGCATCGCTTATGATAAAGTTGATGACCATAATAATCAATCTGCTGTATTCAATCATGCCCATTATGCATTGCTGAAAAGTAGTTGACTCATTCACCTCATCTCAGAAGAAAAGGGGGGGGAATTGAGGGTGGTTGAAAGGATAGCACAAAAGTAGTAGCACAAAGCATGGGCATCATTGATCATTGATTGCAAGCGATCCGAGCACCTTGTGACACCGTAGGTCATGGGAGCATGCATACGCACACACACACACGCATACATTCAACAGGTTCCCCCAAGCTCACACAAACGAGGAATGGCTTCCAGATTACCTTGTTGCACATCCTACCATTTCCATCGGATTACCAAAATCATCCATACCTACATTTTTTTTGTCTCCAGTAGTAGCTACGACTACCACTGCCTTGCAGCTGATATCTGTCACCAGATGACACTATGGGGCTAAACCATATTGATAGAGCAACAATCGATCATCAATCCATTGTATTGGTTTACCTTTTTTACGTATACAAATGGTGTTAGGATGGGGTGTGTGCAACGGGACTGGGAGAAGCGTACACGCAAGGGATACAAAATCAGTCAGCTTGAAGAACCTTTCCAGCAAACCGTAAGGATACGTAGCATTTGAGCGTGAGACAATATTCCAAAGTATACCTCTTTTTCAGCTAAAGGCCATGTTTTCTCCCAGCTGGCACACCCCAAATGATGGATCTTTAAAAGAGGAATCATCGCACATACTTTTGAGCAAGAGCAGGATGCAGTCAACAAAGAAGATAAGTAAGAGAGTGGAATGCAACAATGGGGACATTTCATTATACACGCCTCTGTAGTAGCTATACACGTTTATTCAACGACCCATTATCAGAGGGTATGTAAGTATTCAGATGGATAATGTCAGCATTGTAATTGGGGTGATTACTCTAGTCAAGCGCAATTAAGGGGTGACAGCATGTGCGATTCGGGGAAGGATACAGCATGACAAGGAATGATGTCAGAGTCATTGAGCGAATATCAACACCTTTATCCAACCAGCCAACTACTACTGCAAGCTACTATGCCAACCCATAAATACAAGTGGATGATCATGATGCTGTGCAACAAATATATATATGGCTCTTACGCCCGTGGTGCTCATCCATGTGCATTGTTCTTCTTCTTTCTATATCTAATATGCTTGTTCTCCTTCAGCTGCTCCTTAATAATTTATCTCATTGTCATTCCCACATGCTCTCTTTATTGTAAAATCTCATTAAACAACACATGGATAGCATTGGATGCCAAGTAATACTGATTGGGTTCAAGAGGTAACATTTACCACGGTTTTGGAAGAGTCGATTGGACTGTGTTTCACAAGTTGCCTTTCTCTCTCTCTCTCTGCTCTCTCTCTCTCATTCTTTTTGTTGCCTTTTTTTTGCACACGCACAACACACACACACAGCATTCATTCACGCATACTGGCGACCTCTTGTGACAATGTCGAGTGGTGAAGCGAGCGATGGCTCTTTTTTGAAGAGACAACGAGTCAGCCGCGCTTGGTAAGCTCTTGATTTCACTCCACGTTAAGAGCTTGGTCTCATTAGAGTTGTTGTAGTGATCAGTGTAGACGAAAAAAGATCAAATGCGATGGGCTTTTCCCTGTATGCACCAACTGTCAGGCGTTTACACTTCAATGCAGTTATAACGACACGACCAAAAAGGTAATAGTAGCAAGGGATTTTTCCTTTATTATAGAGAGTGGAAGTATACTAACATGCAAGTAAAGCGAGGACCGCCCAAAGGATACATTGAAGCGATCGAGAACCGGTTGTACAAGCTAGAGCAAACGCTTGCAGATATCGCCGACCATAGCGACGATGCACGATCCAAAGCTGTTCTTGCCGAGTTACATGCACCTCTTGAAACAGCTTATGGAGAGCAGATCAGAACACGGCCTATACGTCGAGGTCGCAGCAAAGAAAAGAATCGCACCTTCTTTTGGCAAACACCCTCTTCTTCATCGCCCGCATCACCTACCGTATCGACTACAGGCAACATTACATCGACTCAGCTTATGGATAGTCCCATTGAAGATGAACAACCATCAGCACCGGGAAGTCCTGTTGGCACATCGTCGTCGGCAGTGAATGATAGCCATGGTCAATTATCGATGGATGAATCTGGTCAAGTGCGTTTCCTTGGCAAATCTTCTGGATTTTATCTACTACAAAACAGCCGCTCGTATCATGATGGAGCTTTTCATTTATCACACTATGGGCATCATCATCACAAATCATCATCGAGCACCAGCAGCACTTCAGGCCTTATCAACAGCCCAACAACATCAACACCCTTGGATCCATTAGCAATGCCACCCAAAGATTTATCATTCGATTTGATCTCGTTGTACTTTGCTCATTTTTATCCCGTGTTGCCCATGTTTTACAAGAAGCGATTGACGTTGCCACAAGATGGTCCTGCCGATGCTGTATCCCCACTCTTAGTGAACGCCATTTACGCTGTTGCATCACGTATATCCCCTGACACACGCGTTCGTGCTGATCCATCTTCACCCGATACCGCTGGAGACGTGTTTTTTGAACGCGCCAAGCGATTGTTGGATGATTATTACGATGTACCTCGAATATCAACAGTACAAGCGCTCTTGTTAATGGCTATGCATCAACATGGTATGCTAAAGGGACCACGTGCATGGTTGTATAGTGGCATGGTAAGCATTCTATAAGAGCTGGTAGTGGAAGGGAGGAATCGAGATATGATCAGGGTGCTCACTACCACACTGAGTGAATTATAGGCATTTCGTATGGCTCAAGATATGGGATTGCATCGAAATTGTGATCATTGGGATATTTCACTCGAGGATCGAGAACGTCGAAAACGTGTATTTTGGTGTTGTTTTATTGTGGATCGATTACTCAGTGCAACATTTGGACGTGCATCTCTCTTTGAAGAACGTGATTGCGATGTACCCTTTCCTTCAGTGGATGACGATGAACCTATTTCACCACCCAATGACAACCAACAATCGAATTCGCCTGTACGACTTTTGGACTCCTTTGTGCACACCATTCGTATCTGTGACATCTTGGGGCATGTGCTAAAGAGCAACTATTACGCCAAAGCCAAACATCACACGCCTGGATCACAACACATTGACCATGTCTTTGCAGCGCTCAATCAACAACTCACCAATTGGTATCACAATTTACCTCCAGCACTTGGCTATGATTTGAACAAAAAGAACGACCATGATCAACCCAACCCGGTGTGTCAATTGCACATGATTTACTATACAACAGTCATCTTGCTGCATAGATCATTCATTCCGCCTTACTCGAAATTACCACCAGCATCACTACCATCGTACAATGTATGCATGTCAGCAGCAGAATCGATTTCAGAGATTGTGGATGGAATGCTTCAAAATCGCCATCTCAAATGTGTAACCAACTTTGGTGTATATTACATCTTCACGGCAGGGATCATGTTTATCAAGGCAGCTGCAGCATCAGATGCGGATAAGGCTATGCGAGCCAAGGCTAAAATACGACAAATCATGTGCGCTCTTGATGAAGTTGAATTAACGTGGATGACCGCTGGCCGTTGCTGTGATATCCTTGGAGATCTTGCAGGGTTACGACAAATCAATCTAGAATCGGATGACAAGCATTCGGAGGCTACAGTTGGGAGCACTACACTTCAAACACCTTCCCCAATGTCTTTATCGGCAACAACAATGCAACCACCAGGTCTTTTGCAACAAGGATTTTGGAACACCGTTACCACGGCAACAGCCAACAATAATCCATTGCAACAGCACCAACGTAGTGGTGTACCACCTCCGTATCCTAATGTATCATGGATGCATCCAGCTGCTTATCGGCCCCCTGTTCCCACTATGGATCCATTCGCTGCACCAGACACTATTCCTCCACCTTCACAACAACAGCAACAATTCGATCCATTGGGTACTGCTTTTTGGGGCGTGCCTCAATCATTGGATATCAATGAATGGAATAATTACTTTGGTGGCCAACAACAACAGCAACAACAACAACAGCAGGAGCAGGATCAGCAACCACCACAAACAGCAACAGGGGCATCATCACATCAATCAACGATAGGAGCTTACACACAACAACAACAACAAGCAGGCAATCAACAACAGCCATTGATCCCATCGCATGAATACTTCCAGCCACGCTTGTCGTTCTCCAATCATGATCCATCTCCACTCCAACCACTCCAACAGCAACAACAACAGCAGCAGCAGCAACAACAAAGCAAACATTTAATCCACAATGATGATAATGTGGATGTATTGTCGGGTATCGCTATTCCAGAGACGAAGAGTGGTGTATCATTGCTTGGGTTCTTGGGTGGTCAAACAGATCCTTCGGCCAATACGCTTCCAGGCACTGAAGAAGGTGGTAATGGCAGCAATACACCAGCATTGCAATGGTAAAATAGCACACATATACGCATTAGATACTACCTTTGACCATCATTTCATACACACACACACACACACACACATACATCATTACTCCATGTACACATGTAGATGCGCACCGACCACACAATACCCCCTATTTATCTCTTGTATATTTGTTTCTTTTTGCATACGGCTTTTCTTTTGGCGTGTGTTTGTGTCAATTACGCCTTGATAAACTTTGTAGTAGCCTTCTCTTTTCTCCTCCATCCATCATTATCAGTCATTATCTTTTTCATTCTTTTTCCTTTATCTGAAGAAAGCTTGATACGGTGCGGGAGAGAATAATATGTGTAGGTGACGGGGTTATAAAAAGAAAAGAGAAAAGCATACATGAGAGGGAAAAGCAGAGGAGGTTAGGAAAGTGTGTTGATGAAACATATACTACAGCCGGAGAGAGAGAGAGCATAAAAACGAGCGGAAGGGGGTAGTGTGTGTTGTAGAGACAACTGGTATTTGTTGTGTACATGATACAGGGTCATTTGACGCGTCCGCGTGTATTACGCGATCGCATACAGCCCATTGATCCTTGTATCAAGATGCACACACCATCTACCGTGTCGTTGCACAGACCAAAAAGGAAGAAAATAAGCAGAGACTTGTTCATGGTGGCCAGATCCAAAAAAGAAAGAGAGGAAGATGCAACAAGGATAAATAAAAGTACATGAAAAACTACAAAAACTATACAAAGAGAGGGATATGGAAAGAGGAAAAGTGCGTGCACACACACATTTGTATCCACGGAAAGGTAAACTATTATTATCATGCACCACATGTAAGTTTGATGTTCGCATCATCATCATGTTCATTTTTTACGTACCTTGATCGCGTTGTTGTTGGATGCTATTGTGCTCAGGATACGAGATAGACATCATTCGTTATGTACATATCATGATCGATTCGCACTGATGAAAAAAGCGCAACCGCCAAACAACGGATGTTGACTTGCACCAGGCAAGACATTGTGTCGTACACGATCCGCTTCATGTGTGGTGAGCCACCTCTTCCTAGGCTCCACAACTGCGCGTGATGGCAGTATCAACTTTTTCTTGATGGCTAACGAGTTTTTCTTTGATGCAGTAGATAGACGGCTAAAGACTGAAAAGAGGAAAAGATGCTATTGTGGTGACAATTTGATGCGGATGTTGCAAAAGATGTTGATGACGAGGTGGGGCGGTGTTCAATGGATGAAGAAGAAAGGATGATATGAGAGAGAGAGAGAGAGAGGGAGGAGCGAGTAAATGGTTGAATCATTCGTTGTGGATTTATATGTATCGATCATTCATCATCAAGACAAGGGGCACACACACACGCACACACAACAGTGGAAGATTCGAATGTTCCTGTTTGTGTATTGCCACGTTGCTTCTTCAAACATTCCATTTTTCTCTTTCCGGTGGTACGCACGCGTCAATAGGGCAAGGACATGTGTTTCAAATGGACCTCTCTCGTTGTTGTCAAAGCACGCATCGTTGGCGGCGGAGCCTCTTAATCGTCATTTTTACACTCTTTTGGTTCCGTTAGCGGAGCAAAGAGGGAGAGACGCCTCGTTTGTTTTGGGCACATAACAGAACGTTCCAACGTAGATGCGGCGAATCATTCGTATATACACACACAACGTACTTGCACATATATATTCACATAAACCACATGCGTAAAATTCTCGGGCTTTACCATTTTCTGATATATGGACATGTGCTTATACCAAGGATGAACCACATCGGTTGGCGGGAGATCATCTCTCTCCCTCCCCCATGCTGCATCAAAATGAAATTAGATATGATCCACACAATCTCTCTTTCTCTCGCTATCTCGTTCACATATCATCATCTCCACGTGGTTACTTTGACATGGTAGCCACATGGCTCTTCGTTTAGCCTCGCTCTTCTCCCTTTTCTTTTGATGTTGCCCGATGCACTAGAAGCCTGACGCTGATGTAATCCAGGGGTAGTAGATTTTTAACTAAATCGCTGCCGAGACCATTTAATGCTATAGGTTTACATGGTCCATCCAAAAGTGCTATAGAATACCCATTACAAGGCTTGGATGGTCATCGACATTGCGCCATATCCTAACGCCTTGTTGCTCTTGGTGTCACGGAAAACGTGAAAATCCGGGGTAGAGTCCTATTGACGACCCTCATATGTTGCATCTAAGGGATCGTCCGTTTCGAGGCATATGTACCAATACTCTTTCGGAACCACATGTGGTCATGTATGCGAGGTTTTTTTTTTACCCTTCTCTATTTACATTCATAGACAAAAGAATGGGGGGGTAGAGGAGATGCATCATCATCATGTACAATGATACATTACATGCTGTGCTTCATAGGGTGATTCAGTGCTACCAATCATGTGTGTCATGTATTGTCATAAGGTCGTGGTGGATGAAGCGTTTAAGCAAGGCTACAATAGTACGTAGTGATGAAATGACGCTAATACGACTAGACAATGGCCATACCTTGTAGTCAAGAACATTTCAGGGTGCATTCTAGACACAGCAAGAAGGTGGCGATGAATTGAGCCCGTTCGTTCAAACAAAATGATCGAAAAGGGGGATTTGGGGATAATTGATTCTCGTGCACAAATGTTTATTTGCTAACAGCAAGTCCACTCTTGGACAAGCGTGATCTTCAACAATGAAAACAAGCATCTAGATTCAACCAATCAGCCAATTTCCTCTAACGCTGGCAGGGGAAGGATCGTCCACTCCTTTATTAAAGTAAAATTGGGTTCATCATCATAATCATCTGCTACTACTACTATAGTAGCGCAATTGATACAATAGGACAGCAATACTGTTTATTTATCGAGAGAAATTATACTAATATCAAGATGCCTATTACCATCTTATCCGAATGGGCGTTCAAGATTGCATTTGTTAGGTATCCATGCTGAGGGAATAATGAGGATCTTGGTGTCACGTGCATAGCTGCTAATGTAAAGTGACACAAAGAAGGTGTGGTTTTCCTAATTCGATCGCAGCAGCAGCATACTGCTCTTTGTCCCACTTGCCGTACTCCTCCATTGCGATGCTCAGTAGTCCACAGCAGAAACCTCCTTTAAAGGAAAAGTTTGTAGTGCTTACCGAATACCTATTCCAAGTAAGGAGAGACAACAACTTCTTGAAATGGTACATGCGCGAGCTCACTCACCCAATGTCCTAGTCCAATGAGCCATACAACACCAACGATCAAGCTGCCTTTTGGGATGAATTCTTGATGCTCCCCGTCAACACGACCGCTCTTTCAGAATTGATTCAGTCAAAGCCCGAGGAATCGCTGTTGGCCGTCAGCAACAATATCACGAGACTCTTTGAAACGTGTTTGACCCGTTTGGTTATCCAGGCACCAAATGACAGCAGCAGCAAAAGTGACCAGATACGGCAACAGCATGCTATGCAAATCCTAGCTTGCCTTATGCGACAACTCTTCCTCAAGAAACGGCTAAGCCATTTCAACATCATCCAGCTTCTTGCAGGTCTCGACAAGGCCGATACTGTGTTTGGAGAACTCGTCAAGAATATCCACGACCTGCTTGGCAATCCATCCACTCGATCCAATGCGTTATTGCTGGCTATCAATTTTTCAGCAGGCAACGACAATGTCAACCAGAACAATCTCAACACGTATGTACATCGAAAAGGTGGTGGAACAATGCGCTTATTACTTTTGGGTCGATATAGATATTTCATGCAACACGACATATCGGATGCATTGATCAAGGTGAGATCCGTCGTCATGCTTATTGCTCAAAATGGAACACTCACGTTGCTATGATACGTAGATACTTGACGATGATCAAAGTACCATGGAACAAGTACATGATACAGTCATGCTTTGGGGGATGTTGGCCAACTACAACAAGCGTGAGATCAAGAATCCATATCTAACACGGCTCACACGTTGCAAAAACGGGCGCGTTCTTGAGGTAAAGAAAGGCTTGGGATAACAAGGAAGTATGTTGTTGCTAAGATGTATAATAGAGCTTCGTCCTTTTGTTCACGAATGTGTTATTACGGATGACCGAGTAAGCCTATCGGCGTTGTATGGGAATGGACATAGCATTAACCACTGGAATATTAGTCGCTACATTCAACTCAAGAACGATAATGAGACGCTGACACAATCCATGGTGAATTATATGGCAAGTTGGTTTTCTGGGCCGGGATCAAAATCAACGACTGTGGATTTGGATGATATCGAAGCAGCAGCCGATTTGTAAGTTCTCTCTATATCGTCCACAGAAGCTATCTCGATGATTAATTCAACAATAGACCTCCTTATGAGTCATCGCTATTCTTGGTTCTATATGATCTGATCACTGCCAACCCTCATTTTGTCGCCATCATGCTACATCAATCAGCTCGGGAGGATAAGACGGGTCCTACGTTTCTCGGGTCATTCATATCATATGCCTCATACCTTTTCCAGCACAATCGAAATCCTCGGGCTTTCCTATATACGAGATTGATGTTGACTATCTTTTTATCCATTGTGGAGAACCAATCCATCATGAATTACATGGCCAAAGAACAGAATGCTGAGTTTGTCAGGATATGTCGGCAGGTAGAGTGATCAGCCCTTTTCTTTTCCAAAGTTCGCACATGACCTATTTACTAACACAGCCTTTTGTTAATGTAGCGCCCAACGCCACTACCACTCGTGAAAAAGGAGCGATCATTATTCTGTTCCATAATGGATGTCATGTTGATCTTTCTAAAGTACAACATTCGCAAGAGGCTTGATATCATCACCTACAAGTAAGCCTACATCGGTTGGGAGAAGTGGCTATAGCTCACACATTGATTCCCTAGGCTTGCATTTGCATGTATCCATCGTATTTTGGTATATCTCAACAATCGCAACATCCAGCTACGTGAGTATAATGGGAGGGTGCTTGTAGAGAACAAAGATGGTGACCAAGAAGGGCGTGGCTAACAAAGGGATGTATGTAGAATACCATTGGGTCGAAGTATGGCCGATCGTTACATCCACAATACATTTCATTGCAACGCATCTCCAAGATCTCGAGCTTCGGGACGGCTTTGACAGCTTAGTCACCTCGGTAACAAGATGGCATGATGGCATTGAATTCCAAGATACTAATTTTCGACAATGTCCGCTAGATCATGGATGTGATTAACCTATGCACAGCACATGGCGAATCATTCCTATCAGATACCACCAGCTACGACATGCTGTTTTACGAAATCATTCGTGCCAGCAACGATTTCAATACGCTTGCATCCTATGGTATGTATCATTGGGAGTATGTATGCATGAGGATGGTGAGATAACCTTTATGATGCAATATAGTGAGTCAAACCACTTTCCACAAGGCACCGGGTGATCGATCCTCACCACTCTCACAATCGGATTTTGCCAACGTCAAATTGATATGCAATCACTTCAAGCCTGTGCTGGATGAATGGCAAGAAACACAAAAGGCACATTTCTTGACACCTGAAAAAGTATTAGGTAAGGGCCCAGCGTCAAGATTGGAAAAGCGATCCCTTGGTTAACCATGCTATAACCTTAGGCATCATCAATGAGCATTATGATACGTTGGATTTGGGACCAGTGGGTAAAGCGGACCAGTATACGCCATATCATGAGATACCTGCCGAGATGGCATTTTTCCGTCACGTCTTACGCACAGCAACCACCGATTACATCGCTCATATTACGCAATGTTCTCCTCCCATTCGCCCTATGTCACCACCCAACCCAAGCACCTCACCATAATTGTCCATGTACTTTAGCCATCTTCCATTACATTTGTATCATTAATAACAAGACGCATGCCATTCTTCCACCCCTTGAGGACGTTGACAAGTGATGTATATTGGTCAAAGTGGATCATTCTTATTTGTAATACGTGCATTCAACATTGACTTTTGTGTGGTATCTGGAATGAGTGATGAGTGTATAGAGCTGTTCTACTACTGTGACACCTCAATGTCAGAAAGGACAGAGCGTGCTTCTTCCAATTCGGTGGTGCCAGCGTACTGTGGATCTTCCTATATATCCTTATGTAAGAATCCCCCCATTCAAGACACGTATATCCATACTAACCACTGCATCCTGCAAGTTCTTGTAGGCTTCGGCAAGTCGTCTCTTGACATCAGGAATCATTTGTAGCGTCTCGTTCAAGACCTCTTTCTATACAACAACAACAACCCCCACCCAATAAGTTTCAGTGGATCGAACAAGAGCACGTACAGGAAACAAGCTGCTTCGTACCTGTTTACGCACATCAGCCTCATCGGCGTTGTCAGCAATCAACTTGTCGATGCGTTTCTGTTGCTGCTCGGCTTCCTTGCCATAGGCAATTTGCTCCTTGTGGATGCTGGTAACGTAGCCAATCTCGGTCAGATAAACGACTCTTTACAATTGACAGCTTCTCATTTACCGCTTAACAACGTTGGTCTTGATTTTCAAATCACGGGGTGGTGCCATAGTAGAAGTGATAAAGCCCTTCCTCTCTCTTGTATCCACGCATCATAAATGAATACCAATTCACGCAACTTTGAACTTCCGCAACATAGCATCATTATCAGACAGGTTGTTTCTTTGAAGAATAAAGATAAGGGGAGGGGAAGAACAAACAGTCATTTTACATGATTGAAGCTACATTTGGAGGAGAATAAGGATGAGGACGAGGACGAGGACGAGGAGGGTACTGCTTGATTGTTTAACCACAATGACCATAGCCATTATCTGCTTCTATGCATGTTTGGCCATCAGGGCAATCCTTCAATCCTACGATACATTCTCTTCCGGCATCTATAGTTGTCGAGTTAATATCATTTCATCATCCCTACCACACACACCAAGAAACATTACTTATGGTAGCACCGGGAACAACAATCAACAACGTACACCCTATCAACAGCAATAGAAGCCGATGCGATCTCATTATGGGATATATAAACAAGTTGAAGGATAACGAAGGAGAGAGAAAAAGTATAAATAAAATGGGCTGTGATGGATCCACACGGCTCGCCTTTAACTTTCGGATGTTTGCTGGGAGACAATAGCTAATGACACGGAATAAACTTGTTTTCATGCTCAACGGGCAGCTTTTTAACGCGACTGTGTGTCATCCACGCATCATGTATCTACAGTGTGATGATGATGATGATGATGAGGCTTTGGTAGTAAATCACTCGAACGATAGTATCAAGACGGCCGAGAATACCGATGGTTTCAAAAGATGAGCAGCTGAATAGTGACAACTTACATCCACGTGATGGCCAAAGTGGGCAAGATCGTGATCACGTAATATGTTGAGATTTATCTATACATGCTTCTTATATCCGCATCATGAAATAAAATGCGGCAAAAGACACGGCCATTATCCATCAGAAGACGTTTGACAGCATATGATGCTCTTGTTTCATCTTGCATAAATCTTGAGCCGATGCCATGCGAACGATGGCATTGGTTCATTGTTGCATCTTTATTTGCTATTTGGTGGTGGTTCATACGCATACACAAACACTGGATCCATGTAACCGGGTAATTCAATCACTACCTGTCATTGATGGTTGATAATAGAGTCGTCATTTCAAGAAACATCCGTTTTGATATACAATAAACATTGGTTCATTTATTTACATGATGATCTTGGGTTCCGTAATATTGGTTGAGATCCCCTTATGTGGAAGAATGGAACCTCCATTGACATAGATCTCGTCGTTAATGGTCACGTCGTCACCAAGAACAGAGCAGCCCTCCAAGCGCGACTACATTGGAAGACACAACGCATTCCAGTCAATCATTCAATTCCACCATCATGAGAAAATTTCACTGGCCACTCCTATTAACCCGAAAACTTACCCATCGACCCACTGATGAATGCCACCCAACAATGCTAGATTGAACCCAAGCATAATCCTTCACCTTTGCGCCCTGAAGAATGACGCATCGCTGCAAACGTACACCATCACCCACTTGAACATCAGGTCCAATCACTACATTTGGCCCAATACGGCATCCCTTTCCTATCTTGGCTGATGGATGCACCATGACATTGCCCTTGTGAACATAATCGGTATCGGTGTTGGCTAATTGTTCAGGATGCTTCTTGGAAAGATGGCTGAGATATAAGCAAGTTCCACTCAAAAAGTCCTTGGGTTGACCAACATCCATCCAAAAGCCTTCGAGATCAAACGTGTGCAATTGGCCATCATTGGCGATATAGGGGAAGACTTCCTTTTCAATGGAAGTTGGTTTCAACTACATACACATGCATGAGCGTTTCGCACATTTTTTTCCCTCTGCACACCATCATCATCCCTCTTACCTCGATGCGATCTAGTACCCGTGGGCTCAAAACGTAAATACCGGCATTGATCTTGTTGCTGATAAACTCCTTTGGTTTTTCCACAAAGCGCTCAATTTGTGTGCTTCCACCGGGGCAGTTAACAATGACACCATATTTTGATGGATCATCCACTTTGGTCACCACAATGGTTCCCTCATTTCCATGACTCAAATGAAAATCACGGAGTTGTTCAAATGGATAATCACAAATGATGTCGCTGTTGAGAACAAAGAAAGGGCTATCGTCTTTGGCGAGAATGTCTCTTGCCAATGCCAGGGGTCCAGCAGTGCCCAAAGGCTCGGTTTCAACCGAAAATGTAATGGTGACACCAAATTCTTGCTCGTACTTTTTCAACGTGGATACCATGATCTCAGGACGATAGTTGACAGCCAACACAATATCGGTGACACCAGCCTTCATCATTGTATTCAGTCTCCTCAATCAAAAGAATAGGTGAATGGCTTACCTTTGCAAGGTGTTCAATTTGGTGCAAAATCATGGGCTTGTTGGCAAATTCCACGAGAGGCTTGGGAAGTGTAAGGGTAAGAGGTCGAAGACGTGTACCAAAACCTGCACCAAAAGGCAACATGGTGAATGTTATAGAAGAAGCAAGTCGTCAAACAATGACAACAGCCAACACTTACCACCAACAAGAATAAGTGCCTTCATGATTTATAGTATACGTGTGAGGAAAAAAAGAATGGATAGGATCACAAATGAATGCGTAAAAGACGCTAGGATGTAACAATGATGACAAGGATAGGATGCCTGCTTCTTATATATATGCGTGGAGAAAAAAAAGACAACAACAGGGTGAAAGATCTCCGTGTTTTACCCTGCATCTTTAACGACCCCCATCCCTTTCCATGCCAGGCAAGAAACAGCATACTTGCCACACCCAAGATATACTGGAATGAGCGAGCGTGTGGGTTAAAGGAGCTGCCACCATACATACATTGTGAGATTAGTGGGAACGTATACACATGCAAGTTCAACCCCGCGGGTGTTGTCTCGAGCAATGCAATAAGGGCGCTTTCAAATACGTCGGAAGGAAAACCGTGCCCTACTATCCCTGCATGTATTGTTGTAGTATCTTGAAGCACACCATTATCACATCCCACGCCTATGTATATGTAACACAAAATGATGGATCAATGAGTTGCATAATCTGATCGATCACACACACAAAATAAGCATCGTACGTTTTCATTTTACAGACACCTAGTTGAGTTCAAACCATGATGATGATGGCACCACGATGATGGCATGTGCTTTTTTACACAGCTCACATACATCATCCCCGTAGTAGCCTATGGTTTATGCATGTGACAATCATTTTCCGAGAATGCTCGAGATGCCTTCCAAAGTAGCCCACATCATTGACAAGCGACATTTACCATTTGATTCGGCCAAAGGGTCATTGATAAATCTAATCAAACACCAATCAAACCCATCTATCACTCCACATCCCTCTATAAAGGATACGTGTGTGGTGGTGGCGTGTGTGTTCTTTACCTTCTGAGATGGTTACATAGCATCCTACAGAATGGGTTTGCTGTTGTATATGCAATTTCAATAGTATCCGAAAGCACACGTCTATGTACAGGTATTGCCAAAAAGTCAAAAAAGGAGTGTCTATAGCTGAAGGTCATTGATTCCTTTGCGTGATTCATCGATCCACGCCAATGATGATGCATATCGTCATTTATCAAAATGGGTGTCATCATGTATCATTAGACGTCTATGATGATCAAGATTTTCAATTGCATTTTCATCCAGCAAGCAGGTCTATAACACACGCCGACAAATGGTTCTTTATGCTAGGGTATTTGTCAATGCAAGAAGGATGTGCAAGTGTATGTGTGTGCGACAAATGAAAATCGCCGATGGGTCCACCTTTGAGTCCCATTCGCTCCCTTTTCCCTTGTTTGTCATGGAAGCTGCTGCATCCAGCTCGACAACCACTGAACGATTACTTGAACCCGAGCAGAACAAAAGGATAGCATTGCCCATACGTATCGAACCCAAGGTCTTTTTCGCCAACGAACGCACGTTTTTATCATGGCTTAACTTTACGGTTGTCTTGGGTGGTCTCGCTATTGGCTTGCTCAACTTTGGTGATCGTGTCAGTCGTATGGCAGCTGCTCTATTTACAATGGTCGCTATGGGTGTCATGCTTTATTCCCTTTACACCTTTCTTTGGCGTGCCAACAAAATCAGGAAACGCGAAGCAGCACCTTACGATGATCGAGTAGGGCCAACTGTTCTCTGTATCGTGCTCATCTTGGCTGTCTCATTCAACTTTTATTGTAAGTATATGTACATACTGTTGTATATCCATTCAATGCATGAAGCTAACATCATGTCATTAGTACGGCTAGGGACTGATGTATAAAAAAGAACATTCATATGTATCCAATTGGCTTTGTCACACACGCACACACACACATGCATTCTTAAATCAAAATTACGCATATCTATTGGAAGATAAAATCGCCTATCATGCATATTGGAGAAAGTAAACAATTGTATATTATATACGATGCAATATGGAAGAGTGAGGAAGCATGAATGATAAAGGATTCGAGATAGTAGGATTCACTCGAAGACACAATAAGAGAGAGAGAGGGAGATATACACAAACGGATGAAGGTAGCTAGCTGCTGTTGGTCTAAAACTGCTGGGGGGTGGTGGGTGCGTGGGTTGGTTGTCGTTGGTTTTTTCCCCGAAGTTCATCGACGACGTAAAGAAGTATGATGGATCGTGATCATGTTTCTTCTTGACCGGGTTGTTGTGTGGTATCAACAGCTTCTTGTTGTGGTTGTTGTTGCTTTGCAGATTTGGCGGTGCGCCTCCGTGTGGGTTTAGGATCCTCTTCCATAGCTTCTGTTGGATCGGGAATACTGGCTACCATGTCCTTTAAGAAATCGAATTGCTCAACGGTCTCAATGGTCTTTTTCCTATAATCCATCATCATAAGTAAGCCCATAAAAGGAGACGTGTGGATGGTGTGATACATTACAAATGAGCTGCGGATAAGCGTTTAGCATTGCGTTGTCTGGTCTCCTGGCAAGCCTGGTCGATCAAAGACTGCATAAACAACTCCAGTGCTTTGGCTACACCAAAATACAAGGTCAATGAGGGTGTTGGATTGAGACGCTTCATGCCATGATGACTTACAAATCAATACAGGAGTTGCCTGGGCCACCTTGCCGACATCTTCATCGAGCTGCATGATCTTCTTGATGCGAGCCTAGAACGCCATGGAACGTGTTAACTAGTTTGTAAAAGTAAAGACGATATCACATACCACGGGGAATTTGGTTTTGTATTTCTTTTTCATGACAAGTGTAAGAGTTGAGAGTAGTGGAGGGAAAGGGAGGAAAGGAATAACAGGCCAAAGAGAGAGCGGCTTTTTGACTTTTGCCATGCGACTTCGAAAGTCACGACGCTTGTGTGGAAGATTGATTTGTACTACAATTGTGTAATGTATTGTTCTTTGTTGCTTGATACAAAAGAGAGAGATGGATGACAAATGTAAATAAGGAAAAGCGTGATTGTGGTGATCGTGTATGAGAGAGAGAGAGAGAGAGAGATGGATGAAAATCGTGTATATAATACTGTGTTGCTGTTGTTGTTCTACCGGTTGCTGCTGCTGCTGCTGCTGCTGCTAACTACTAACAATGAAGAATGGGGGAGAGGGGGGCAAAATAATATATGGATGTGTTAACGAGCCTGATGTTGTTGCCGCAATCCTTTAGGTGTAGACGCAGGGGATGGTGGTCGATAACCCGGCTCAGTAGGTGATATACGAGAGCTACTACTGGGACCTCCTCCACCTCCTCCTCCTAGTGCACCTGTTGCTTTTGCTTCGTGTGCATGCGCCAATGGTGGTGTAGCATGGGGAGAGACATGAACAGGGTGTTGTGATGTACTACTTACATTGGCAGAAGAAGAGGTTGGTGATGATGTTGATGATGATGTGGGTTGATCAAGAAGGGCAGCAATCGTAGGTGAATGCCTTGCATCAGGTGGTGGTGCTTGTTGTTGTCCCATCCGCGGTGAATCAATTCTTGCTTTTTTGGATGATGGCTCTCTGGATCCCGAATCTTTGCTTTCCGTTTCTTCCATAATCACTTGTAACCAATATGAGTATCACGCTATCATCCATCACCAAAGCACCCCAAATCTTATACCTTCATTATCCTTTCGTGCAGGGAATTTCAATGTCGGCATCGATAAAAGTGCATTGGCTGAATCAATGGATCGCTTGGATCGTCTTGCCTCTTTGGTGGCTTCATGTTCTTCTTTGCTGAAATCAGGATCATTCAACATTCTATCAGCAACAATTCCAAGACTTTCAAGTGCTGACATGTGCTGCTGCTGTTGTTGGGTGTTCGGTGAGGATGATGCAGCATGAGTCGATTGTGATTGTGTTGAAGTATGTTGTTGCTGTGGTGATTGTGCTGGTGGTGGTAAAGGTGATTGAGATTGTTTAGGAGGTGGTGGACGAATCTCATGTCTCATCTTTGGTGAATACTGTTGCTGGAACAAATAAGGTGGGCCTCGTCGTGGTGATGAAGTGAATGACGCTAGCTGCTGATGTTGTAATTTAGGTGACGATACTTCATGGTGTGGATAATACGATGGATGTGAATTGGATGACTTTGACACCTGATACAGGTACTCGAGCTCGGCATCACGTGTATTCAATCGTAATTCAGCCAAATGCAACTTGCGTTTCAAAATCTTGCGTTCTTCTAGTAACGTGTCTCGATCCAATTTCTCATCCTATTTTGACGATTTCGGTCATTCATCTGGAATAAAGAGATCGCCGCCCCATTTTCATTGTTATACCTCTGTTGGAAGTTTCATTGTTTCAATATTGTGCAATGTCGACGTCAATCGCTTGAGCTTTCTTGATAAAGCCTCCATATCCTTATGCAACGTCTTTGTATCCATCAGGTATCGTAGCTTTTGCTCGTTTTCCTGAAAGATGTCCAATAAGAAGATGGCTTGTGGGAATGATGGTGGTGGTAGGTTTCATGACTTACCGACATCATGTAAATACTACGCATGGTTTCAATTGCCTTATTCGCGTCGGGAGGATACGTCTGGGATTCCTGGATTTGTTCAGCTTGAGAGCGTACAATATTCTCCAAATAGCGCTGTCTCTCAAATGAATCATGCAGCTGCATAGGCGGAGCAATTAGCGTAGTTGAACACAATAAAAGGAAAGGTCTCTCCTTGTTACCTGTTGCTTTAGCTCGTCGACTGATACCTCGGTAGGTACGCCTGTGGGTGTCACATAGTCCATCTAGTGTGAGTGAAACATTCATTATTATCATTGTTATTATCCGACAACCCCAACCCAGAAATAAAAAAAAACGCCACATTACACTTACAGGATATTGCGTTGTCCTTGAAACTGGTAACATGTATCCTTGATGACCCATCCCAGGCTCTTGCGGTGCTAATTGTGTTGGATGTGGATGCATAAAACCGCGTGGTGATGATGATGATGAAGCAGCATGGTGATGATGAGGATGATGATGGTGTATTGGAGCAGGTGACCCCGGAAGACTGCGGTTGCCGCTTGTAGTAGTCATATTATTCTTGGTTGCCGTAGTATTAGTGTCGTTGTTGTTGTTATCAAGCAGTACAAGATCAATCTTCCATTTAGCATTGTCACCCCAACGTTGTATCTAATAATGATAATAAATGAGTGGGTTTTGTGTGTGTGTGTCTCGGGAAGATGTTTGCAAGCGATAGGCAAAAAAGATACCCTCCCCACCCCCATCCAATATGATGACATACTTGTTGCCGTACAGCATTGAATATATGAGTCAATTTATCTTGTGGTGCGAGTGTGGGTGATTCCGTTGGAGGTCGATAGCTATTCGTCTCTGAAGCTGATAGTGGTGGAGTGCCAAGTGGTGAACGCGTTCGAACGGTTGCAGTGGCATCCCGTAGTCGATTGGATGCTGGGCTGAACATGACAGCAAGAATGAGGATTAACGTACAAGTCGAAAAGCAATGTCGAGTTCCAAATCGGTAGAGATGGAAATGTACAAGTAAAAAGTGGAGAGAAAGGAAAGAGAAGGAAAAAAGAGTGTCGCTGGTAGCTGCCCCGAACGCGTTCTCCAATGACTGAAGCTCTCACGCATGAAATGGGACATTATCGTATCTAAAACTGAAACCCTGACGTCATGTTACTACGGTTAAATAGCCATTTGGAATACTCCATCCTTTATTGAAAGAAAAGCATCATTCATGTGTGTTGTCTCACATAATTAACGTGTGTGCTTCGTTTGTACCAACATGCCACAGGCTGAGATAGGTGTCATTTTCTTCTAGATGCAAAGGTAAGGAGCGTACATGTGTGTGGTATGCCGAAGATATCATCCAATCACAAACAAGTCTTATGCGAGCAGGCTTGGCATAAACTATGCTTGCATTTAGGTCATACACGGGCCATTTACATATCACAGTGATAGATGATCATGCTGACAATAGCAAAAGAGAGAGACGTACAACATTCACAATAAAAAGAAAACAAAGCTTGCCTACATCATGCTCTTTTAGTCAAGGCGGACATTGGATCCGCGGCATATGCGGAAAGGCTATAATTGGTGATGAAGGCGGAGACCCAAAAGTAGGATGAACAACACCACAACAGATGACCTACCTGGTTGCCCCCCGAGTAAACACGTTCTTTGCTCTTGCGCAGTTTTCTAGTATACAACCATAGGGATTGTTGCATATACGTGCATTATTGTGTCTATTTAATCTCAATGCTCACACGTACTCACGTGCCATACTTACAGCAACGTTGTTTATTCTTCTCGATTGTGTTATGCTGTCTATCCCTGTGAAGATGCCACAATGTACGAGGCTTGCCAGCCGTGTCCAGAATGCTGCTCATAGATGTAATCTTATACCATATTTCAGTAGACCATGATCGATCGCGAAGTTGCTATTGTCAAATAACGTCATTGTACGATACGTAGCCAAAAATGGTACAGGGCATGATAGCACCTTTTGGCACTTGAAAAACTGGCAGCAGTAAGAATCTCGTTTCCATAAGTGAGCCTGCTTTAGGATTGAAGGATCATGATTCATTACATAGCAATCATTCTCCCTTTAGTGTGTATCCTGCTACATAAATGATAAACCACCCTGTAATATGCTAATGCAATTACGCAGAGAGTGGAGCGACATGCCCTTGTATTGGATGATCACAAGCGTCATGTTGTTGATGCGTATCTTAATAGAAAGGCACCCCATCTTCCTCATCGTCACGGGTCAAACATTGTTTACGCGCAAGGCGAGAAATCAGGTATTCACATCCTCTACTACCATCACAATGACATAGTTTTCATGCATAGCTCAAGAGAAAAATAGTACCCGTATGTCCAATGATTGACACGGTGCTCCGTGTCAAACACAAAAATCATAAGCCAAAGCCGTTGATCATTACGAGCAATGCATAGGTGATGTACAAGCGAGAGTGAGGTGCCCTTAATGTATTGCATGATCCCAAGCGTCATGTTGTTGATGCATATCTTAAGAGAGAGGTGCGCCCCAACCACCCCATTTTGTCGAGTGAAACATTGTTTACGCGCAAGGCGAGAAATCAGGTATTCACATCCTCTACCACCATCACAATGACATAGTTTTCATGCATAGCTCGGGAGAAAAAGAGTGTCTGTGTATAACATAAGAAATGGTAATCCATAGCCGTTGATCGTTACGAGCAATGCATAGGTGATGTACAAGCAAGAGTGAGATGCCCTTGATGTATTTCATGATCACAAGCAACATGTTGCTGACGCGTATCTCATGAGAGGGGCTCACCATGCACCCCATTTTCTCGAGTGAAACATTGTTTACGCACAAGGCGAGAAATCAGATGTTCGCGCCTTCTACCACCATCACAATGGCATAGTCCTCATGCATAGCTCGGGAGAAAAAGAGTGCGTGTATAACATAAGAAACGGCAATCCATAGCCGTTGATCCTTACGAGCAATGCATAGGTGATGTACAAGCAAGAGTGAGATGCCCTTGCAATCCATCATCACAAGCGACATGTTGCTGATGCATATCATAAGAGAGGGGCTCACCATGCACCCCATTTTCTCGAGTGAAACATTGTTTACGCACAAGGCGAGAAATCAGATGTTCGCGCCTTCTACCATCATCAACACGATAAGGGGGAATGACTCCATCACGCATAAAAAGACACCAACCGGTTATGCTCTTCCACAGCATCTTTCTTTCTTTCTTTGCTCTCATCGTCTTTATTCACACACATGCACACACGCACACAAGCCGTTCCAATGTCACGATAAGCCTTCTGGTTTTCCCGCAAGGTACGTGTGCGCTGGTGTAGATGAGTACTGAAGCATTGATTACTGACAATATTACATAGGAAAAGATGTCGTCTGGTCCCTACGTTTTGACACGGTTGTTGGCGCATATGGCTTATCAAGTTTCTCCTGCTGGAATCGAAGGCTGTACACCGTGCTCATGGAGTGGGTTTATCACAAACTACGCATCAATGAAGGGAAGTACATTTTATTTCATGGGAGCATGTTACAAAGGATCTCATTTCTTCTATATCTAGTTTTCTTTTGCCCATGTTGAGCTGACCATCTCCATGTGGGCTGACAACACGGGGTTCTGAGATGCACTATGATTGTTGGGAAGAGCTTGGTCAGGAGCTTGTAGATCCACTTTTACAGCTGCGGAGAGCCTTGTGGATTCCTTTCTTTGGTACCTTCAAGGTAAGTTATGAAGCATTATGGTCAATGCTATTTTGGTTTTGACAACGTTTATTTTTAGGGCCATTTATCATATGAATTGCCGTTATGCCTCTGTCTTAGGTGTGGCGGTAATAGCCGGCACGGTGCGAGTCCGTTGAAGCTCATTTTGTCTGAGGAGATTGGGACAGCAATCGAGGATTCATTCAATTTCTGGCTGAGGGCTAAATCAGCGGGGACCATCAGCTTTCGGGTTTGACAGTGTCCTCGCGATTAAGATACGTGGTAAGTGCTTTTTATTGGACTGCTGAGATTACAAAAAAGCTAACAGTGAATTTCCTGGGTGCGTAACTACAAGTCCCGAGTAATCCCAGCTTGTTATTATTGCCATATCCACTCGTCTGTGCACTTTTGGTCTTGTGATAATCAATCATGTCTATCCCAACTTTTGAATTTCATATCCCCCCTCCTCTCTCTCTCTCGTCATAACCTGTTGTACACGCGCCGTTAACAAAGGTACTATGCAAGAGTAGATCTACACTATGCATAACACTTGGCTGGTGCATCAAACATTTACATCAACAACGGCCCAACAGGTATGACAAGAGAATCAACCCCGGCAACGCGTGCACTCACATAAACATGTATACACGTATGCTCTCTCTCATGTTACTAAACACGGGTACAAATGAACTTGGTAATCTGTCATATGCAGCTGCGTGCTGCTGAGTTGAACTTTTGACAAGTGAGCAATGCATGCTGCGATCAATGCATAGCTCCCTTCTTAGTGTCTCCTCTATTTTACCAAACAAAAAATGTTTCTCAACCTCCTTTTTCTTCCATCTCACGCCATATTGACATACTTTGCGTATCTATCTTTTTGACCTGCAATTGTATTTATAATATAAAGAAGTGTGCGAGATAAAAAAAAGAAAATAAAAAAAGGGGGGGACGATTGCTTTAGAAAGAATAACGACGTTTGATCATCATGCGCGATGTTGAAAAAAGGGTGGGTTGTTGTTGTTGTTCTTCTGGCAATGATGATGGATGCACGGGTTGTGTACGAGAACGTGCAAGGGCTGAGGAATGTGGTTGTTTTCTATAGACAGATGGCCTGCGAACCACCCTTGATCGTCGCTTGACTATGTACATGGCAGGGGTGTGTTGCTGTGGTGATGGAGGAAGTTTATCGGTGGTGGTGTTGGTGGTGGTGTTGGTATCAACCTTCTTTGGGCTTGTAGTAGTAGGCAAACGGATCACCCGATCGACCATGACGTTGGCCAAGGCGAAAAAGATACCCCATGCAATCATACCCGTTAGATTATTGGGATCCTTGGTCGATAACGAATCGAATACCATTGAGATGAGTGCATGTGGGATATGTAAAAATGGCAAAATGAGTAGTGCCGATAACCGGAGTGCAGATGACGGCTGTACTAGTAGTTGTTGCTTTGCTTGTTGCATTTTCCTATCACTTGCTGCAAGATCACGCGACAAGGATTCAACAAGTGCCATGGATGAATCGAGTCGCTTGTACGATTCCACAAGTGGATCACGTAACACAACTGCAGACGCACGACGCATGCGTTGTTGTTGTTGTTGTCGCATACCCACTACTACTCCTTCACCAGATGAACGTCGTGCCATCAACATAGGACATGAAAGAGGTCTTGATGTTCGCTTCTTGACTACCATTGTTGGTGATGGAGCAGCAGCAGCAGCAGCAGCAGTGGTCGTACTAGTAGGTTTCAAAGGTGATGAAGGCCTTGACATGGTAGGCGATGTGGCACGAGATGATGTAGAAGGTGTTGGAGAAAAGAGAGGTTCAGCTTGTGAAGAAGATGAAGATGATGCAATTGATAGATTGGACAATCGCCGAGATTGTGTATATATTGGACGTGGTAATCGAGAAGGATGCATGTGTCGAGATCCACGTTGCTGTGCTGGTGAAGATGGTCTGATATTGTTGGTGCTGGTGCTGCTGCAGCTATTATAGTCTTCTTGTACTCTCTTATCAGACGCGTCGGCATCACTATTATTTTCATTCTCCACACCGTGAATGGCGTTGTTGGCTTCTTCAAGCAAGTTGGACAGGATGCCTGATATCCGATTAAAGGCTTCTTGTTGTTCTCCATCATCATCGTCATCATCCTTTTCAAAACAGGATTCTGGGTATAAGGACATTGCCGAGTTGGGTCGTGAAATCGAGTTTTGCTCCTTTTCGGATGACAATGGATGCTGGTTTGTCATCCATGCTGGGGTGGATACTGACGGAAATGGTTCCGGTTTAATAAAATCCTCTGGTATGGCCGATTCCTTTTACAAAAGAAACGGGGGGTTAATATAGGTGGTGGTAAAAAGAGATGGCAATAGAGAATGTATTTTACCATGATAGAGGAGGAGGACAAAGAAAGAGAAAAGAGAGGTTGTTTATGATGTGCGAGACGAAAACGGTGGCAAACAAAGAAAAGGAAGGGAGAAAGAAACTCTAGTCGTGTCTAAAAACCACCGCGTGTCCCCTGTTCTCTGCGAATTGCACATGACTTAAGAAAATCCGATAGCTTGCTTCTTGCGTTCGCTACCCCCATCACCGTATTTGGCGGCCCACTTGCGGATCTCAACCAATGAATCCATGTCTTCTGCAGAACTGGGTCGTACGAGTTTCAACGCCTCATCAAAATGAGCTTGAGTTAAGATTCGCTTCTTTTTGCTTGATACTTCTTGCTGCACAGCTCGCAGGGCAGTCGTTACACACAAGTTTTTCAAGTCCGAGCCAGAGTAGTGTTCCGTTGCGTGAGCCAGCTCCGCCAATGACACCTCATGCTCTTCGTCACGCAACAGGAGCTTCAGAATCTCCATGCGATCATCCTCTTTCGGCAAGTCAACTAAACAATCCTCATGCATTAGGCAACTGCATATAATATAAACACCCTGAACAACTCGGTCACTTACCCAATATCCGCCGTGGCATACGTCGCAACACTGCATCATCAAGATCAAAAGGTCGATTTGTAGCTGCCATCACCATCACACCTTGATTGTCACTCGATAATCCATCCCATTCCACCATAAATTGATTGATGATCTCTCGACGCGAATTGGATGATGAATCAGATCGTCTTCGTCCCAACAAGCTGTCAACTTCGTCAATGAACACGACGCAGGGTGATAACTTGCGTGCAAGTGAGAAAAGGGCCTGCATGCGAATGTTAGTACATTGCCAAATGAGGATATGCCGTGCAACCAATGATGGCTTTTCTTCTTCTTTGTACTTGCCTTGACGTTCTTTTCTCCTTCACCCACATACATTTCGTAGCTATTGCAAAAAATGGAAAGGATCAGTTATTTGTGTTTTGTTTCCTTTGTCTACACAAAACCCCGTACATGTCACTGGCTTGGATTTCGAGCATACGACTTCCACTTTCCTTGGCAACAGCCTTGGCTAACATGGTCTAATGATCATTTTAGTCTTTAAAACATCCCATGATCCCCATCCATGTTGATGATAAATACCTTTCCTGTTCCTGGTGGACCAAAGAGTAATACACCCGATATAAAGTTATCCTTGAGAATTCCTTTGCGGAACACATCTGGCCGAACCAGCGGCAGAGTGATCAAACTTTGAAGCGTGTCGATGGTCGTTTGTGGAACTCTGACATCTGCAAATGAACCATGCACCTTGTCTGCAAAAGCACTATGTGAGTTTTTCAGCTGATCCCACTACCTCTCTCGTATCACGCAACACACACACACACACACACACTACTCACATGGATCGACAATGCGGCTGAGAAAACGACTCTCGTATGAATCGCAATACTTTTGCAGCTGATGTATGTTGAGTGGCTCATTGTTGTCCATATCGATCGTTATCCGCTGCTTATCAAGGAGGCGCTTTACTTGCTTCCGCTGATCCATATTATGCCGTACAAAGTTGGTTGCAACCACAAAGTCATCAAGCGTCACCATCGTCTTGCCACTGGATAATGCGTTGCCAATAGCACAGGTCACATGACGATCAATCTCCCCTGGTTGCCATAGCGACTTTTGAATTCCTTCAAGATTTGACAACTCGGCTACCATCTTGGTTTGAGATCCCTGAAAGCCCTTGATACCAATCACATCCTTTTGCTTGAGAGCCATAAGAATCTGCCGGGCATTGATCTCGCCAATCCGCTTTGCTGCATCCACTTCTAGCTGTGTTTCCCATGATCGGAAAAGAAACGTATCATGCATAGGTGGTGGTACACTGATACATTTCATACCAGGCATGAGGGGTATATCAAACTCGGAAAGCGATCTCTTGTAATTCTGATACTTTGTTGTCAAGGAGGGTGAATATCCAGCAAGAGCAATAATTCGATGTCCTTTTTGTCGCAATTGTTCCACCGAATCCATCAATGCTTCTCGTAAGGTGAGCGACAAATGATCCCGCATTCTCTCATAATCACGAAGGTACACAATCTTGGGTGACGATGGGTTTTTGTCGTCACCGGTCATCAGCATGCGATTGAACATGGTATTGAATTTTGAATACATCTCTTCGGATGGCTTGGTTGTTGTTGTTGTTGTTGTTTCCTCTTCTGTTGTTGACGTTGTTGTCGCATCCTTAGCCTCCTCCGCTTCTTGTAATCTTTGCTCCAAACGGTTATATAACTCTTGCAGTGGTGGGAAACCCATATCTCGCAATTTGCTGATGAATTCTGTTGAAAATTCGTCTCCTACGATCGCTTTATCATCCAAGATTGACTGATCCCTGTCTACAAACATAACAATGGATGGCTGCCCTTTGGAATCAATCGACCCTTGTTGTGATGCTGATAATGTGCCTGATAAAGAAGATATGGATGAGCTCATTATCATCCTTCCTCCTTTTGTTGATTTGCTTACTTACTTTGGCCATTGCTATCACTCGCTTGTGCCAATGCAATAAAGTCTTGTGGGTCAAAGACGATGAGATCAGCTCCAACATCTGCTGCAAGTCGCTTGGCGATATTGTCTTGCATGTAAGTGGCTCCTCGACCGGGAACGTTGAGCAATAGATGGTCGGCATGATTGGATGATGCAAGTGCTCCCTTGGGTGCAAGGCCTGTTTGTACAGCGAAACGTAGCTCGTGCCATAGCTGCTCTGTAAATGACTCGGCATAGCTCGGATGTAAAGCTTGTACTTTGATAGATGAATGAGGTGTATAGTTGCTGTTGAGGAATGACTCTATAGATGTAGATGTATGCATGATCAATATCTGCTACTTTGAGAATATAGGCTAAAATAAGGGGCCTGTAAGATATACTCACTCGGAAGAACCGAAAACGATCGTCTAGATTTGCGAGAGATCTTGCGTCCTCTTGAAGAATCAGAGGAACCCTTTGAACCATTGGGCGAAGCAGCATCGAGCATTGAATGAACAAAGGCTTTTGACTCGTCGATGGGTGGCTCTGAGGAAGACGAAGAGCGTGGAGGAGGTGTGGTTGGTGCTGTTGCTGCAGCTGTTGCGTTGTTGTTACTGTTGTCCTCGGTAGCTGGTGCGTCTCGACCTGCTGCAGTACTAGCTCTTGCTAATCGTTGATAGCTCGTTCTTGCAACCCATTGTGCTTTAGATGGAAGAGTCGATCGGCCCAAGCGCGCAAACAAAACTGCTGACATGATAAGTAAGGGGGAGGAGATGTTGCAACAGCCAAGTCGAATCCTGAAATCTCAACCAGGCTTTTCATTCCCAGTCGCTCTTGTTGATAGCTCCAGTCGTCATTGGCACTTGCACCACTATAAAGCTCATTTGGTAGTAGACTACAATTCAAGTCGCTGCACATTGTAGTATTTCGACCCATTCAATAAACACGCCATGCTACATGCAATGCTCTCATTGCCATATTTATTGGATCTGTATATGTCATTTGTGTGTCTTGTATATGAAAGCAAGGATGCCCATCTATAATTCATATGGTATAATCCATCAACCATTACTCTAGCTACCTACTGAGGAAGAAGCACCACGATGCTGGGCATTGATTCTTCTATGTAGGTATGGTGGATAATATAGTTTGAGTCACGTGGTTTAATGAAAAGGCTTATGTCTGCTGCATGAATCGTACCATATTGCTTTCAGTTCCATAGTGACACAACATTTGACAGCATTTGCATAATTGATCAAGGAACAAGTTGTATGATGGATCAAGCTTGTAGACATGTGCAAACTGGGGCAAAAGACAAACGAGGAAAGGTGCAAGCTGACTTGAAATTGGGCCTCCTTATCTCAATGCAATACTTGAGCTTCCTTTTCTCTCATCTCTCCCTTGATCGCCTTCTTGTATTGATGCTGTCTTCCATTCATTAAATGACGTGTCATTGAAGCTTCTCTCTTCCCTACATTCATTCGTTCAATATACCATTTCGACCTACACCCCATTCATTCTACTCCATTACCGTTGTCCTCGATACCACTTCCTTCTTCCAATATCATCCATACTCCGTTCCGCTCCTTCCTTTTTTATCTATATCTTATTTTATCAACACAATAAGCCATGATGCCACGATCCACATCTCGTAACCAAAAAGCCAAGGTAAAGTAAGTGGGGGATGGGAAATGGAATGTGCTAGATATGTACTGATTGCATCCATCCTCCAGCTCGCAGCAGATTACAATGAATTGCTCAAGGAGTTATCTTCAACTGAAATGTCATCTGTGGGTTATTATCGTTTAGGAGAAACCATTGGCCAAGTACGTTAACTTTCGTTCCCCAAGAAAAAAAGAGAGGCATTGGGTTTAATTAGATACCTTTATAGGGAACTTTTGGCAAAGTCAAATTAGGCACGCATCAACTGACAGGCCAAAGGGTTGCCGTGAAAAAGATCAGCAAGCAACATGCTCCCATGATTGCCCGCGAGATTCATCATCATCGTCAACTTCGTCATCCCAATATCGTCACCCTGTATGAGATCATTGTTACCGAATCATCCATCTATGTCGTTTCAGAATACTGCCCGAACGGTGAATTGTTCGATGCATTAGCAACATGCGGAAGATGCCCAGAACACTATGCCCGAAAATGGTTCTCGCAACTTGCAAGTGCCATCAAATATTGTCATGAACAAGGCATTGTCCATAGGTATATACATACAACCACGCCATTCGATAGTATCATCATTCATTTAACTCATCATCACATTATCCATTACAGAGATTTGAAGCTGGAGAATATCCTTCTGGATGAGAATGACAATGCCAAATTATGCGACTTTGGCTTTGCGAGGCAAACGGATAATCGACAACTCTTGGAAACCTTTTGTGGAAGCCTTGCTTATTCCGCCCCAGGTAAACTTTTCATATCCCACCCCTTTGTTTTGGAGTGATGGTCTATTAACATCAAGTCCCCCTCTCTCTTCAGAGGTCATTGAAAGGAAAAAGTATACAGGGCCTGGTAAGAAGGATGATCATGCATCATTGTACAGCGTTCGTTTAGTAATAATGTGTCTCTATAGAAACCGACATTTGGTCGCTTGGTGTGATTTTGTACACGCTATTGGCCGGCGAATTGCCTTTTGACGATGATTCTGAAATTATGACCCAACGCAAGATTGTCAAGGGGGTATATGAGATGCCATTTTATTTCTCTACTGGTATGTGTTGTGAAAAAGCTTAAATGGGGATTTCATGCATAAGCATGTAGCACGAATCTTAAAATGAACAACATTTTAGGTTCAGCCGATCTTATCCGATCCATGCTTCAAAAAGAACCATCACAGCGAATTACAATCGACCAGATATTGGCTCATCCATGGTTGCAGGAGGCGGCTACAAATGGTTCAGAAGATACCGATGACTGGATAACCAATGCATCCTTGACACGCAATTCAAGCCAATGCGACCTCGATTCAGTGTTTTCAGGGAAACATGCAGCAATGGATGAGGATGATGGTTGCACTGATATCTCCAGTTACGACAGCTATTCGAGTCTTTGTGAAAAGTCAACCATGCATGTGGATAATCGCTTATGCCCTCCTTCTGCACAAGAATCAGCAACCGCGTCCAGGTTCTCCCCACAAGTTCGCCATAGCCTGGGTATGCTGCGACATGATGACATGAAACGTAATGCTGCTCCACGATCACCACGATTCTCTGCTCCCAGTACAATGAATATCAAGTCGCCACTATCACCACCATCGTCACCTTTAGGCAACCGATCATCCATGCCGAGCACTTTGCCGTCAAGTTTTATCAACTCCCTTTGTGATGTACCACGACATGACGTACCTTCCATGACTGCCAATGAACAACATTTGGCTGTGGCATTGACGGCTGCAGGTGTGGATAGCGAGACGATTAAAGAGATGCGAAAGGGCACATGCGATTCCTTGAATGGCTTGTGGACAATGCTGCTTGAGAAATCTTCGGCAAAATACGCAAAGGAAGGATTTGCTACTGTTTTGCAACGTCAACAGCAACAAAATACATCACGAATCCCTATCCAATTACCAACCAAGTACGCCACTAGCTGCAATGCAAGCGATGATAGCAACCAAAAAACACCATCCTCACGTATTAAAATTGATGCTACGACACAAACAGCTGATCACTATCATGCATCATCTACAACACCATCACGTCATTGTGTTGCTATGCAACCATCGCCTTCGCAACCGTCACCACAGCAACAACGTCGTACAATGAGTCATGTTCGAGGTGGAGGTACCATGCCAATCAACAACAATCGTTCCCCACCAGAGAAACAGGCTGCTGGATGGTTTAGTGCCACGGTCAAGGCATTGTTTGTTGGTAGCAACAATGAATCTGAACGCCATCAGCGTCGGGGATCGAGAACTTTCAGGAACGTGGATGCACCACCCTCCAGCAATGGTAGTTCCAGAAAGCGGTATTGGGATGATTCTGAGAACCAACAACAGCATCAGCAGCCATACAATGGAAAGGATGTTGTGGCTCATCGCAACATGAACCACAAATACAGGCTACACATGCTACAGTTTTCAGATCCACCCGCTGGTGAACTAGATCAGCTCAGCTACAGCAATGAAAAATCACGCCTTTTACGTCAACAGGATCATCGTATTTCACAGCAGCCTCATCATCACGCTTCAATGCATCATCATCCTAGTCAACGACAACAACAGCAGCGGCCATCTTCTCATGAACCACTGATTCCACCTATAGCACGCACTATCATCAAGCCAGCCACTGAGATCTTGCCTTTGATGACCGAAGCTGATTCTTCAACTTCAGTGACCATGCGTAAAAAACGGTATTCAACTACGCCTTATCGTCCATCGATTAATGATCGTGCGTCTGAAGAGGAGGAATTGGTATGTGTGCCTCCTATTGCAGCATCGGCTTTATCCACACCTCCTTCATGTCAGCAGCATGTTCATCGTGAGGAAGATAAACAACAACAATCAGATGTCATAAACACCTCATCTCAACAACAACAACAACGCCCCCCACAAATCGTTACACCTCTATCACCAGTCCTTTCAGCACTTTCACCTTCTTCATCCACATCTTCTTCCACTGATGAAGATGATCCTGCTTCACCTGTTTTATCACTTCCGGTTTCTCAAGCAAAGCAACCTATCAAGAACATTACCCCAACTACTACTACACTCTCCAATGTTTGTGTAAGTCATTCTACATTTATTGATGCAATACGCTAATAGGGTTTGATGTCTATAGCACATGCAACAGGCAAGCACAAGTCTTAGACGTCCCGAGTTTATGCCACGCTCAAGACTCAATGTTTACGGGATGAGTAGTGGTGGTGGCGGTAGTGCAAACAGCTTTGCTTCCAAGGCCATCATTGAAGAGGACGAGGAAGAAGAATAATGGTGAAGAGAGCAACATCACCGTACACAACCTTCTTTTTGAAATCCAACAAAAACAGCATTTCATATCACACAACAGCATCTTACATTAGCCGCATCGTTCTTCCATCATACACATCACCATATCTCAAATCCTTTTTTCTCCTTGTTTCATATTACTGTTATACTCTCCTTTGTCGCACGTAGTTTTTCTTTATATCCGCGTCAGCGTATCTGCGAAAGCTTACACATTAAAAATGTATGTCGTCTTTTTCGCCACGCCACCTGATATTCGTCTTTTAGCAGCTTGGGGCAAAATGATAATATGTGTGTAACTGAAAACTCACAATGAGGTGCAGCAGCAGCAGCATCATCAGCCACGACGCTTAGTGCCGTTTGTGCCGTTGCTATCATACCCGCCAAAAAATTATATGTACAAGTGAAGGGCAGCGGTGGTGTGTCATGTTATCGTCCATCAGACCTTGCCTGGTAACGTCCATGTTACACCGTATTGTAGTGAAGATCCAATCCTGTCAACAATGATCAAAGCTTACACGCATACAAATGACGTTGTATACACACCACCTTTAGTGTTTTCATATTCACATACATAGCAACGGAAGGAAGGATACATAAAAACAATAAACATGTCATTATAAAAGGACGCAAACTTTATCGGAAAACGGGATGCTCGGGTGGTGTTCCGTGGGAATGGCTAAAATTGGACATGAGCGCGCGCCCATGCAGAGAGCTTTTGCCTTTCTCTCTCTTACTCCCTTTATCTCTTTCTCCCTCTATTCCTTTCTTCTCCGCTCTTTTTCTTTGTTCCTTACTACCGCTGCAGTTCATCTTGATGCGTAGAATACTACCGTCGAAAAAGAGTAAAAAGAGACCTGGTGACCTTAAGATCCCTATTCCTCTTGTGGGAGGTGTATACAACGCAAATCTCACTGATAATCAAATCGATCAACTACTCACAGGCCGTCGCCATGATAATTCATTGTCAACAGCAACAAACGATCATCATCATAAAAAAGCGTCCTCTATCGCTGAGGAAAGATCAAATGCTTATGAGGAGAAACCACCACCACGACCTATCAGCTCACCACCTATTCTTGCTATGCCTAATCCACGTCGACCCTTTGCTCCAAAAGATTCTGTTCTTCAATGCCCGGAATATGATAAGACGCAAATTGAAAATAGCACTATCACCACCAACACCACAACACCACCACCACTCTCTGCAGAGAGCAACAACAGCGACCAGCAGAGTGTGCTTGTATTATTACCACAAAATTGGAAAGAGATTCCTAACCACATTCAACGAGAGCAAATCATGGCTGCACCAGAAAGACCAATGTTGATGGATGATTCTGAACAGTGGGCAGAAAGCAGTGAAGATTCAAATTTGCAATATACTTCAGCGCCCCAATCACCCCTTGTTTCAGATGATGATCCTTCATCCACTGCCCTGTCATTCAACCATCAATACAAACATCACCATTTATCATCTGACAGTTCCACACCAAGAGCACATCGCCATCAACGTGCTGCTAACAATATCCGTCAACCACCTCCAATCATCCAACCAACAATGGCACCTTCACAAAGACCACCTGCTGCTGCACCAGAACACAATGTTATCAGCCTTGAGGCGTTGAAACGACAAGTAGATATGATTCAACAACAGCGAGAACTAGAAAGACGTGAATGGGAAAGGAGAGAAATGGAACATCGGCAACGTGAACAAGTGATGCTTGATAAGATCATGGATACTCAACGACAACTTGAAAGAGCCTTGGCAGCAAGCAGCAATAGTAGCAATAGCAGCTCATCCAATCGGCGGCGTAATATCACAATACGCCCCTTACCGCGTGATCATGACGATGATGATGATGATGATAGTGATTCATCTATTGCTGCAGCACCTGAACGAATACGACGATCGCAACGTCGACGATCAGCTCCTGGATCGCCTCAATATCATTCAGCTGTTGAAGAAGACCATCTTGATCAAGATGATCCAATGGCATCATTTCCAAGACGTCGTGCAGCAGCAGCAGCAGCAAGAAGATCTTCCATTCGTGATGATACAGCAGCAGCTTACATGTCATTACCAGGTCCACATCACCATCACCATCATCGTTTACGACGCCCTCATCATCATCATCCATCTGCAACAACGACTACTATTATGCACCTACATCCTCCTCCTCCTATTCGTCCTCCTCCACATGCAACACCAGCTGGTGGTCCACCTCCACCTCCTCCACCACCTTTACTTTATGATGAATGGGCTGCTGCTGCTGCTGTTGGATGGGGTGGTCCACCACCTCCACCACCACCTCATTATCCTATAGCCCCACCTTTTTCAGAAAGTGCATATCAAGATGAGCCTGCATTGTATCGTTCATACAATCGTCGTTCATTAAGACAGCAACAGCAACAACAAGCACCAGGATCAACACGTATACAACATCGACGACCAAGTGGCTATCATACCTTCGTTGATGGTCCACCTTCCTTAGGATATTGATATGTAGAAAAGATCATACACTTTTTATCTCTCCCCCTCCACCCTCACCTCCTCATTGTATCATACTTGTTAAATTATATATGTATATTCTTTTGTCTTACACGTGTGTATTTATATATATTGGTTCTACATGATTAAGGTAAACAGTAGGAAAAAGAATATAATGGTAGCAAAAATCTTGATCATGAGCCATCGGTTTGAGCTGATATTTGTATAATATTTGAGTAGTTCACGCTGAGCACCCATCACATTCATCTCGATATCCTCTGTATTTTGATCAATCCTACATTTTCCCATCCCAATCATTCCATGGTCAATCACCATTCTATACAACACCTTTTTTTCATGATGACTTGCCTTTGTACCGTTTCACGTTGTTCAGCAACCATGGTAGCAAGTTGTTGAAAGATGGAACCCAATTCGGCAATCGTACTCTCGATGCTTTCGATGGCTGTAGATCGGTTTTCAATGTATCGATCTTGTTCTGCAAGGACCATTTGCTGCTGCTGCTGTTGCTGTTCGGGTGTAATCATGGGTATACCCAGAGATAATGTTGAATCTTCCGGTGGTGGTTGTGGTGGTAGCTGTTGTTGGAGTTGTTGTTGTTGCTGCTGCTGCTGATTATGCGCATCCTCGGGTGGTGAATCACGCCGCCTTGACTTGAGCAAGGGTGAGCTTCCTTTTTATCCACAACATACACACACACACGCACACTCCATCAGCATGATCAATAAGAATAATACCTTTTTCCTCTCTCTCAGCTTACCGAATGATGGATCCACAGCTTGCTCGGATGCCGAAAAGAGAAACTGATCGCGCTTGTCCTTGGACATTTTCATATTCTAACATCACATCACCCACACTTAGCTCATCATCATCCCTTCCACGTCTCCCTATTCACAACTTACCTCTGTCCTAATCTCAAGTACATCCTTAAAACTCATTGACGTATCGGCTAACTTGCTCTGAAGGGCAACAACGACATTCGATGTATGCTCGGTTGCTTGCTTGGAGGATTGGCGTTGGTGCTTGGTATAATCTTGCAACATGGCAATTTGCTTGTTGAGCTTGGCAATATCTTGCTTGATAATAAACGTCAATTCCTATATATCTCTCGTTGAGTATCCATGATGCTGCTATGAGTCGTCGACGACATACGCTGATCTCCACGGGTTTATCATCAAATAAGGTCTTGCGTTTGGCCACTACATACATGTATATACAGTTAGTGAGGTCTTGTTGCAATAGACAAAAGCATCCATATTTACGTTTGGTCAGCTTCTCTAGCTTGCTTGCTGTACTGGTGATATTACGACTGATCTCTGCTGCCATCAAGGAGAATTCGCTTCGAGGATGGTGTTGCTTTTGTTTTCCATTGGAAGTCATCCGAGGGGATGAAAGGAGTGAACGTCGTTCGAGAGTCGATGATGCGTTTGAACGTGACCGAATACGGTCCACCATGGAGTGGAATTCATTGGTGCGATCTTTGAAGGACATGGCTGGTGGTGGTTTAAAAAGGGAGGGAGGAGAAAGAGAAAGAGAACAGCACACACCATTCTCCGCTTGGAACACGCATTGGCCTTATTTGGATCTTCCTTTTGAGAGAGAGCACACGCATAAAAGGTGTGAGTGTGTGTGAGAGAGTGCATGTGTGTGTGTCATACATGTGATTCTCGCTAACGCATATATTTTAAGACCTTTTCATTCCCATTTCCTCTTTCTTTCTTTCTTCTTTACTCATTTACCACAACAACAACCGATCACCATGACGACGGCTGCCACGACGAATACTAGGAAAAAGACCTTTTCGATGCAACATACCGTACCACGCCTCCCTATCCCTTCATTGGAAGAGTCCTGTGCGCTCTATCTACAATCCTTACGTCCATTGCTGTCACCAGATGAATACCAAAAATCAGCAACGTTGGTTCAAGACTTTGTGAACAGTGATCTTGGCAAATCCCTGCAACAACGACTTGCGGATATTGATCAAGCTTCTCCTTACAATTGGCTTGAAGATAACTTTTGGCTACGAAAAGGTAAATCCATCATCATCATCATCATCATCTCTTTATTGCGTGTGTATGTGCCTGACTCAACAAGGGTTACACACATGATATAGCCTATCTGGAATGGCGGGATCCACTTATGGTCAACAGCAACTGGTATATGCTTGGCGTCAATGATCCAAATCATCCACAAGAATTATTGACCACCAATGGAGGTGTGTTGCCCAAAGGCGAGTTTACGCATTTTCAAATCCATCGAGCTGCACACTTGATTCACCGCGGTTTGGAGTACAAGGAAATTCTTGAAAAGTGAGTTAAAAAGATGATCCGTACCATCGTCTCGGTATTTCTCACGGCATGGAAAACTGACATGTGTGTATCACCACCACATACGTATAGCGAAGACATTCCTGCCGACATGATCCGAGGAAACAAGGCTCAATGCATGTGGCAGCATACCCGTATCTTTTGCTTGACACGCATTCCAATGCATCATTGCGACAAGTTGGTTCAATACGATATGGCATCCACCAAGCACATTATTGTCCTTGTACGGGATCAGGTTTATAAGCTCCCTGTATACAAGCAGCAACCTGGTACAACAACATGGACATTATTGACACGTCAAGAAATCGAGCAGTAAGGCACCCTCCACCCTTGTGTATAATATGAAAAACATGCCAGATTCATTCTTGGACAATCAATCATGCAGTGCTCTTTTGGCTATCGTATGCCATGTACAACGCATGGACAGCAATCAACTACAACCTCCCATTGGTCTTCTTACATCCTGGGATCGAGATAATTGGGCTGTGGCACGCAACCATCTACTTGCTTTGGACACCATCAACAAGGCTACCAACCAGGATATTGAATCCAGCCTTTTTGCTGTAGCCTTGGATGATTACAGTAATGGAGCCGATATGGGAGGACGTACCAAGATGGCCTTTTGTGGTAATTTGGGAATCGGCAATGGGCACAATCGGTGGTATGACAAGAGTATCACTGTCTTAGTGGAAAGCAACGGCCAATGCGTGTATACGGGTGAACATTCGCCTGCCGATGCGCTCCTTGTCAGCTATGTCTTTGATCACATGCTCATTGAACCATGCCCGCCACCCTTTGACATCCGCCCTGTGGCACCTGACGCAGTACAAGATGCATCATGCTTTGAACATCTCACATGGAAGGTTGATCCGGTTATTGAAAAGTGCTTGGAGAATGCTCAAAAGGCGGCCGATGATACAGCAGCATTCTCAGATTCATACGTTGAAGTTTTTGAAGATTATGGCACCGATTGGATCAAAAAAGTAGCCAAGCTCCCACCCGACGCCTTTTATCAAATGACAATTCAACTTGCATACCACCGTATCCATGGCAAGGTTGCGCCAACGTATGAGACAGCATCCACTCGGCAGTTTTTACATGGTAGAACGGATACCATTCGTACATGCAGTGTGCAAAGCAAACGATTGTGTGAAGAATGGATGAATGAGCAAAACGATGTAAGTCATTTGACAAGGTTCTCTTTGTTACCCTCTATTCGCATGATGTTGTTGGTGGTGGTATCTTTGTTCTCATGCATACAGTACATGTTCAATTTGGGCATTTTAATATAGGCCAAAACCAAGTACGATCTTTTGAAAGATGCCATCAATGTCCATCGCAAGTACACCCAAATCTCGAGTAATGGCCATGGATGTGATCGTCATTTGATGGTGCTGCGTCTACTCAACATGGATCATCAAATTGTATCTCCTACCACGGGCAAGCTTGTACCAGCACCTATGCATCCAATGTTTGAAGATCCTATATTCAGCAAATCACAAACATGGGTGCTTAGTACATCCAATTTGCATTCGGGAGTTCGTCTTATGGGCACTGGTTTTGGTTCAGCTGTCAAGGATGGCTATGGTGTCAATTACATGGCCGCTCCCACAGTGGTCAAGTTCACTATTGAAGTAAAGCAAGTGCCTGATACAGTGTCTGCCAAAGAATTTGGTGCAACTTTACGCAGAGTACTATTGGAGCTCAAGGACGTTTGTGAAAAAGTCCACCAATCCACATCTTCAACAACAGTGCAGGCAAGGATGTGAAAATGGTCTTTGTTTATCCCAAATCCACATATATCCCATATAGCACACACTCATTGTCTTTGTGTTGACCTCCCCCCGCCTCCTCCTCATCTTTAGACAATGTGCGCATTTTGGCACTAGAATAATAAAAAGCCAATACTATTTTACACGTATCCATATTATCCTTTCTTTACGATCTACCTTCGACTCTACCTACTCCTCCCTCCTCTCGTTATTCTTTCCTTACAGCCATTATTACACACACCCTCCTTTATTTTTCCATACTTTCCTTTACAAATGTCTCAAGAAACCTCTTTTCCAATCCCTACTATGATACCTGGTCTCATCGATGATACCAAGACTAAGGATGTCAAGATACTAGCTGAGCAAACCATGATCCACGCAGGAAAACAACGTCGTCGTCGCACACGTAATCGTGGATTTGACCCTAATCACATTCCAAGACCAGTCAACTGCTTCATGCTGTATCGTATCGAGATGCAAAAGTATATTCGAAAGCATTGTCCATACGCCAACCACCGACAAATCTCGAAAATTGTAGCCAAGTGGTGGCATCAAGAGACCGAGGAAATCAAGGACGAATTCCGCTCTGCTGCTGACAAGGTTAAAATGGAACATCGTAGCAAGTAAGCATCATCAACGTTTAATCTTTGGAAGTTTGATTCTAATGTTGCTTATCTTTACAGGTATCCTGAATACAAGTATTCCCCCAAGAAAAAGAAACAGCAAGAGCCAAAGCATCAAGAGCCAAATCAGCAACATGTAGTGCCTCACAATGTTCAAGAAAGCAACGTTGATGAGAAGTTCGAGACCTTTGATTATATGGCTAGTGCTCCATGGCGCCAACAACCTGCTACCTTGTATGGTGATGAGAAGCCAAGTCCCGTTCTTTATATGCCACAGCCTCAGTATTACATGCTATCACCTGAAACAGCTCTTCCTTCCTCGCATCTGCCATCGTTGGATTACCCACTTACAAGCACTTCTGCAAGCTTGAATACACCAGTGTGGGATTCGAAAGCACTAGACCATGATGACTATAAGCTTGATATGCCCAAAGGCAGAGGTTGTGCATTATCATCGTCATCATGTTCGTCATCGTCCTTGTCCCCTGATATGTGGAGCAATCCATCCTTGCCATCATGCAACTTGGAAGCCTATGCTTTGCAGCAGCCTATCCTTGACCATCATCCAATCATCAGCCCGTGGACCCATTCCTTTGTTCCAGTAGGACAAGAATCAATGCTAGTGGAGCCTCTCGCTTCTGATTATTCCAGTAGTAGTACCCATGACAATGCCTAATCACGTGTCTAAATGTAAAGCAAGTATGCATGGCATACTATGTTTGTTGTAGTAAATAAAGATTCGGATTCGTTCAGTAAAATAATTTACCGAGGCCACACAGGGATGCAGGGGGATGGAGATTCAATCCACTGAATAAACACCACTCCTTTGTCTTACACAAAATCATATCCATGCCGTGTTTTCCCATCCCAGATCCAAAGGGCACTAGCCATTATACCCGTATTCCTTTTGAATTTGATCAAGAACGCAAGTTGGTGTTGTTGTTTATATGACAAGAAAAGAAAAATGGAGCTAATTGTATCTATTCGTTCTAGTCACTGCATCCCGTGTCTTTGTCAAGCTTCCTGATGGTTTTTCGCCCTTGGAACGGATGGTGTTGCAGACAACAGGCAACTTGCAACGGCTTCTCTCCGCATACTTTAACGTCCCAAGTCGTGTCACCATTATCAAGAACGAATTGGTCCCATGCGATGCTGGATCGTCAGGATCGGACGATGACGACGATACTTGCCGACATTCCAGTGCCAGCGATCTAAAGAGCAACCTCGATATGCGATTCGAACGACGTATTCTCATGCATTTTGGCGACAAGTTTGCATACGATGCCGACTCGATTGTCACTGTCAACGACCAAAAGACACTTGGCTTATTGACGAACCATGAATTTGGTCTGGGTCAGGTATTCAGGTATGTGTGTGTGTGTGTATGCGCCTCATTTGACAGGGCGTCTATGCATTGTGATGCAACTTGACTTTTGACATGTTTTCTATTATGCAGTCACCTGCGACACACACCCAAGTTTGCATTGCATGCTATAGGTCGTCATGGCACCGAGCACGGAAGCAGTTTTTGGAGAGATTATACATTACAAGCTCCTGGCGTCGTCAATTGCTTTATTCGTGAGACTTTTGTGGAAGGATTGTTTGAACCATTCACAGGTGAACCTTCGAATCAAGGTACTATTTGGTATTCTCCGGAATGTTGCTGTGGTGCTAGTACTTCTACTACTACACGTCGTCCTGAAGCTCAACATACATTGATCTAGTTCTAGTTGCATTTTTTTCTCCCCCTTCATCATCTTCATCTTCATCGCTTAGCATCGATTTATTCTATTTTCAATACATACAAAACATGGATACCATTGTCCTGCATATGTACTTAATATCATGACCTGCCATGTATGGTATACAATGAACCCTGCAGCAGCAGCCTTCTTTATCAAATGCAATCAAAAAGTACTTTGATATGCTTATCTATTGCGTCATTTTACCATCAATCATGCATCATGCATTTATCCCTACTCTCGGTCATTTATCATATAGTAGGCCCTCCTACTAGCTTGCTTATTATGTAGGATGGGTTAAAGCACTGGTGGGATCAAGCCCGTCCATGACAATGATGCTATTTATGTTCATTGTTTATCATATCAAAGAGGATTGATCTCGAGGCCAGAACCATCAAATGAAGCGCGCGTCATTGTGTACCGTCATCATCTTGTCTTGGCTATGACCTGTATTTGTGTACCCATTTATACACACAAATCCAGGCTAAGGTGCCAAGAGAGCGAACAAGTCCGATACACCGTGCCACATTAATGCACCACCCTCTCTTTATTTCGTCTATATTCAAAAAACACACGCCCCGATGCAACCACCACCACCAGCTACCAATGGTCCCGTCATTGCAGGCTACTTTGTCAATTGGTATGATCTCATGCACTGAACTGTCACCAAGCCAACCGCCTTTTCTTTTCATTCAGGGGGATTTATGCACGCAACCACAATGTCATAGATCTCGCACCCGATGCACACAAGCTCACACACTTGCTATATGCTTTTGCCAATCTCGAGCCTTCTGGCAACGTTATCCTCGGCGTATGTACATGTAGGGGAGTAATGGCTATGTCTATCAGCGTACTTATTTGGTTGGGGTTGGGCATTAGGATGTATGGGCTGATAAAGACAAGCATTTCCCTGCCGAACAAACGATTGATGGGCAAGCTGACAGCTGGAATGACCAAGGCAACAACTTGTATGGCAACTTTAAGCAACTCTATCTACTCAAGCAACGCCATCGACATCTCAAAGTGACTCTCAGCGTGGGTGGATATTCATGGTCTGCCAATTTCGGCGCCGTTGCAGCGGATCCACAGAAAAGGGCTACCTTTATACAGTCGGCTATCAAGCATGTTGCTGATCTTGGATTGGATGGCCTAGGCAAGTATATATCGATCACGTCAAGAGATGGTATTGGAAGTTCTAAAAGGTAGTTTTTGTGATTTAGATATTGATTGGGAGTATCCAAAGAATCCTCAAGAAGCATTCAATTTTGTGCATTTGCTGTACGAGTTACGTATCGCTCTTGATCGATATCAGCAAAGCTTGGGACAAACAAACGAGCCGCGTTTACTACTCACTTTGGCCGTTGCATGTGGACCCGACAACTACCGATTGCTTCGACTACGTGAGATGGAGCCCTATGTGGATATCTTTTATTTGATGGCGTACGATTTTGCAGGCTCGTGGGATAGCCAAACAGGGAATCAATCAGCATTACATGGAGGTTCAATCAATGGCCATCGAGCTGTGACCGATTATATGCAAGCAGGTGTTCCGCCCCATAAGCTGGTACTTGGCATTCCTGCGTATGGTCGTGCCTTTTCCAACACATCAGGACTTCATTCGAGCTTTCGAGGTTTACCAAAAGGAACTTGGGGAGAGGATGGCATGTATGATTACAAAACACTTCCCATGCCTGGAGCCACCGAACACAACGATCTTCAAAATATGGCCTCCTATTCATATGATCCTGCAAAACGAGAATTTGTCTCCTATGATACACCCGAAGTCGTTCGAGCCAAATGCGAATATGTTAAACAAATGCGGCTTGGTGGTGCCATGTTTTGGGAATTATCAGCAGATCACAAGGACAATCATCCACGCAGCTTGCTGAATACAGTCTACAACTCATTCGGTGGTCGCCTAGATACAATCCCCAATCATCTTCGCTTTCCACAAAGTCAATATGATAATATCAGAGCGATGGGAAATATGTAATAAACCAAGTATCCGGTATATTGATTAGGAGTTTCTAAGATAGTAAATAAAAGATGATACTACTACATGTATGGGAATGATGTTATAAAAGGTCTATGAATAGGATGTATGTATTTATGCGGCATTAGGGCGGAATCGAAGGTAAAAGTTGACAATGAGCGCACCAACCAAGAGACAACAGAGAACGGCAGGGCCCCATAAATCATCATAGCGACCAAGCACACGACGATTGATCATCCTGAATAAAAAAATGGATATGAGTTAAGAGTATTTGAAAAGACAAAAAGAACAATGATACATACCATGCACGTTTCTCAAAGCGATAAAGGGCATAGATGGCAACAACAGCCGAGATACCAATGAAGATACCACCAGCAATACGCGAGACATTGTCACCAAAGTTGAGTAAACTGAGAGCCACCGTCAACAACAATGCACAAAATTGAAGCCAGCTGATGAATGTACGTTCGTTGGCAAAGAACACCTTGGGCTCAATCTTGATTTTCTTGAGTGGCACCCGCTCATCACCATTCTTCACAGTAAGATTCTGGTTGGCACCTTTGCCGAAAAGCACACGCTCCCATAATTGCATTGGACGTTGGGCAATCATTTCTTCCTCGGCTTCCTTGTCCTTTTTCTTCTTTTCCTTTTCCTTGGTGATCACACGCTTGTTTTCCATATCCAATACAATATCACCCTTTTCCAATTGTACGTCTTCGCCCAACTCGTTCTTGTCATCGATGACGGGTGAAGGTAACGGAGTGCCATAGTCTCTTGGTGCATCACCTGTTTTGATAATAGTGGCACCCACAGGCTCGTTATAGGTGGTTGATCCAGTAGATGACAGCGTACCAAGCGAGATATTGGAATGTTTACCCATTGCTGATCCAGGTGCTAATAAACCAGCCTCCCCTTCTTTTGCCTTGGTTGGGTCTGTGGCTATCGTAGGTGGTTGTGGTTGTGGTGGTGGCTGTTGTGTTGTTGGTCCTTCATCAACCAAAGTGCCATTCGATGTGCGTTGTTGTGGTACGGCAAGCTTTCCATCCTTGTCCTCAAGTTGTTGTTGCTCTGCAGCTTGTTCTTCTTCCTTTTGCTTATTGACATGGGCATTGACAACATCAATACGACGCTCCTCAGCTTGCATAGCAGTACGATATTGACCATCAATCAAAGGCTTGTATGAAGTTGAGCGACTCAATCCAAAATTGGTTTCACGTGGCTTGCGAATGTCAATATCCATCTCTGACAACCACCAAGGAAGCAAAGGTAGATGATCACGGAAAAGATTGGCTGCAGCGTGAAGGTACTTGCTAAATCTTGGGACTTCATGCACCAAATGAGACTTGATAAGATTTTCCAACCATGCTGGAGGCTCTTGACCCAAATGACTTTGCACCTTCGTTTCAAGTACAGCATAAGGAAAGCGTACGATATCCTTTTCATCCACATGGTTGAATGGATAATCAACACCAACATCAGGACGGTGCCATTCTTGCCAAGAAGGAGCCTTTTCACGAATAAAAGTAAGGTCTGTATCAAGGCTTACACGCACACGCTGATCACCAGGTAGCTGGAATGCTGTACGATTATAAAAGATGCGCACCACAGGACGTAAATGTTTCTCGTGAACCGATTGTTGAACACCCGTTGCAATAAATTCCGTATCTTTGGCTTGCTGAGGATTATCCTGGAAGCGAGATGCAATGGTTTGTGGTGATAGCTTTCCTTCTAAGAAATCGGGTACTTCTTTTGCATCCAAACGAAAACGATCCTTGATGGAAACACCATTCAACCAAGGAGCATGATGTGTCTTGCGTTCAATAAAGATACTGTGTTGATCCGATGGGCCATACCAGCGAAAGCGAATAGCCTCAGCACCTTCATCACGTTGTAACCTTCCCGTGTACAAGTCAAAATCCTCGTTATCAAAGTAAACCGATGAGATGGCTGAATCGGTTTGCTCATATGGCTTGTCTTTGTTGAAAATAAGCACCGGCAAATGAAGCAGCAAAATCGATTGCACCTCTGTGACGTTATCAGGATGGATCCAATACTTGGCCGTGGCACGTTCAAATGCATTTTGTGAACCACCAGCAGCTGCATTGCCCGTTCTTGGTTTGCCTTGACGTCGACAAATATCATGCAAAGCCGAAATAAACACAATGGCCACATCAAATCGCTGATTATCCAAAGGCTCCACACGCAACCACTCGACCAATTTTTGCTTGAGGTTCAAGTTTGTCCACTTGTCGTGCTTTTTGACGATCTTTACAAAGCCGGTGTAGTTGATGCGAGTAAACTTGGCAAGGTCGTTGATATCAAAAAGCACTTCAGTCAATGCATCATCCATGATTTGCCAGCTTTGATCAGAAGCCCATCGTGGATTGCTCATAAAAGACTTGACCGTACGCTCACAATAGCAAATGCGTGCATCGGCTTCACGCATCTTTGCAGTGACAAAATCGTACACCTTATGAAGTTCACTTTCCACGAGGTGAGAAAAGTCTCGTTCATCTTCATCGGACCAGGGGTGATCCATTTGTCGCATCTTGAGTTCAGTCTTGAGCATGTCATATTGGATATAGGAAAGGCGCCATGGAGGAAAAATCTCCTGTTGCAATTGTGCGCCAAACTTCATGATGGAAAAAGAAAGCGAAAGGGAGGAAGAAACAAAAGCAGAGAGAGAGAGAGAGAGAAGATCAGAGAAGAAGTTATCAACCCCCTTCACACAACATAACAACCACGGCGGCTAAGGTATAGCCTTGAAATTCACGCACAGCAGCAAAAGATTACCAGTGAAACCCTTGACCGCTGGGATTGAGCGGTGGATTTGGGTGTCCCAAGCAATGGCCTTTGGTATGTTTCGTAATGGAAACATCGGCCCGAATGCCGTAACCATTGACTCATGCCGTTTTGGTAACACGAAGTATGCGTAAGCGAGCTGTCATGTCGGGTCTGTGCTTTAATGTCGGTACCTGGTTTCTCATTACACATGCTTTATTTGTTTGAATTTTCCCCAAAAAGGACAGTAGAAGGGTTATGGAAGATGTGTTTCGGGAAATTCATATACATCGTATAATCCATGGGGAAGGGAATAATTTGTCTAATACTTATTGTTGTCGACCGGTGCTGTTGTTGATGTTGAGGTAGGTAGCGTTGGGATCCACAGGTTGCATCATACGCAAAACAAAGTTGAGCTATGTGATGAGACAAGGTGAGTGAAAAAAAATCTTTCAAGCATTATGCTGACTAATTACTTACAATCAAGGCTCCAACAAGAAGAATGCACAAGCCAATTGGGCCATACAAGTCGTCGTACCGTATCCGAGGACGATTGGTAATTTGCCATGCACGATAACGGTATCGTCCAAATGCATACAATGACAAGATCATCGATACGCCAAAGAACACTGCACCAGCAATCTTACTCGTCTTGTCACCAAAGTTGATCAATGTCAAGGCCGCCATAAGAATCAAAGCTGCAAATTGAAGCCAATTGATAAAGGTGCGTTCGTTGGCGAAATAAATCTTGGGTTCAATTTGCTTGATTTCCTTCTTTTTCTTGTTGCCTTTGCCATTATTATTGTCGTCATCAATCAACAAGACCGAATCACGTCCCTGAGTAGGTTGAGTTGTTGTTGTTGTGGGTAGTGGTTGTGGTGGTGGTGATAACATGGCTGATGATTGTTGTTGTTTCTTTTCATTGATGATGGGCCGTTCCACCAAATAATCAGTTGAAGAGCTGTCAACCATGCCATTGGTACTGCTGGCCATAAAAGGCGAGTTGCGATTACGCATTCCACCCACTTGACTGCCATTGTTGTAAGACCGAGATACTTGTGAATCATGCTCGAAATCAAGTGGCTCACTACGACTCCAAATAGGGTCCTCAAATGGATTACTGCTGACATCCAATGCTTGATGATCTTTGCCATTGCCATTGACCATACCACCAGCAGCATAGGTTGGACGAGGCGTTGCTTGTGGTTGCTTCTCGCTTGGTTTGCGTTTGAGAGTGGCGCGCTTTTCCAATTGCGTGTTGAGATAACCCATGCGATAACGGCCATCAATAAGAGGTTTGAGACTCTTGGATCGTGACAAACCAGAAAAGTTGCCGGTAGGTTGTTTGGCATTACGGATATCCAAATCCATTTCAGTGAGCCACCATGGCAACAATGGCAACTTTGGTTTCCAAAAGTGAGCTGCACCATGCAAATACTTTGAAAAACGAGGGACTTCATACACCAAACGCGAGTCAAGCAAACGAGTAAGCCATTCAGGAGGCTCCTGACCAAGGTGTGTTTGTAACTTGGTTTCAAGCACGGCATAAGGGAAATGGTATACATCTTCGGGTGGTAGATAAGAGAATGGATGATCGATTCCCATATCAGGACGACGCCAACCACCTTGACGACGCTTGCCATCTTCACGAACAAAAGTCAAGTCTGTGTCGAGTGAGATACGCAATCGTTGATCACCAGGGATTTGGAATGCTGTGCGGTTGTAAAAGACTCGCATCACCGGGTCAAGCTTTTTATCACGGATCGAAGTCTGTACACCCGAAGCGATAAAATGATTTTGGCGTACAAGATCATCCGACATGGAGCCGGCAATATCCCGAGCGTATTGATCTGCGGTGTAACGTTGATGGATAAAATCATCGACTTGGTTGGCATGCAATCGAAAACGATCTTTTACGGATGCACCATCAAGCCAAGGAGCATGGTGCGTCTTTCGTTCAATGAAAATGTGTGGCGTTTCCATGGGACCATACCATCGGAATCGAATCGCTTCGGCACCTTCATCACGTTGGAGACGACCCGTATAAAGTTCATAATCACCGTTATCGAAATAAACAGATGAAATGGCACTGTCACTAGGCTCAATGGGCTTATCCTTGTTGAAGATGAGCACTGGCAAATGAAAAAGCAGGATTGCTTTGAGCTCCGTAACATTATCCGGATGCACCCAATACTTGGCTGTGGCTCGTTCAAAGGCATTTTGATCAGCGCCTGCAGCTGCATTGCCAGTGCGTGCTTCACCATTCAAGCGGCAAATGTCGTGCAAAGTTGATATCTTGACGAGCGTTGTATCAAATCGTTGTCGATCGAGGGGTGCCTTGGATCTGGAAATGTCAACCAGGAGCTGTTTGCCATTCGTATGCGTGTATTTGTCATGCTCCTCAATCAGCTTCTCCAATGCAAGAAAGTTGTAACGGGTATACTTGGACAAGTCATTCAGGTCAATCAGAATGTCCGTCAGCGCATCGTCCATCGTGTCATAGACTTGGCGTGCCGAGGCTGCCGTCAAATGCTGTCGTTGTTGTACAAGGGTACGTTCGCAATAGGCAACTCGTGAATCGATCTCTCTTTGCTTACGAGTGATGAATTGATCCACCTTATCAGCTTCCAATCGTAATGTGCGTTCAAAGTCGGCTTCGTCGTTATTCGACCATCCATGGTGTTCCTGACGACTCAACATGTCATTGCGGATAGCTGTAAAAGATACATATTGAAATCGCCATGGCTCATAAATGTTTGCTTCCAACTCTTCAGCAAATTCCATGATTGATATGAATAACAAGGAATAGAGACAGAGAGAGAGTGAAAGAGAGAAGAGGAAAATGAAAGAGAAGTAAGAAAAAGGGGGTCTTTGGAATCGGGGGTGAAGAAACAAAAGAGGGAGAGTGTAGGGGAAAAGAGAAATAGATGTCCTCACGTGTATGGCGCATTCAACAATATGCAAACACAACTATACCAAGTACAACCTACTCCCCTCTCTCAACCAATACCCTTGGGTGATATATTCTTAGAACAACAAACACTGATGCCCCAAACAAGAGGTCATGTGCCTACATGTGCACGCCACCTGCATTACTCCCTCTCTCCTCTCTCTCCATCTCTCTCTCTCTCCTCCCCCGTTTATCATCATCATCACCCATTCACATTATATATAAACTACTACTTACCCCGCCATTGCTCTTGTAATGTAAATCCCCGGATTTTCCCTCTTTCCATACATATGATGCACCATGACATTGCTAATCAAAACCATATCCATCCATCCACCCAAATGAATAATAATGAGCTATTTGCATGTATGTATATACTACGTGTAGTTTTGTGGCGCACGCAATTCACAACGCACATCTGTTGTACCTTGTGTAAAGCGTACTAGAGCTTAATCATTCATTTAATAGGGAACACAGCAGGTTTGCCAAGATGCAAGAATTGCCATCGTGCATCAATCTTCTTCTTCCCCGCCGCTAAGCGCGCCATACTCTTTTTCTTTCGGAACCTTCATCAAGTAGTACACAGTCAAAGCATAATCAAAGGTTGTACAAAGGAAGCGGCTAAACATAGGCACACTTCCGAAAACGACATCAATACCAAATCTCAGGTTGCCAAGAGCATTGTATTTCTTTGACCATCTTACGTACTGAGAGTTAAATGATCGGCGCTGGATAACAATCCTGCAGCAAACATGTCGCCCATCGGCACGTCACTTGACCTAACATCATTCTTCGCATGCTTCTTCTTGCCACACCAACATCATCGTGTGATCTCGTATTATGCTGGTGTACGTACATCATAGGTATAGGATCGATGATTCTATGCAGGATGCATATTCTTCATGACTTAGCATCATACGTGTAGTGGACAAGCCGTGTGGTATCGGCATCCTCGTTATTACTTTATCCTCCTTTTTGAATTTCTGCTACATACCCATTATCCACCATCAAATGCATGAGCTTGGTGACGATCGGTGGCAACGACTTGTAATGCTGTTATGTATACACATGATGCACGCGTTGTACATACAAAAAACTAGGTACAACTCTCTAAGGGTTCTTGTTATTGGATATCAATTGGATCAATATAGAAACCATTGGCAAAATATCTTTTTGCTTATAGACGCTCGATATCACCATGGATACTAATGCTATGGTTACGGGTACTAACTACAATGATACGCTTGAACAATTGCCAGGCTGACTACATACATACATGCTATATGTATTCCTGCATAATAAAGTGCTGCATCACGCAGCTCTTCTATTTTAGCATCAATAGCGTAAATGTTTGGTTGGGTTCGTTGTGTGAAGCGATTAGGAAGGTAACGATTTCCAAATGTTTGATATTGTCTTGGCAAGCTGATAGATACGCTGGTCTCGATTCTCGTTTCGGGGTCGGCTTCGATGATAAATGACAGCTTCACTATGCTAAGCATCGATTCAACATGAATCCATATCACTGGTAGCATAGCAACAACGTTGTTTCATGCAACCTTGGTGGAATGGCTTATTGGGGCGTGTTGCAAGATGTACTTTGAGTATAAAGATCACATTAATCCAACACCTTTGCTGTAACTTGCGATCTTTTTTACGGCGAGTGCTTTATATACAAATGGGACTGTTTGCAAAACAACAAAGGGTAATCGAGACCTCGATATGGTAATTCGCAAGACCAATGTCCTGAAATAATTCATGCAAGTCGAACTTGCTCCTCACTCTTAGCCCCTTTTTACATTCAAACATGTCGAAGTAATAAAAACAGTTGATGGATCAATCATGACTATGCATTCGCAGCTTTCCTAAAGACCGATTTATATATTGAATGGGGTATATAAAGAGCATTATGAAGGGAAGCTATGTAGACTATGATGAGGGCTTAATAATGGGGGATCATGAGATGATGCTGGTTGAGTAGCAGCAAACGTCATCCAATGGGCTTTTGGGTTTCACAAGCCGCTTGCAGACGAAAAAAAAGTGAGTGGCGTTTTGGGCCGCACAGCTTTCCTGGCTCACACACACAACACAACGAAACGACTTTGGTGAAGGAAGAGTCCTAGACGTCCCCTTATAGTCGACCGCACCATACACAACAACAAAACCATCGTTCTTGAGTTGTCTTTCTCTCTCAATCCCACCGATTCGCAACCCAGAAGGCAAGCCACAATCTTTTTCATTGGGGGGCGGGGGAGAGGAGGGGAATGAGAGAAAAGGGTCCATCGGCACAAAAAAGGGACATGGATAGCATGAGCAGAGGATGGGAGTGACGACCTTGTGGGTGTTGGCTGTGGGGGGAAGCAAGCGATCCTTTTTACGAGGCCCCATTTACAACGTCATGCTGACTTTTTCTTTGTTCAATCTTTTTCCAGACACACACAGACACACACACACGCACGCACGCTCATACACACACCATCCATCCCCCTTCATCCATTGACTTGTCCACCTTTTATCGGCAATCATGAGCAACACCTGGCAACCAACCGAACAAGGACTCTCTGACCTTTTGCAGCTTTTGCGTGAAGCTCTTAACCCAAGCGACAGCCATGCTGTGCAGCAGGTATGATATCAGGGAATTGAGGGATTGGGGATAGATACATAGACAACAGGCCATACTCATGCTTGCGATATGTAGAAATTGGAGTACTTTAATAAGATCCCGGATTACAACTCGTATCTGGTTTATATCCTTACAAAGATGCCTCAAGAAGATCAATATGTGAGATCCGTCGCTGGTCTTACTCTCAAGAACAATATCCGTGGACATTATCCCACCATCAGTCCTGAAGTGGTGGATTATATCAAGGAATGTTCGTTGGAGCATATCGGTGATCCTGAGATCGGCAAGGCTGTTGGTATTGTGATTGCAGCCATCGTTGAACATGGTCATGTACAAAACTGGGTCCGAGCCTTGGAGGTCTTGATGGCAAAGCTCGATGATCCTAATCCCACTGTTGTCGAGGTATGTTGGTTACGAGAGGAATGGCTACATGAGAGAAAGAGAGAGATGGTATGATAATAACACATTGTATGTATAGAATGCATTCACCACCCTGCAAAAGATTTGTGAGGATTGTTCACGTGAACTTGACCAAAGTGTCAATGGTGTTCAGCCATTGGCGTTCATGATCCCAAAGTTCATCACTTTCTTTGCTCATCCACAAGAAAAGTTGCGTCTCTGTGCTATCAATTCGACCACTCAATTCATCACTTTACGATCTGCTCCTCTCATGAACAACATGGAACCCTTCTTGACGGCGCTCTTCAGCCGTGCCACAGATGATAGTCTTGAGGTTCGCAAGGCCGTTTGCCAAGCTTTGGTCAGCTTGCTTGAAATGTGCTCAAGTGTCTTACTCCCTCAAATGGCCAACATTGTCGACTACATGCTCTACTGCACCCAATCGGATGACGCTGATTTGGCCCTGGAAGCGTGCGAATTTTGGCTTGTGTTTGCTGAACAAGATGATTTGCGTGAGCACTTGCGACCTTTCCTCCCACGTGTTGTACCCGTGTTACTCAAGGGCATGGTGTATTCCGAAATGGACTTGCTTACATTGGGTGGTGACGAGGACGATGCCCATGTTGCCGACAGCGAACAAGATATCAAACCCCGTCATCACAAGGCCAATGTCATTGAGAATGAGCATGCCGAAAAGCCTGAAGGTGCCGGTGATAAGCAAAAGAATGGTGCCGACGACGACGATGAAGATGAAGATGATGATGATGATTATGATGATGATTTGGATGATGAGTTTTATGGCGAATGGAACTTGAGAAAATGCAGCGCTGCTACATTGGACGTTTTGTGCACAGCATTTGAAGGCGAAGTGATCCGATTACTGATGCCTCTTCTCAAGACTGAGCTCGAAAGCACTGATTGGTTACATCGTGAATGTGGTATCCTTGCACTTGGTGCTGCTGCTGAAGGTAACAGGGAAATTTTGGATACATGAGGAAAAGATGGATGGATGGATAGCTGACATACGTGATAAAATTAGGTGGCATGCAAGAAATCGCTCCTCATCTTCCAGAGCTTGTTCCCTATCTTTTCACAAATCTTAATGATCCAAAGGTAAGAGATGTCAATGGATGGTGATGGTGATGGTAGGTTACTTACACAGAGGTATCATAGCCCCTTGTTCGATCGATTACATGCTGGACATTGGGTCGTTATGCAACATGGATTCACCAGGCCAAGCACTTTTTAGAACCATTGATCCAGAACTTGTTGCAACGTATACTAGACAACAATAAGCGTGTACAAGAAGCAGCATGTTCATCGTTCTCACTCCTCGAGGAAAGCGTTACCGTTGATCTTGTTCCATATCTTCATCCCATCCTTGTGACGCTTGCCACAGCATTCGACAAATATCAACATCGCAACTTGTTGCTCCTTTACGACACTGTGGGCACTTTGGCCGACGTTGTTGGTGCAGCAATCAATCAGGAACAATTCATCAACATCATTATGCCCCCACTTATCAAAAAATGGCAAGAGATTCCCGATGACAGCACTGATCTTTTCCCCTTGCTCGAGGTAAGCTACATACATAGCTGGTTGGCAATCAAAAGGATTTTACTAACCCGCCCTATCTGATAGTGCTTGTCATCCATTACGACTGCTCTTGGCATTGGATTCAAGCCTTTTGCACAACCCGTCTATGCACGATGTGTGAGCTTGGTTTGCAAGACCATCGGAGAATGCCAACAGGCCGCCAACGATCCCTGTTTAGAAGTTCCCGACAAGGATTTCATGATTGTTGCTTTGGATTTGCTTTCTGGTATCATTCAAGCCTTGAACACGGACGCTGAGCCTTTGGTGGCTAGCACCAATCCTCCCGTGGTCCAATTCCTTTCTATTTGTGTTCAGGTAATGTGGCGGCAAATCATGTATTTGGGATAGTGTATTGACACTCGTAATAGGATGAAGTGGCCGAAGTACGTCAATCCGCATATGCTGTTCTTGGTGATTTGGCCATCTCTTGCTTTGAGCAAATCCGTAACGTGGTGCCCCAATTCATGCCTCATATCGTGAGCCAAATTGATCCTCAAGCCGAACATGTATCTGTGTGCAACAATGCAACATGGGCAGCTGGTGAGATTGCTATCAAATGGGGTATGTATATATATAAACTTGCATGTGTATCTATGCTAATGATTATATAGGACAAGAGATCCAACCTTATGTGGATCCCATGCTTCAACGATTGTTCATGTTGATTGTTAATCCCGCTATCCAGCGCACTTTGTTGGAGAATGTTGCTATCACCATTGGTCGTCTCGGTCTGGTTTGTCCTCAAATTGTCAGCAGTCACCTTCACGTATTCATCAACCCATGGCTCAGAGCCCTTGTACCTATTATTTCCAACGATGAAAAGGCATCAGCATTCAGTGGTCTTTGTGAAATGATTAAGATCAATCCTGAAGGCGCCGCAAAGGAAATTTCTCACTTTGCCATTGCTGTGGCTACCTACGCTGAACCACCCCCTGACTTAGCACAGTCATTTGGACATGTAAGATGGATATACAAAATAGAGCGGTAAATGGCAGTGCATTAACCTTATTGGATCGTCTTAGATTTTAAGTGGATACAAGAACATGTTTGGTGAAGAACAATGGCAACAGCTGATGCAAAGCTTTGAACCAAATGTACCAGCTGTATTACAGCAACGATACGGTGTCTAGTTAGGAGTAATAAAGAGAGAGAAAATACGCAATATCGTCGCCACCTCCCGTTTGACCCATTCCCGTTATCCCCCATACAAACGTACACACACACGCACTTACACCAACAACATCCCCCCCACCCACCCAAGTCTCTTTTTTCCCCCTCCTTGTTTTAGAAACTTCTTGCACACTCATACTCACACACATAAAACTGATGTTCATTTCGTATCTGAATCATTGAAAAGCGAATGGGTAATAGATGTGTGACATCCTATCCAATAAATACTTTAAAGTGAAGGTTTGGTGGTGATGGTGGGGAAGTGCGGAGTTGTAGCGGGAATTATTAGCGACCGGAACGCTTGAATTGGGCGATCGGATCAAGATCTCCAAAGTAATTGACAGGTTTGGGTGGTGGAGCAATATCAGGTTTTGTCGGAGGTGGTGGAGCATCCAAAGGTTCTGAAGCAAAATCACCAAAATCATCAATGGTAGTAGTGGATGTCGAGAATTCTGTTTACATGTCATATGTATTAATACAAATAAAAACGCACACGCACATGTTTGCATCATGTGCCCTTTTTCTTCCTTTCCATACCTGTCCATGCAGTATCCTCTGAATCTTGACGTTCGTGCACACCATCGGGTATCATTTCTTGTTGTTTGGGTGGTTCTTCTTTTGTGCTGCTTATACTAAGACTTCGTAGAGCTGCATAGGGATCATTTTCAATAGGTGGTGATTGAGGAGGAGGAGCTGTGGTTGATGTTATTGGAGATGAGATCGACGAGGAATGGGATTGATGACGCTGGTGGTGGTGGTGGTGATGGGTTGGTGACAATGGAGAAAAAGTGGAGGATTGTGGCTGTGTTGTCTTGAATGAATCTACTACAGCATGAAAGGTTAATTTCAAAAAAGGGTTACACACGTAGTACGATGTTGTACCTGAAGACAATCCTCCAATAATGGATGAATAAGGTGTTGAACGAGTAGGACTTGCTGCGCCAGGTGTGGCGGGTGTAAGGATACCACCAGTGTAAGTGGCTCTGCGAGCAGGCTTAGAGCTAATATCAAGGCCTGCCAATTCAGAAAAGATGCTTGATGTGGGTGTAGTGGTGGTAGAAGCAGCATTGGTTGTGGTGTTGTTAATGGAGGCTACTGGTGGTGTTGGTCGTGCTGGAGATGTGGGGAAAGGTTGTTGTTGAGAGTAAGCAACATAGGTGGGAGTGGTTGGTGCTGCTGTATCCCGGGCAATACGTGATGGTGTAACAGGTACTGGAGACGCGATAGCGGGTGAAAAAGGTGTAACACCTAAAAACAGTAATAATGATATGGCGTGTTGGATAAGACGTTTTCTTGATACTTTTTCTCCTTTTCACTTGCCTGAGGATCGTACTTCTCTTGCCGACATGGGTGGTTCGTACACATTATCACCATCATCCAGCAATGATGACGATGTAGTATTGTTACCATTGGCTGATTTCCAAGAAGAGGATGTAAGTTGCAGTGAGGCAGGTCGTTGTTGTTGTCGTTTGGGTGGAGCTAAAATGGCGTTGCCATCACCTGGAAGAGGTGGGGTCTTGGCACCGGGTCTTCGAATCCCTTCCTGTGTCGTGTGATAACATAAAGTTAGTTAATGACACCAAATTACAATCCGCCGTTCCTATCCCAAAAATAACAAACCTCTGTAAACATGGCCTTGATCATCTCACGAACACGATTTGTGTGTGCCTTTAATTCTTCCTGATCCAACCACTTTTGTTCATCTACAATGATATGTTAAATGAATACAGCCATCTTGTGCACACGCACTCTGAATCATCCTCCTCACTTACAATACTTTTGCCGAATGAACGCTCTCACTTCATCATCCGTCTCAGGGTCAACGTTGTCCTTTCCATAGTTGCTCAACCAAATGGCACGGGCCACTTCATTTCCTCCTTGTTGTAATGTAACAACTTCAGCACCAGAGAATTTACTTGCAGAGATTGATTTGACACGATGACCCACTTCACGGCTATTCCAAACACGCGTACACAGGAGATGTCAGAGAAAATAGGCATTTGTTTGGGAATACCATATACTTACACAAGCCCCGAGCATCGACTGCAAATGAACGTTTGGACACTCACATTGACGAAGAAAGGACTCTACATGAGCCTATCAATATCAGCTATCCGATGTAGTTGCAAAAGATAAGATTGGCATGTTACCTTGGTGGGGCAATCGAAACATTTTTTGTTTGCCGGCAAGCGGAGTAGGTCCCGTACTTTTCTAACATACAAACAGGAGGAGGAGGTGAGTTGAAGGTGTTGTTTTTGATAGGTTGGAAGAGGTTTCAAATGGCATGAGAGAATACTCACTGTAAGTTTTTTTCTTCCTGCTTCTTTTGTTGAGCGACCGAGAACATGGCAAGAGGGCACAAGACGAAACGAGTTGAATATGAAAAAGAAGGAAGAAGGAAGAAGAAGGAGAAAAAGAAAACCGACCAAAGCGAAGGGTAAAATGTGTGACACACAGCTTGCTTGAAAATGCAAAGCCCAGCTGATGGATATATTTAGTTCTCGTGAGCATTGCTTTACTTATCAACCCCGTGGCTTAAGGCTTACCTTCTCTTTCATTTCATGCGCCCCCATACGCTTTGTACGCCACTTCGAGCCAACTGGCAAGTGGCTGGTCACCTCACCAATACTCTATGGTGGCCTGCTCGCGAAGAAACAACGACCGTCCTTCTGTTCATTCCTGGCAATCCGGGTCTCATTGAATACTATGCTGAATTCCTCGAACGCATTCATGAGCAAGCTTCGCCCAATCTTGAAATCTTTGCAGGTAACATACATACTCCATGTCACGTTGCTTGATGGGTGCATTGTATTCATAGCAGCTGTCGAATAGTGTCTCACTTGGGCGTATCCACGGGTGATGATCCAAACGCGCTCTATTCGTTCCAAGACCAGATTGACCACAAGATCGAGTGCTTCGATATATTGAAGAAGCGTTATTCAGCTGATGATACCAAATTTGTGCTGATGGGGCACTCGATCGGCGCTTACCTTGCAGTGGAAGTGTTCAAGCAACGGCATGCATTTAACATTGATCGTTTGATTGCCCTCTTTCCATGCTTGTATGACATTGCTCTCACACCCAATGGGATGCATTTCACGGTAAGATTCAGGGGCTGGAGAAGGAAGGAAATAAAGGCGAATCAGGGGGCATTGAACTATTTTACCATTAGCGCCTATTTAACAAGCTACCCATCGGTGTCGTCTCTACTATGGCAAGCGCCCTCTCGTACATCTCACCGCCTATTCTTGAACGCTTGATTCGCCTCTTGACAGGACAACAAGGTCACTCTGTCAAAGTGACAGCTTCATTGTTGAATGGTCCTTTTGTACGATCCGTGCTAAGAATGGCTCAACAAGAAATGGAAAATGTGCAACAACTCGACCACGACTTTTACACTACGCATCTCGACAAGTTCATCATCTACTATTCTGAAAACGACCAGTGGGCACCCATTGAACAATACAAGTACATGAAACAATCCTATCCTGAACATGGTAATCATCATCGTATTGTGCTGAAATGGGATCGTTACTTACTTACTATGGAATGATAGAGCATCTTTATTTGTGTGAGGAAAGATTGCCGCACAGCTTTATCCTAGGTTGGTAATGGGAAGGTGATGGGGCTAGACTATTGTTTATTCCCAGCATGCTGTCATTGGTTCTCATTTGCGATATGCTATAGATCCTGGTGCAACACAATACATGGCGAATAAGGTTGTCCATTGGTTGGATGGCAGCAACAGCAACAGCAACAACAAGGAGTAACGCAGATGACCCATTCCCTTGTACAGCACCCGGGATCCAGGGCCGTTGTCAGATGTGTACCAAAAGACGGAAATCCCCCACTAGTGCATACGACCTTATAATTTTCGTTTGATATCCTGTCACCCCTTTTTGTTTAATTATCCCCTATGTAAACTTGAAGAATAGATCCACAAAATAAAGACTTCTCCCTTTGGCATTGCTAGAAATTGTGTCTAAACGGGTATCCAAAGTATAATTGATACGGCCACACGGTATATGCAAACCACATGATCAAGGTAGTACTGACAACTCGAGCTAGTTTCATTCAAATAACGTTTTTTTGGTCGGCGGCGGCGGCATGGATGGAATAAAAAGACTCAGCCATTTCCTGTTTACGCCTATAATGTTGCCGACAACGAGCACTATTTTGCCGCTGAGCTCTGTCAAAGTGCACGGACAAGGTAATATGAGACATGACGTGAGTGAGTCAATGAGCAACAAGCTGCCCTGATCAATAACGCCATGCTGACTCCCGATGGTGAAATGCAAAAGTAAGCCGAGACTCAGCTTCAAAAGTAGTCGTATCAATAAATGCATGATGTGGAGGGTATTATGGATAGTAGTGATAATCATCTTTCACGGGAATTGGTAGCTATATTGTTGAAAGAGATGTGGTACTAAAAGAAAGGTAGTTGTCGTCCTACATGTTATTTCCATATTGGTGGGAGGTTGTGTAGGGCATTGGGCGGGGGGAGATGTTGTACCCAAAGAAGTAGATTTTTCTTAGGCAGGAATAGCTAATGCACTAAAAGATGGTAGTGGGCTGGGGTAAAACAGACCAACGCACAGCGGCAAAGGAGAGAGCTAGAGTGGAAGGAACGAATGGAAGCTGGGTCGGATGAACCGCTGTTAGGCCAAAAGTGGTAAGTCTTGGATGTTGGGCCGCAATGAGCTTTTTTTTTCTTGCTTTACTCCCTTCTTGTTCCTTCTCTCTCTTTTCTTCCTCTACACATTATTAAGGCTTTATCCACTCTTTCTTTCTCCTACTTTTCAATATGAGGTTGTGGTCTGCTCCATTGGCACATCACAACCAAACACCATTATTAGCTCTCCCTAAGGAGCTCTTATTGAAAATCATATCCAATGTCGCCCTATACGACGCATATCCATCATCATTGATACAGCTATCCATCACCTGTCGACATCTTTATTACCTTATACACAAAGACCCATGGCGACAAGCGACATTATGGCCAAGAGCCTTTAGTGCACGTTTCGATACCTCGGCAATTTACCGGCGTCAACTATATCGGCAACTCGATTGGCAGTCTGCGCTTGAGCGTAGGTGCAGAGCACTTGAAACATGCCGTCAAGTGGCAGCAACAGCAGCAACACAACAACCACGAGACCTTGTTGACCAGCTCAGCAAAATCGATTGGGAGATCATTTGGGACATGATTACAGAGCATGGTAAGTATCCAATATTGTGTGTGTATTGTTGCGCACACACCACCTAATGAGAAACATCCGCCATTCTCACACCGACCATTACCGCTCAAACGTTTTGCAGATGAGCTAAACATTCCGCAACTATTGAACCATCAAGTGCATCTGCTAGCTGGTGCTGCGTTTCAATTAGGATCCCTTCGTGATCGAGAAGCTTACCCTGTGGTCCTGCCTATTTTGTCCTTGCTAGTGAATTATGGTACTCTATTTTTTCCCCTGCACCATCAATACACACACACGCACACAATTGCTTCCCACCCCCCAAAACTTACCCACAACATTCCCCCACACTAACCTGTCTTTCTCTTCTCTCTCTTTTTTAGACTTCTCCATCAGCCGTTTCTTTACATCAGACATTTCACCACACATTGTATCACATGAACTAAGTCAATTTGCATACGACTTTGAAGCGGATGCCCTTATCACCAAGCACATGTCACCACGATTATTTCACTCACAAATCACGTTGCATGAAGATGATGATGATGATGATGATCCATTTATGAATGACAGCAAAAGCACAATTGATACAACAATCTTTTATCCATCACAAGATCCACTGACAGCTGCATTCCATTTATTCTTTACCACCATCTTTGCATGCCATCCTGCACCTTACGAAGCCATTCCAAAATGTTCACCCATTCCACTCTTTCCTATACACTCTGCCATGTTTGATGTTGAATACCTTCGACGTTATGAGCGTCAATTGTTTCATGCAAGTTTAAGGGAATCACGTGATAAATGGCACGACAAGCATTATAAGACGCCTGCTCCCTCCAACGGTAACCAGGCATTAGAAAACATTTACAGCGACACTGGATTTGCATCATCCACACATTTTGTCAGCGAAGCATACCTCATTGAAGGCGAATGGATGGGCTATTATTCGTTCTTGGATGTGGATGAAGACGATGATGGCAACGACATTGCAACAGCAGCCTCGGATTGGTTTGACGGTCCAATGCGTTTGACGTTACGTATTGTACCCCTAGATGATGAAGACGAAGAAGATGAACAAGTACAACAAGCATCATCATCCATGATCAGCCGACCCACAGGGTTTCCATCATGCCATTTACGCACGTGCCCATTGACCCGATTTGAAGGCATTGGCGCAGATAATCTTGGTGGTTTCCATGTCACGGGTTTAATTGACGACAGCGAAGATGGCCAAGTGACTTGGGAAAAGACCTACATTGATTCAGGCGAGACCTGGGAATATGCTGGCAGATTCCTCTTGCCCATGGGTCTATGTGGTCGTTGGGGTGATGAACAATATGGAGGTCCTTGGTGGATGTGGAAAGTACAACCATCCATTCAACCTGCCAACGGTCTCGAAAAGTCATCATCATCATCATCATCATTATCATGACCCTCCTCAAACACACGCTCGCTCACACACACACACACATTACTTACATACCTTATCATCATATATACGTACCTAGCCCACCGACACCAACAACCAACTTAGTATTACACACGCATTTGCATCTCTTTCCTTTTTGCATTCCATTTCCTCTTTCACCATGCATGTAAATCTCTCACTCTCTTTCTAGCTCTCTCTTTTCACCCTTTAGCATACTTTTGACATTCCTTCTTCTCTCTCATATTCCAACGTAAGATAAAAGCATAAGATGAACCACTTTACCCAAATAGGATTACAATAGAAACAAACGGCAAAATGGGGATGATATATATTACGAAGGTGAATGCGTGAGAGTGAGTGGGTGAATGAGTGTGTGCGAGTGTGAGAGTGTGAACTATAGATACAATGTGAGAATAATGGGGGTGGTAGGTGGGAGAATAAAAAGGTGGGATATAAAATTAAGGTGTGTGTGTGTGTGTGTGTGTGCGTGTCTACATGCCATGATGCATCATCTGCTTTCGTTGCATTCTTTGTGCGGATCGCTTTTTCTTTTGTAGAATCCTCAACAAGTCACCATCGTCATCGTCATCATCGGATGAAGAAGAATCGATCATGTCGTCTAGTCCACCAGAAAGAATGGGTTGAAGGATAGGAACGTGTTTATTGGCGGATGCAGGTGGTGCAGGTGGTGGTGGTGGTGCAGCAGCAGCAGCAACAGGTGATGTTGGTAAAAAGGATGATGTAGCATGATCGTAAGGTGTTCTAGAAGATCGACGGATATGCAACAACTGCTCTGATGGGTCGTTACGTGATTGTGGTGTATCAGGCATGGATAAAGATGTGTTGCGTGAAAGAGAATCCCAAGATTGAATCGATGAAGCGTAGGATCGACGAGAAGAGGCATTAGAATCAGAACGATCCACACTTTGATTTGGGTGATTGGTGGTGGTATGATAAGTAGCAGGGCGGATATGGGTTGCACTACTCGCAAACGATGCTCGATAGTTGCCGGAGAGAGAGAGTCGAAATGATTCTGATGTGGGTTCACTATGCGTATCCGACATGTAGGTAATGCTTTCATCATCATCATCGTCATCAATTGGAATATCCGCTCTTGGCCATGTTCCCACCACAATAGGAAGATTGACTTCAGCCTTCTTCTCCTCACTCAATTTCGCACGCACGCGTACTTGATAATACATTCGAAGTGTTGTTCCCCGAAAACCGATAGTAGGTGGTGTCGATGTGGGAATGGGTAATTGGCAGCTGATGGCTTGGGTGAAGTTGAAAGGACCATAGATATTGATATCATGTACAACGGACCTCAGCACCTCCTCCTTGGTATAACGATGTCTATGGGATATTATTAGTTATCATGTTCTCCTTGATGATCCCCTTTTATGTATGCGTACCTTCCATGTCGTATATCAGCAATTCTCACAAGTGACACTTTCAATCCCTTGGTGACCACTAATGGCTCCACAAAATTCAGGGTTGCACCAACATGAACAATGCTCCCTGCAAATGAGGCGTCAATGATGTCAATAGCGTTACACAGAATAGCTCTTTAGCACCAACCTCTAGCGTATCCAATGTGTGGTGTTGTGACCCGGAGATGGCATAATTTGTTGAGTGATTTGGACACGCTCACGGATTTCTCTTGTGATGCTTTGAATTGGGCTTCTTCAATGTCAAGATACTCCAAGATGGGAACCACGTATTCAGCCTTGTTGCAAAAGGTCTCTGGCACCATGGGTCGATGATGAATGGCGGTCAATGTGTATCGCACCCGTGCTTTCTTGGCAAACTAGGAAAGGTAAAGAACAAATGGCATCAATATAAAACGCACATATTAACAACAACCACCACCAAACCCCTGTTTCTTTTTACCTCCATTGAACTAGTCAAATCCACATTTTGAGGAACTTCAAACTCGAAAGGGAAAGTGTATGGCTTCGCCTCAAGTACAAAGGTCTTATCATCACCCGATAATCGTAGTTGCTTGGTTTCTTGAAACAAGACAATAGTCTCCTTGTCCTTGATAGTCAAAAGCACCTCTCCAATAAACTTGAGCATGATGTAACTTGTCTTTGTCGGGTTCTTGGGATGAACAATCACATTGCCTATTCGTATTGAGCACGATGAGCAAATAGCAAAAGTGGGGTGAAGAAGAGGGCTGCTGCTGCATATGGGTGTGTGTGGGTGTGTGCGTTCCTATCTCTTATCAAGGAGTATCCATATCATTCTTACCTTGCAAGTGTTCACCTGGGAAGTAGAACTTCTCTTCATTCAAGGTAATGTCGAGTGTTTTGCCACTCTTTAGTTTCATTGTGGAAGTGTGCAGGACACGAAAAAAGAAAGGTGAGGGAAAAGAAGAGAATTATGCGCGCAATTGAGCTGCGCCCATTCTCTGTGTGTGAATATGCGTGTGCTTCATTCTCCCCAGCCCCCCATCCCTCTCCCTTACAATAAAAAAACTTGCCTGTGACCAGTTGATACTCGTACAAGTGCCACGTTGCCCTTACAACTATTGTTGTTATATTGAACCTTGTTAACTATCGTTGTATCCATCGTTGCTATTACTACATTATCTCCTTGTTGCTATGATACTACTACATGTTACATATTCCATGCCCTTCTTTGTCATCAAAGTTGGTGATAAGCTGAACCCAAAATTGTCGTATCGTATGATCTATTATCCTTATCCGTACATGTGCTGAGAATGTATCCCTGTCATTGTTTAGGTAATACGTTTGTTACTGCTACTACTTTTTCCGTATATCCCTAGTAGGCATTACATACTTAAATTCGCACAGATAGACTAATTAAACATCTTTTATGACTTGCATATTACCTCTATCCTACCTGATTCTCCTTTGTTGTTTGAGATTTGTTGACCATGCGTTAAAGTCTTAAAAGGACCCTATGCAAGGGATCCGACTACTTACACGTGAAATGTGTCTCATCTATACTCAGTCGTTTTAGGCTGGCCATGATAGCACATGACAGAAAGAATTGAAGGCTCGGATAAGATGAACGTGGTACTAAAAGATGTTATGTATGAGACCATGAAGCCAAACGTACTTCAAAGAGTGCTTGGCCTGAGCCAAATGCTACAAGACGTTATTATTGATGACCTTTTGCACCTGACTCGTTCGTGCTTGGTGCATTTGCATATGCATGCATTTTATTGTAAGAGCACAATCGAGAACCTACTTTTCCTTTTCAAGCGTTATTGGATACTTTAAATAACACCAAAGGTGCCTCTATCTTTTGAAGGATCTCGAAGGTGCTTAAAGGTTCTATCATAGATCTTTTGTCAAGACCGATTACTGCATCAAAGTTAGGGTTGCACAAAATGCTATCTTTGAAGATTTCCAAAGTGGCATCATCCATCATACTTTTTCAAATCCATAATATAGCAACAGCTGTATCACAATGATCTCCATGTATTCCCTTCATCCATAAACCCACAAGAATGCTTCATACAAAATCAAAAATATTATTCCCAATGTATCTATTGCTTCAAGTGTAATGGGGAATCACTGGTGTACATCATCTAATGAAAATGACATTTGAGTCCCTATACCCTATCATGATCACATCCCTCATCTCTTTACCTCCTTTGCACCGACACTGCCACCACCACCAGTGACACCAAAAGTGGTCCACGACTTGGCATCTGAAGGTTCCAAAGTAGCCCATGAAACACCGCTGGTCTTCTTCAAGCTGATCTCGACCTTTGTGGTAAGAGCATTGTATTTTGATTGCTCAGGATCGATTGTCTATAGCCAAATGATCATGAGAAAACTATGCTATAATATCCCCAACAATGGGGCACTTACGTGGAACAAGGGGATAGTCTTCTGATAGCGCTCATTGTTCTTCATCTTGATATCAATGGACAAGGATTGCTTTTCAAAGGTGACCTTGGTATCAAGCTTGTTCTTTGCAAAAACGCTCAAGATGATATGGGTTTGGGTTTGGTACCAATCTGTCCGGCAATCCACAAGTTGTTCCTTCTATGACCTTATGTTAATAAAGGATCCCTCATATCATAGTGCATCTCACTCACTCACTCACCTGGTTTTGACGACCCACAAAAAGATGCTTGCCTTCCTTACAACCTGGGATCTTTAAGAATTCATCAAATTCGAGTACACGACGACGGCAACAACTCCAGCCCTTTGAGCCTTCATGGAACACGGGAGCACCTGGATGATAGACGCATGTAGCTTCGGGACCTTGACCACGTGACGTAGCATCATCCTTGTATTGAACACCACATCCCTTGCGTTTACAAGTAGCATTGGCTGGTACAGGAATACTTTCATCATCCTCTTCTTCCACAACCTCTTCCACAACCTCCTTCTTGGGTTCTTCCTTGGGGACAGCAGGCGACATTGATGCTGGAGGGGGATTGGAGGGTTGGTTGCCATACACTTCTACACCATCCTTGGTCACCGAAGTAGCAGTAGGCGTGGTGGTGGTCTTGGTGGTGTCAGCTTCAGGCTTCTTTTCCTCTACAGGCTTCTCAGTGGAATGACGACCAAATGTGCATCCAGGGATATTGAGAAACTCGTCAAAGTCCGTGACACGCTTGTCGCAACAAGACCAACCCTTGAGACCTATGACGGCATGTCAATATGGAATCGAACCCATCGCGTCAAGCACAATTTACCTTCGTGGAACACGGGAGCACCAGGATGGAATTGACAAGCTATCCAATGCACACACACATGAGCAAGCAGCTCAATACGCCATTGAGTCCATGATCAGCAGCTTTACCGTTATCCTTGTTGTCTTGTTCGGAAAAGTCTTGGTTGCAACCTTTATGCGTACACTTGACCATGATAATAGTCGTCGTTGAAGCGTTGAAAGAAGACGAGGGGTTTAAGCATCCACCTGTTTCTTTTTGTTTCTATTCCCGCCCTCCTCACCACCGGTGATCTAAACGTTGCGCTGCTACTACTACAGCTGTGGATCTGTCAAAGAGGTTTATTGTCATGCACACATACATACACACTCTGTTTCCATCCCTCTCTCTCTCTCTCTCTATGTAAAGAAAGTCCATATACAACTACTATAATATAGCCCTCCCATCCCCTATCTAACTTTGATTGACTCTCCTTTTAACATCTCCCCCATCATCCCTATTCTTCATTATCATCACCATGGATAAACAATCGTTCCAGCATCTTCCAGAAACAAAGGCACTTTTGAGTGATACGCTTTCCTTTTTCAAAACGTGTTGTTCCCATTGTGAATGATTGGAGGCGTTGTCATTAGTTCTATATTTACAATCTACTGCCACACACTGACGCTGACTCACACGTGGGGAATCGTCATCGGATTTTGTCATTTCGTTGAGCATGAATGAATGACTGCCAAGGTTTTCTTGTAAAGATGGATACACAACACCTCTTGTGTGTGTGGGGTGATGCCTTTATTTGTTGCTGCAACAACGCTCCAATAGGGAGCTTGACATCAAACATAAACGAGCAGTGTAACATGTTATAAGCATAATCAGCATAATAACACATCGCTCGGGCCGGAGATGGCTATGGTCACGACACGAATAAAACAACAACACATGCACGGATTCGTCATCTCAAAACAAACAAGGTCAAAGTAAAATGTCTTTTCGCTCATGTGCACATAGCGCATTATACATAGTGAATCGATCATGTTGGTTGATTTGCTGTAACACTAGGATCGTTACTATGACATGATAATGTAAAGTTACCCGGTTTTTTAGTACTATCATCAAGCTTCTGGATCCCGTATCTTGGGTATAGGCGCAGGATAAATGAAATGCAAATGGAAATACGCGGGTTAATACAAATACAGCAAATGTGCCTTTGTTACCTTACATGCTTTTCACATCAGGATGCAAGATACATAACAAAGAAAAATGCCTCACATTTGCATATAGAAAATATCACCCTTTCTTATCATAGCTATGCGCCTTCAACATTTACATAGGAAAAACAAAACGTCGATCATCATGTTGTGTATACTTTTATCAGTAAAAAGTGGCATGTGGTAGGATACGATGCGAGACACATGATGAAACGCAAATAACGTGAAACCCTCTTTTCCCCAAACTTACATCATTTTTTGCCCGCCCATTTGTGTCCATGTGTAGCAAGATCTCGTGGTCAATACGGCATTACACGGAAGGACGACATTGCCATTTTAGAATGTTAACGGCTTGGGTTTGCAACAACAGCATCATTTAGCACAATGGCTTGGTCGCATTCAGGTGCACGTAGACACATTTATTTACCTCATTGTGTAGTATTTTAGGGCGTGTGAATAGAATGAACCTTGTGTTAGACACAACAGGAGAAGGAATAAGCGTGCTCAAGTGCCCTATTGACAAAGGGCCCCCTTTTTGTGCCTGCAACACCTCTTGTGCCACCCACAAATGGGGTGTTCCTCGGATCAGTTTGTGGTTCGTTGTAGTACGTTGGGGAACAAGAAACTTGTTTCATCCATGAATCAGGTTGTCAGCTATTTAGGACAATGATAATGTGTTTTATTGTATGATTCCATAAAGATTGCTATGGAAAAAGCATAATGGGATTGTTGATATGGCAACAAGCACAGCAACGTTAAAAATGACTCTCATATCTGTATTTGGATGGGGCGTCCTCAAGCTGCGGCAATTTCATTCCCGTTGGAAAGCCCCTGGCCCTTTCTTTCTTCTTTCTTCGCACCCACCCATACATGTCTTTTGCAATTCCTTATCTATTCAGAAGCAGCGCTAAAAAGAAAAGAGACAACAATGCCACCACGCATCAGTCATTGCCATCAACAACACCCGTAACTACAGGGATTTTACCAACAACGACAGTCGATTCCTCCTCGTCAGGCATTAGCAGCGATAGCGATAGTAGAGATCAACCTTATCCAACATTGGTTGCCATGACACAGTCCAGAGGAACACCTTGCTCTCGGAATCCTTCTCCAACTTCGTCAACAACCTCTCGATCCCGCCCCACTTCCCTTGGAGCCCATCCCACAATGTCATTAGAACCCGAAGAGTTGGACGAGAATCGCTTCTATCGTTACATACGATCTCACTTCAACTTGGTCTTCTCACGCTCCACTGTCGTCTGTATCCCTCATTCAAGAGCCGTGGAAGGCATGATACTCACCAAAGACTTTATCGGTAAACGCTGCATAAATTACTTAGCACCCATTTAAGGAAACCCGCTGGTTCTGATTACAAGCTCTTGCACACTTCTTTAGAGACACACTCGTACAATCCATCACCCTATTATCAAGGACAATTCCAAGCAGCTAACGGCAAAGTGATTTCTATTGAACTTCCGATCATCAGCACTGTGTCAGGTAAGTGGATCTCTTTTTCTCTTTTTCTCTCTCTCTCTCATGTGCACAAAACAAGCCCTCCCACACACACACCCCCTTTTATAAATGTCAACATGATCCTGATTTGAGATAGGTTTCAAGGATCCACGTGCAGTCTATGTGATGGCTGAGGAATGGGTTTACATTGGAAGGAAAAAGATACGAGTCCTATTGATCGACAGAGCTTTGGAAGGTGATCCTTTGGTACGTACGATGTATGATATCAAAGAGTCAACAAGAAGTACTTATTCGTGTCTTTAGCCTCCTCAACCACGAAGCCCGAATACTCTCTCAATCCCAACCGTGCGCAACTCGAAAACGTAAGTTTCTCTTGTCAAGTGATGTTTATCAATCCGCACGCATTCAACTCAGTTTGATCCAGTGACCTTGATTTTCTCAACATGCTCCCAGAGAACGCTGAAGCAATGTATGAGCTACAAATGGGCGTCCAAAAGTTTGTCAACACCTATGTCTACATTCGTGGATTCAATCAGTATACCGTGGATAAGATCCAACACATGTATGGTAAAGCTTATCGAGTAAGTAGATGGATGGCTACGTAGATAGATGTCTTCAAAACGACTTACATTATCTTTTGCTTAGACCATTCTGCAAAAGAATAGCCGATTACGAGAAGCATGTCGGATCCAAGCTGAGCATGATCACTTTTTGGAACTAGTGGAAAAGTAAGTATACTTTAATGCTAAACGAACCATACACACAGAGAGAGCTGATGCAAAACACATGTTAATAGCGTTGTCATGGGGTTCCTGTACGAGAAGATTTGGGTTCAGTCGTTGCGTGCTATTTTGCAATCTCAGGATAACTACTTGGATTCCATATGCAGGGCTTATGCTCGGGAGACCATCACCCTTGATCGATACCTTGTGAGCCATCCTATGGCCGATATGCCATTAGAGTGCTTTGAGGCTGCTATCGCTTGTCTTCGCCGAGTGGATACCGAAACAGAGGGACCGATTTCGGTGGATGATGACAGACTCGCTGCCCCAGTGCTGCAAAATACATCGGGTGATCAGCTGGCATTCACCCCATTGGAAAAGCTTGCATGTGTTCGTATGACATTGGACCTGATCACCGCAGCCGTTTCGGATTATATTCAAAGTACATCCGTCACTATGATCAAAGATGGTAAGTTGTTTATTTAAAATGAGTGAGAAAAATGAGATGCATTGACCAATCTAGCCAAAGAAGATGATTCACCGGTGACAGCTGATGAAATGATACCATTGTTTGCATATATCCTTGTACACAGCCGCATTCCTCGTATCGCTAGCCTCGCTTTTTATATGGAGCATTTTCGCCTTTCTCTTATTGAAAGATCTGAGCATAGGTAACTATTATCATCTCCTATCCTCACTTGCCCCCCCTTTTTTGGCTGACTTTGTGTTATTGCAGCTTCGTACTTGTCACGCTCAAAGCTGCATCGGATTTTCTCAAAGCTGATCCACTCTCCTTGCATGATGCTAATTCAAGTGTATCCACACTTTCGACATCGTCAACTCCAACAGCACTTTCACCAAAATTACAACAAAATATTCGAACACGATCAACATCCTTTGGTTCATCTCCCGTCACCACTCCCCAAGCTAATGTACCTGGTCCACAAAACTCATTGCATTATCGATCTGTATCCATGTCATCAGCAGCTGGCACTCCCAGTTTACGGCATCGTAAATCACAAAGCGCCGATCTCCATAATATGGCAGTCGCCGACGCAGCAGCTGTAGATGAATATGATCGCACCAACAACAATCGACGCAACTCGTTAACACCCAGTGTCATTATTCGTCCCATTGTTGCCCAACAACAAAACAACAACAACAACAATCGACGTAGCCTGGATATCAGCAATGATTGGATGGTTGGAAAACATTACCAACACCATCATCAAGCACCTAAAATACCCACCATCAGCCATTCACGTCCTATCATCTCAACCACCTTTCCCACTATCTCCAATTCCACTCCGCTACCAGGTCTCAATCAAAAGACAACACCAACATCATCAGCCGCATCCTCGTGTCATGGAGTACCATCACCCACAGCCATCACATCCGAGAATCGTAAATTGGCACGCTCTCTCAGCTCCACATCCTCACTTTATTGCGGCCAAAAGATCCACCATCCCCCAGAAATCATCAATCTACGCAGCAAAGGCCGTCCTGCATCAATTTGCATTGATCCCCGATCGATGCATCAGGATAAGGAGGAGGATGAAGAGGATGATCTTGGTGACTTTCTTCGTGGATTACAAAGCGTGAATGCTGATATCGTTGGAGAACGCTCAGGTGCCTATCGTGCAGTTCGGCGGCTCTAGTCAATCAACCCAATATCGTTATTTTTATATCTTCAAAAAATGTACATACCTAGAACCCATGTTTCGAGACTTTTACAATGGACAATGGGAGAGGGGAAGGTGGGTTTATTAGATATGGATGGAGCATTTGACAGCGATGGGGCTTTTTTTTGGGATGATGTATGTAAATGTCATATGGCTTTGAAGGGTATACTACGTACGGACCTGGTTGTTCACTTTGATCGTACATAAACTTTCGAATACAATGCCACAATAATACACGCTGATTCTATGTGACCCACGTGATTGGTACCAGGGATGAAAGGTGGATACAAATGTGAAGGTTGGAAAGCGAGATTGCATCATCTATATAATTGTATCGAGACGCTTTGGTTGCTTTTATCATATTGCATTCGTTAAAGCTTCCTTGTTCATATGCTGATAGACAGCAGGCAGTGGCCATTCTCAGGATTGTACACAAGTTTAGATAGACGCTTGTATTTTCAAAGATAATAAACCCATAGTAATGGTACTCAACAATAGAGCTTGTTACAGAAGTTTGATCCATTGAAAGCTTAAAGTCATTACGTTTAGGAAAAAAGTGAGCTTTGATACAACGTGAAACGAGTACATGCATATGCTTATGACAACTTTCAGCATGTGCCCTTGTCTTGTATGTATGATCTTGAATGAGTACAATCCCTGGAGACAAGCAATGCCATCCCCCTGTTACCCTTTCGCACGATACTCTCGGATGTATTTTTGGCTTGTTAACTATACCATGTTTCCATACGGTCTTTCAAAGGCAGACCCTTACTATAGGGGCAGGAACCGTTATGCAATCTTCACCAATAAGATTGACTCTTGTCAAGTCCCGACTTCTCGGCTTAGTTGCACAACAAATGCTTCTGCATCTTTTGCTGTGCCAGGCTCTAGTTACTTGACAATGAACAAAGACCACTCTTCATATGGCATCACGCTTACAAACATAAAGGTGCCTGTATATCCAAACTTTACAATGAAACGTGGGGTTTTGAATAGAGCAATGTGCTCGGCTTGGCCAACAGCACCTTGTGTGAAAGTTTCGCGTTCAATGTCGCAAACAGCCCAAAAAATATTTTTTGGTCGTCGTCGTCGAAGAGGTCGACCCCCAGATCCAGTTTGGCTGGTAGCGACATTGCGAAATCTGGGATTGGCCACGATGAACGCAAAACTTTCATACAAGGTGCTGTTGTCCAAGCCGAGCCCATTGCTCTAATAAAAACCTCACGTTTCATTGTAAAGTTTAGAGATACAGGCACCTTTATGTTTATAAGCGTGATGCTATATGAGAAGTGGTCTTTGTTCATTGCCAAGTAGCTAGACCCTGGAGAGCCAAAGATGCAGAAGGACCTCTTTGGGTTACTCAGCTAAAAAGTCAGGACTTCAGGGACAATGCATGACAGGTACACAACCCTCACTTTTATGTCATACATTGGCAGCTAATAGCCACTTTTGTGCATTCCCAACTTTTGTGCATTCTATTGTAGGTGGACGATGCTCCTGCTCTAGACATTCATTTCCATGATTAAATTAGGTTGATCCGAGTTGATTTGGTTGAGTTACGCTCACACAAGATTACATCGGTTGAGCTACATCGAGCGTGCTTGATGTCGAGAGTGATGTAATCTCTCTTTGACCGCAGCTCAGTCAAATCAGCTCGGATCAACCTACTTTAATCATGGAAATGAATGTCTGGAGCAGGGACATCGTTCCCATGCAGTGGATCTCGCAACAATGATGATTGGATAAAAGTGGCCGTTAGCTAGCAATACATGCCTGCTCCTAGATGATCCATAAAGTAATTATACATTGACCCTTTCATTCATGCAAACGTAGCTGTGTTACACAACACGACCCTCTGCATCTTTTGCTCCAGTCCATCATCACCATCCTTTAACTTTCTTGATCCGAGAGGATTTGACTGAACAACGCTTGTACAAAGAAGTATCATCCAAGCATTAGAAAAAAACTACTTAATTTCCACTTCTTCCACTCACCACATCTTCTCTCTTCCTCCCATTCTCAACTGTTGGCCCATTCAAGTACATCTACCACCTGCGAACCATTGTCCTGCTTCAACCCACCATGTCAATCCTATAACCCTCTTGATCCGATTGTCTTTGTCTGAATGGCAAGTTCATGAGCATGTACGCAGCCTTCTTGTCACTCTTCCACAACACACGAATCTCTTGACACAACACGAGCTCTTGCACATTCCTCTACCACGACCAATCGTAACAGCGTTCATTCCAGCAGTTGCGATTCGTTCCATTGTCTCAAGCAGCGTTTACAACCTTGTCATTCTACTACAACACATGCTCTTGCACATTCCTCTGCCGCAACCAAACGCACAGCAAGGGCTACACCCCGTTGTCTCAAGCAACTTGCAGCAACTTGTCTTGCAGCCTTCTTTTACATGAACAGCAGATAGCCATTATGTAGAAGCGACTTGATTTACGCGTACCAACTTGCTTCAATACATACGGGTTGCTTTGGATATGGATATTGGTATGGTACATGGGATGGAAGGATCTGGATATATACAAAGTGTGGAATGTTCTTATGCATCCATAGTGTATTGGACCATTATGTTTGATCTTATTATCGTGAACGATTGGTGCATTCAATTATCCCACTTTACACGCTATTCCACGGCAACTACTATCATCATTATCTGTGCAATGTATCAACTATCAACCACGTAGAGCCATCATCATCCTACTCCATGTCTTGACACACCATCATGCATACAATTCACCACCTCAGATCCATCCATTGGCCTTTTCACAATGTACCCCAAAGGATAGACATTTTCCAAGTTGATGTATCTCCCCCTGAAGCAATTCTTTGTGTACTTCTCAATCTATCTCTTGTGGATGATCTAAGATTAAAGGATTACTTTAACGAATACTAAGTTTCTATAAGATCTTCCTTCTTCCTAAGTTAGACCTTGTCGCGTGAGTGGCACTTGATGCATTGTGTTGTAGAAGTATATCCACTTTTAAATGCTGTGATAAACAAAAAAAGAAAGAAAGTGAGAAAGGGATCTGGTTGATTCATTGTGCCTTGAACAAAGGCGATACTCAATAGTGTAATCCATCTCCTCTTTGTGATTAGATACACACACTCCTCTTTTGTGATTTAGTTCTTGCAAGGCGGGAGATACACGGCATAATATGAATACTTCTCCTTTGTACCATCCACATCCATTAACATTGTACTCATCCACTCTGCCACAAAGAATAGGTAATTATGTAGCTCAAGAATATACAATAGGTTGGCGTTTTATGTATCAACTTGGGTTCTATGTATGTAAATTGGGCAATGGTGAGAAGAAGGAATGCAAGGAAATGAGAAGTTGGTGAGGGGGAATCAGTGATCTCTATAGATTTCTTTTGCCAAAAATGCTGCTACATCTGGATCTTTCCAATAATTGAGATGGGTGGCCAATGCGCTCCAATAAGGATTGTCTAGATTGTTCTCTTGTAAACAATAATCAACTCTTCCAGTCACGTTGAGTAATCGTAAGCGACGTGCACCATCCGAATAAGGTGATGTATTATCTGCCAATGGAGGAGGTGGTGATTGTCGTGCAGGTGAATTGTTCCACATGGAGATCATGACAGCTGAATCGCTACTGGATCGTGAATGGGTAGGCGATCGAATATTTTCAGGGACGCTCAAATCTTGTTGTTGTGCTGTTGTCAATTGATCGAATACAGCTGCATCATCATCACTGCTGTTGGCTGATTGCATATCCTCATACATTTGTTGTTTGGATAGTCCAAGTCCTCGCATCACAAGATTCGCTGTGAGACCATATTTGATGGATTCATACATGGCACCCGCTCGATTGGTTAATCCACCCGAACCACTTGCACGTTTGCCCTTTTTCTTATCCATGATGAGTTCTTTGATGTGTGGTATCATTGCTGGTTTGAAGTTTGCACTGTATTGGCGGGAAATAAGCGGCTCAAGTCGATACGCCACCGGATCAGACTACATAAAACGGTACATCAGCCATCTTATCCATCACCTGGTACACCCGCTACTACTGCTACTATACATACCCTGTTGAAGATATTGTACAAATTGTTTACCGCTGGGTAACAACATTGAGATGACTCTTGACCACGAAAGCTTTTGCTCTTTCTTGATGCTACGCGAGTGCCCTTGACTAATAACATCACGCCGGCTGGAGATCCAAGTCCAAAAAAGTTCTCTGCAGTGAAGAGCAATGCATTGGATTTTTGATACTGCTTCAAGAGATCTGGTTGCTTCAAGGCAGCGAGCATGCTTGCTTTATCAGGAGGTGGTGTAACAGGTTGTAAAGAGAGCATATCAAGCGCAATAAGAGCCTGCAAATTGATGAAAAAGCACCTCTTGATTAATGAAAGAATGCATCTACTTGAATTGATCATACTTACACCAAGAGAGTGGCCCACCACGGATACTTTTCCATTCCTCTCCAAAAAGTCTGGATTCCTCTTGATGTATTGTAGATAGATGCCATTGATAAGTCTGCAAATCGATGTGGTCATTTGCTCGCGGTATTTTGGCGTGAGATATAAAGGAACTAAGATGATACAGTAAATGTGTTAGCTTCAAACGCTACCCATCTCTAAAGCAATGTATACTTACTATCCATAATGACATTGGATACAAGTGACCGGATATTGGGTACGCTGTCGACTGTCAACTCCTCCAAAGTGGGACACCCATCATCGCCATCAGGCATACCAAGGTCCGCTTCAGTGTGCTGTAATCCTTCTTCACGCGATATACCAAATTTGATCTCCTGACGCCAAGGCACTGGTAAGAATTGAATACCATTGGGTCGATCCGAACGTATTGCAGCAGCATAAGCCGATTTCACTCCTCTCCGCAAATTGTCAACATCTGTGGTGGTGGTCCTGTTAGCCTTGTATACCCAGGATATTTTTTGCATAAACGCAGCATACCATCAATGAAACTTTGACCAGCAAATCGTTGACCAGCCCTATATAAATCACATGATGAGCCTCTTAGCCACGCCACATTCCTCTTTTCCTCTTACCCGGGTATAACAAAGACCAAATGATCAATCTGACGAGGTTCTTCACCATCCTCATCACCCACTTTGATGGTATCATCAGCCCCTGGTGCTTCGATACAAATAGCGTCGTCATCATGAACACTTTGTCCTTCTTGTTCCTCAGCAGCTTTACGTAATGTTGATAGGGAGGGCGATGACTTGGATCCTCGTAATTGTCTGTCAGTGGTCTCCTGATATCCACGCACCAGCCTTGTACCACCGAGATTTTGCTTGTTGGTGAGGCGTGTGATGATGCTTTTGGCCAATTTGCTGCTAGTGCTATTTCTATAATATGACGTCGTTTGATGAGTTCCTCTTCTTGAATAGATAGATTGATATACCTTACGATAAAAGCCATGCAGTATGTGGACCCGTGTACGCAACGTATTGTCCCAAATAAGGCCCAAGTAAATTCCATTGCTTCTCAACAGGTTGACTTGCCAACGCTATCTCCAATTTCTCTTCCTCGAGTGTTGTGGTCGATGCTGCTGCTGCTGCTGCTGATGCATCCTCCTTACGTTTACCATTGACTGCTAGGCTTGGATCACTGTAAGGCTTGTACTTGCTAAATTAAGAGTGTGAGTATTACCATTCTTATTAGCATCATCATCATCCACACCTCATCATTGACATTTACCGATATCCCGCTTCTACTTGCTGAGCAAGTGCCTCCTCGCATGGCACCCATTTAGAGCCATCGGATTGCATAAACCATGTTGCACGCCGTACAGGGTATGTGGGTCCTTCCCAATAGACTGGCGATAATGTACGATAAAAGACCTTGACATCAAATAAATGATCTTCATTGACGGGCACAGTGGTTGACATGTCTTTGGACTAAACCCCACCCCCCTTATCAGTTTGTTGCTATGCATAGCTTCATGCTTGCTTTACCTCTAGAGCTTTCTCCAATGCTTCAGAATCCCTCTTTGAAAATGCCACCCATTTGAGCTTCTTGGATCGTGTACTGTCAACTGCATAAAACCTTTTGGAAATGAAACAATCTTGAGCAAGAGGGAAGAAGAGGAGGGGGCGATCGTTTGAACTGGGGTCATTACCATCGAGGTTCTAAAGGAGGCGCATTTGGATCTGGAGTAAGGCCCAATGTACGCGGACTGGCGAGTGCAAGGCGAGTATTGTTGACATCTCGCTCCAACATGACAAGGCTATGGAAAGGGAAGAAAAGATAAAAGTGGGCTTGAAACGCGGCTCCAGAAATTGTAAACGACGTTGAGCTCTTTGTGTCACCTGTCCTGCATGTCGTTTGTTGCACCACCCAAAGCTAAAGCGCCCAACTTTTGCAAATTCCCCCAGATTGCTTCATTGTCGTAATAAAGGCAGTGATAAGATTAGCATTGTAGTCATATCCTTAATCATCAATCCAATGATCATGACATGAAAGAAAAGGTTGTTGGGTGGAAAAGCGGGATTATGCATAGGGTGCATGACGTTGTCTCTATGCATTGGTGATCAACCAATACCTGGTTTGATGTTTCCATGATCTCATGTATGATCTTCCTTTTTCTATACTTTCAAATGACAACCAGCAGTGGCAGTGGTAGAGGCAAACAACAATAGCATCTCATCGTACCATCATATACATGGATAACGCAAATGATCATCTATCCATTATCTAGACCCATTTTAGTAATCAAGAGGTGATGATTGAATGGTTACTTGAATGACATGAAGGAAGTGTGATAGTAGTAATTAAGATAGATCATGCATAATTCTGCTTGATGATGATTCAATGTTGCATAGGTGTATCGATCTTCCAATATCATTAAACGAGCAAGTCATTAAGCAAGATGTCATTGCTAATGGAGGTTTTATGATGATTGACAAGTGACATGGGGGGTTGCTAGGCAACGATTAGAGGAGTAGAATATGGTATGTAGTGGGTAGCTACTTGAATTTCAACCCCAGTTGTGGCAGGGAATCGAGCGTGGCCAATAAGTTACACGCTGGTGGAAATGATGGCTCCTTCTCTTCCGCCAACAGACAACGCTCTAGGCTACACCCATCAGCAATGGTACGATTATCAGCACAACCTATCCAAATGATTCCTTCTGTTACCTTTAAGCAGATGGATGGATGGATGAGATGCAATCGAGATGAAGAGTGGATGAATGGATAGAGCCGATGGATTAACAATATCTACCTATATCCATATTGTGTACCCACACGTATATATAGAGTGCCGAACAAACCGCCAAAACCAACAAGATGCGTGGTCTCCGCATCGAGAAGCTCGTCCTCAACATTTCCGTTGGCGAGTCTGGTGATCGTCTCACCCGTGCTGCCAAGGTGCTTGAACAATTGACTGGTCAAACTCCCGTTTACTCCAAGGCTCGTTACACTGTCCGTACCTTTGGTATTCGTCGTAACGAAAAGATTGCCGTTCACGTTACCGTCCGTGGCCCCAAGGCTGAGGAAATCTTGGAACGTGGTTTGAAGGTCAAGGAATACGAACTTCGTGCTCGCAACTTTTCCGAGACTGGTAACTTTGGTTTTGGTATCGATGAGCACATCGATTTGGGTATCAAGTATGATCCTTCCATTGGTATCTACGGTATGGACTACTTTGTCGTCATGGGTCGTCCTGGTTACCGTGTTGCTCGTCGCAAGCACCAAAAGAGCACCGTTGGCTTCAACCACCGCATCAAGAAGGTAAAATGGAATAATAACGATTTCACATCACACCAACATAGCTCTAACATGGGATGGGTATTTTCTTTAGGAGGAATCCATGGATTGGTTCAAGTCTCGCGTAAGTATTTGAATCTCGAGGGAATTGGAGTATGCCATGAATAGCGATTAACACATGAATTCCTTTTTTAGTTCGATGGTATCATCCTCAACAAATAAGTTTATCGACTTGTCTTTTTGTGCGCGTCAATAAAACGATCTTTGAAACGAAAATGAAAGCATGATTACTATCAGCAGCAATATGATGTATAATGAGATTTATTTGATAATGGAATGGAATGGTGTGTGATATAAAGATATAGAATGTACATGTGTGTGTGTACATGTCAATGGGGGTGGGGGGATCATGCAGCATCGAGGCACAAACCACTTGCTCAGCCACCAAATAGCCAATCAATAGTAGTCTCGCTGGGAGACGCGAGTGAGCGCTGGTTGTGGTGTGTGTGGTTCCTTTTCAGCGCACCCAATCGATCGTCATTCCATTGAAAGAAATAATATAGCCACCATGGTAAGCCTTGAAGACGAGTCAACAGCATCCGATCTACATGACCATGCTCTATTGGCAGCCGCTTGCTAATGCTTGTCCTGTGTAGTCGTCCAAAGGATCGAAGATGACGAATATCATCAACTACCGTCTCCGTATCACCTTGTCGGATTCGCGTACATTGACGGGTCAAATGCTTGCTTTCGACAAACATATGAACTTGGTGCTCGCTGATTGTGAAGAGTTCCGCAAGATCAAACCAAAGGGCAAAAAAGCAGACCAAGAAGAGCTTGAACAGAAACGAACACTTGGCTTGGTTATCCTAAGAGGCGAGACGATTGTCAGTATCAGCATAGATGGCCCCCCTCCTCCACAAGCACAAGAATCAAAGTTACGAGGACCTGCAATGGCAGCAGGCATGGGTATTGGCAGAGTAAGTAATCCATGGGATGTATAGAGACGAGTTATTCATCATTGGGGTTGTCATTTTTTTAGCCAGCTGGACGTGGTTTGCCTGCAGCTCCTCCTCCTGGTGCTCCAATGACTGGTTTGGCAGGTCCTGTAAGAGGTGTTGGTGGTCCTTCTCCACAGGTAACATTGGGTATGCGTGATCTATGTAAGACCTTTGATATTAAATGCTACATGTACATTGTAGATGATGCAACCAAGACCTGGTGGTATTCAAGCTGGCCCTGTTGCTTATGGTCGGCCACCTATGCCTCCACCTGGTCAAGGCGTAAGTATCAATGGACAATTGTACTATGGAATTTTGATATTCATATATGGATTTATATAGCCTATGCCACCTGGATTCCGGCCACCACCTGGTATGCCACCACAAAACTTCAGACCTCCACCACCTGGATTTCGTCCACCCCCACCCCCACCAGGCGCTCCAGGCAATTTCAGGCCCGGGATGGTAAGAGAAAAGAAAGGAAACAATGGGCTATACAAAAAGCGTTGTTAATCATCTTTGTTTAATAGCCTCCATATCCTCCTCAAGGCGGTCCTTATGGTAGACCCCCATCGTCACAGTAATGCTGCACAATTGTTTTCTTTTACTTGTATGTGATAAATGTGGAATGTGATTTGCGTTATGTCTTTTGTCTTTTCATTGTCGTGGATGTTGCTGCTTTACGATCCTCTGTGATAACTTGAAAATGAGCAAGCGCACACACATGGATAGTGATCATCATCATCATCATCATCATCATCATCAAAGCTCGATCACGTTATTGCACGACATCATTCGTTTACATAAGAGAAATTGCGATCCAAATTGTGTTCCTGTGTATCTTCCCAGTAGATGGATTCCAACCCCCCACCTAGAATGACTCAATTCAAAGACATCGTACTTTCCAATACATATTATAGAATAGGCTTATGCTATGACATGTAAAAGATCCATGTTTTGGAGTGGGTTTTCGATATCCTATGAGCTGAATGAGTGAGAGGAGGGTGCATGATGTAAATTCAAACACTGATTAGGTGGATAGGTGGGATATGGATGAACAAAGTTTACATTTGATTCACCTATTAAAAACATTCCTAGCTCTAGGACCAAAGTAAAAGAAAGGTTTACATGGTGGGTTTTATTATAAGGAATACGGATGTGGACATTGTATACAGCTGCATGATATTGTTCTATTTTAGTACATCTACTCAGCATGGTGATAACCTGTTCCCTGCCGACACAGATCTTCTTGGAAACACGTATGTACGACGACACCGCTGAATCCAATGCATGATGGAATCCATAAACGAGTGCTTACGATTGTTGTGTGGCACAAGCAGACATTGTGGTATAGAAAGGGAAAAAGTCAATGTTCGGATTTTGCTATGCATTGATTGATGGACGCTTACCATTGGTTCAAGCCATGCAAGTCCGCAGAGCGTAGAAAACAATCGTGGTTGCTTGGAAGCAAGAACGCACTTTTGCTTTCACACACCAACTCATTCGTCTTTCCCTCATGGCTACTCGTGTTTATATTGGACGTCTTGCTCGTGACGCACGTGAACGTGATTTGGAACGTCTCTTCAAGGGATACGGCGATATCCGTGAAATCAACATCAAGAACGGCTACGGCTTTGTTGAATTCAAGGATCCTAGAGATGCTGAGGATGTCGTGTACGATTTCCATGGCAAGGACTTTTTAGGTGAAAGGTAAGCTATTCGTCATATCGATACAATGAATGTATGTATTGATATGGATACCTTTTAGAATCATTGTGGAGATTGCTCGTGGTACTCGTCGTGGCCGTGAAGATCGTCGTCGTCGTGATGATCGGTATGATAGCATATCAACCACCATAGCAACCACAACAACAACCACTGATATCATGCACTTCTTTGTAGTCGTTCGTATCGTCTCTTTGTTGAAGACATCCCTAGTGGCACCAGCTGGCAGGTACGAATCATTGCAATACGCCCACAAAAAAGAAGAGGGATGATGAAAATGAGGATGACAAAGAGATCCCATGTCTCTTGAACCTCTTTTATTGTTCCCCATTTGGTCGATTGGTTTGGTGGCTCTTGGTCCTTTTATCCACCCCTCTGAATGGATGCTCTCCCTGGATCCTTTCTCTCTCTTCTCTCTTTTCCTTTCTTGTGGGGCAAAACTGGGACAACAACGAATCGTTTCTCTAAATCAATCTTCTCTCTCTCTCTTCCCATGGTCCGCGGCTCTCTTTTTTGTGCCTTGTCTGCCCATACCAATAGGATCTCAAGGATTTGATGCGTAAAGCAGGTGAAGTGACATTTGCTGATATCATTCGCAGTCGTCCTGGTGAAGGGTAAGGTTTCCTTTTCTTCTTTAATCATGTTACAAGCAACATTTTATTCATGGACTTATCCTATTTATAGTGTGGTTGAATTTGCCCATCGCTCTGATATGGAATATGCTTTGAGAAAGTTGGATGATGCTGATCTTAATGGCCAACGTATTCGATTGTTCGAGGTATGTAAATTCAAACATCCAAACTTTATACAACAATGGTATCTCATCATTGAATCTAGGATCGTCGTTCGTCACGTCGTTCTCGTAGTCGTTCTGTATCACGTAGCCGTTCTCCACGTCGTCGTTCATCTCGCCGTAGCAGATATTCGCGCTCTCGTACTCCTTCTCGATCCCGTTCTCCTTCACGCTCTCGCTCTCCTTCACCACGTCGTTCTTCGCGTCATCGTAGTAGCCGTCATCGTGAAGATGAAGATGTTCGTTCTCGCTCTCGTACACCTGAAGATGAACCTCGTAGAGGAGATGATCGTAGCCCTGCAGCAGATCGTAGCCGTTCCCGTACTCCTCCTTCTCGTTCCCCTTCGCGCAGGTAAGGATTCTCTAATCATTTCAATGTTGAACGACATGATGAGCTAACCATATCCATATCATGTAGCCCTGAGGAACCCAGAGATTAGTAGTGCAATCAAGAATAGGGATCATGCATTGAATGGTTTGTTGACAAAAGAAAATACACAAAAGACTTGGTCATGTGATTGTGAGGGTTGTTGTTTTCAACACTACAGTGAAGAAATACATATAAAAGGGAAAAAAAACAAAAGCAACCGTATTTACGGGGAAGAATGTGTGTATATGGAAGAACACGTGTGTTTGTGTGTGTGTGTAATCTATTTACAGTGGTGTTTGTATGGACAAAGAGTGTGTGTGTGAGAGGACTATATGGATCAACAATGCAGGAACAGACACATGGATCATCGAGTGATAGCGGTGGGTGCTGCACGACGTTGATTGTTGTTATGGTGTTGAGCAAAGTTCAAGTATTTGCCTTTACAAGTAGATCGAATGCTGGTGGTGGTGGTTCCTTTGCTCCTGTATTGACTATTGAGAATAGCTGTTGGACGTGGGGAAGGTGGACTCGTCATTTCAACATGTTGCTGTTGGTGTACTAAACGTTGCTGTTCATGTAATTTTTGATGGAACACATCCACTAGCCTCACAAATCGCTTTTTGTTTTCCTCTGGACGTTGACGGCAATGGGTGGAGGTTGTTGACATGGTCGATAATGATGATGATGAACATGTAACGGTAGAGGATGAGGATAAAGGTGGTCGTAGCAACTTTCGAGGTACGTAATGTTTACGAGCGGGATCGTCTTCCGGTGGTGGGGTCAAGGAGGAGTAACGAGTCAAGCGTTGTCCTATTAAATGAAACACAAGGGGGGTTCCCCAAAAGAGGAGAGCAACACATTTACCGTCAATTTCTTATTCACTCTCATGAAACAGACCAAAGGGGGCTGGTTCGGTCAAAGCAGAATATAAAAAAAAGCACTTTACCTGTTATGCTTTGCAACGGTGCCATTGCATCATGAACGGCAGTGGTTACATTCTTAGTGTGATGTTGTTGTTGTGTTAGGCGACGAGTTGTTGAAGGAACAAGAGGACGATGATGTTGTTGTACATTGCTGCTGCTGGTGGTAAACGATGATGTATCAAAGATTGATCCTCTTCTTGTCCGCCTTCTTCTAGTTGTTGCAGTAGTAGCATTATTGCCGTTGCAACTAGAAAACCACTCATCCATGGCATGTTGATCTGGTTTCTTTGCGTGTGGTGCTGGTATAGGTGGAGGTGGAGGTGGCATGTGTGAATTGTTATCGTTTTCTAGTAATGTTAGAGATACTCGTTTACGCTCAGCTGTAGCACTTGCTAACTTCTTGAGTAAACGTGATCGTGGAGGAAATTCGTATTGCTCTTGTTCAGGTGTCAGTGTTTGAGGAACATGAATCTCGACGGTACCATCTGGAAAACGTTGAATGGCGGCCTGTGATGTTATGAAGCCCATTGATAAGTGGATGAAACGTAAAGGAGAAACAAGGAGAAAGAGGAAAATGGGGTTTTTTGTGTTGTTGATGATGCAGGTTGGTGGTAATAGTGATGGTGCTTGTGCTGAGTGTGTACCTTTTTACGATCACCCCACACAAACATGGACCTACGATCCTGTCGTCGACGTAATTGCTTTTCCATGGCCTTGGCTGCTCTTGCAGCAATACGGCGTTGTTGTTCATCGCTTATGATGTTGTTGCAAGTTGATGGGCGGCTTGTTGATAATGATGATGATGAGGGAATAGGAGGGCCCGTGCGTTTGTTGCTCGATAAATGAGCTTGTTTAGAGGTCGTCGTGGGATTATTCTTTTCTTTGCTGCGATCATGCATCTTTTGCATATTTTACACGTTGTGTTGGTTACACGTAGCAGGGTTGACCCCGACAAGAAAGACGCATATACAGTTTCGGCTTACGCCACACAAGCACGCGCAATACACAAAGAGAGCACACGGACTGGTGTACAAAAATAAGGGGCTGTGTGCTGCAAACACAGATAAAAAAGATGGTCGTAGCAGTAGTGTGTAAACGAACGAGAGGTTGATTGATGATGTAGCAATCAAGGCACAAGATGTTACTCCTTGTTTTAAAGGGGATTGTTGTAAGGGGGGAGGAGGATGAAAATGGAGAAACAAGTGAGGATGTGTGCGTAAAATGTATAAATGTATATATGCTTGTGCGTGTGCGTGTATAATAAAATGAAAGAAAAAGAGAGAGAAAGAGAGAAAGAGAGTTCACAGAAAGAGAAAAGAAGAAAAGAGAGGAAGGAGGTCGGATCCCGTTTCGACGAAAGTATCAAATAAAAAGTAAGGTTTAGGGCAGCGTAGCAACTTTTTACAAAACCATAGTTGACAATATGCGAAGCAGGTTACACTAGCAAAGAATTGCTGCACACGTTCCTCTTTTTCACTCTCACACGGATCCATATTTATTATCATGGTGCAAGGGGAGCTGCATTGGAATCCCATAACTAGTATATCGCACGGCCCGACGCAGCATTTTGCTCGTTCACGGGACGCATATAAATTATTCATATTCGGTTTACTCGTACATCTTTTGAGGGGTAAGTGGCGGAGGCAAGTTATTAGTCGAACGACTAGAAAAGAAAATTGGTGTGAGTAAATGGGTTATAAAATGGCTGTGCGTGCGTGTGTGTGTGTGTGTGTGTGTGTGCTTTCTCTTTTGTGTGTGTCTCACTTACCCTGCATCACCCGATGATGGTGATGATGATGATGTATTGCCTTCTGCAACTCGTTGCGTATCAGCGAATGGATCAAAGGGATCAACCGCCACCAAGGGTGCTGCTGTTGATGTTGCATTCTTGTTGTTGTCACCTCCGCCATGCAGGTCGAAATTCACAGCAGGTTGTTGTGATGATGAGCTGCTGCTACCACCATCAGCTGGTCGAGGTTGATGGAAAGGATTGTTACTTCCACTGCTGCTATCGCCAAGCCCAAGTAAATCGACATCACCCTCTTGTTGTTGTTGTTGATGCTGCAATGGGTTGGCTTTTATCAGTAACCCCGATAATATGTGCTTCCATCATCGTGTCATTTTTTTCTCCTTCTCCTTTCTCCCCGTCTTACCGGTCGTGTGCTTCGGTTGTGCAGTGTTTCGGAATTTCTTGTTGCTTCGTTCATTGCACGCCGCTCCAGCATATCGTCGTACGCCTTAAAGGCCGTCACCAACTCACTGTTGGCTTCCAATAGGGACGCTGTTGGGCATGTACATCATCAGAGTTAAAGTTCTGTGTCACAACATCTGTGCTATATTGTGTACACGCGCGGCACACCAACTTACAAATGATATCAGAGTCATTGCAGGTCTCCAAATGTCGTGCCAGGATCTTTTGGAACATTTTGCATTTGCCATAAAACTCCTGCATGTATATAAAAGATCATGATAAGCAATGCCATTCGTTCAAGAAGGAATAAAAACACGAACTTGTATCAGCTCATTCTTTGTAATGTCCTCTTGCGTGGGATCCGTGAATGATAACGTTTGTGAGAATAACTGAGCGTTGTTCTTGGCTAGTAACACATCGCTTGCTGGATCCGCAGAAGCCTGATGGAATTAGTTAGTGACTCATTCTATCAGCCATGACGCGTATCTCCCATCCTCGGCATAACATCCCGATCCCTTTTTGTGCCCCAATCTATGTTACCTGTTGCTGTTGTTGTTGTTGTTGCTGTTGCTGTCTATGGTGTTGCTGTTGTTGTAATTGGAATTGTGCTGGGGTTGCAAGCCGAAAAACAAGATTTTGAGTGCCACGTCTTGGAGGAGGAGCATGTGATGTTCCATGCGTCAATCTTTCATAGACACGATGCACACCAATGAAGCCTGGGTCAGCACCATATCGCGTCACCCAATTTTGAAGGCACGTAACCAGCTTGCTGTGAACTTGATCGTTGGAAGACTATGATGAACGGGGTTAGTGTACCTCTCCTAATCTGGGTTCTACAACATGATATTTCGGATGAATCTATCCACATACCTTGCTCGTAGCTAACGTGTCCAAATCCTCAGCAAATGATTTTGCAGACAACTGGCCTAGATGATGATGATGATTATCTCTGTCAGTCATCATTCAACTTCACTTTTGCTTTGAATACACTCACTTTGGAATTTGGCTTGGCAATTTTGAGATAAAGCATCGAGTAGCTGTTGTTGCATAAATCCATTATCCGCACAATGAAATTAGCATGTTATCCTTCTGTATATGGAGTATCCTCCTCCTCCTCAACCCTCCAAAAAAGGACCCAACAAAAACAATACCCCATATTACATACCTCGAGTGCAAGTATTTGTGTTTGTGGTTGATCAGCCAACATCTTCTTCTGCAACAGCTTACGAGCTTCCTTGGCACCTTGCTCGGTATTGTTGACTACATCGCATATGGCAAAGACGAGGGACCAGTCCATTTCTTGCATGGAGGGATCAGTAGCCTTCTCTAGATGTGTTGTGTATAACTGAATGAGCTTGTTTGCATCTTGATAAAGGAAGAGTTTACAATGCTACTTGCCGACATTGGTAGTGATGGTGGTTGGTGTTATCTTTTTGGAGAAGATATTCTTCATGTTGTGGAAGGTGTAAAAGAGAGAGAGAGAGAGAGAGAACAAAAGAGGTATCAATATATTGGTTTATTGGGTTATGGATAATCGAGTCCGGTGAAACAAAGGAAAGTCCAAGCAGCTACCTCTATCCAATCAAAAGGGTGATGCCAAGAAGAGGATCGTTTCAACATGCTCACGTGGTTGTTGTCTTTTTCATCATCATTTCACATCCAATGACAATACTTCGTGGATGACAGCTTCGATGCCAAAACAAACAAAAGTAAATCATGGTTTAATATCTTGCACTACTATGCGTAGAGAAACGACGAGGAGGAACAGTAGCAGTTGTAGTAGTAGTAGGGGGTGGAGGAGGAAGAGGGGTTGTTGGTGGAGGGTGCCTTGGTGGCATCATGAGAGCATCCATCGAATAACGCGCGTAACGAGGAGGTCGATCTTCATGCTCAAAATGGAAGAGATCCACTGCTGATACTGTAGATGGTGATGATTGTTCAACATTATTGTCTCGACGTCGCATCGTTGTTGCTGATGTATCCAATGATTGTGGTGATAAGGGAGGTGAACGATGTTGCAGCTGACGACGACATGATACCATCCTATCCGAGGTGGTAGTCAATCGACGACGCAAACGAGTTTGAGCATTTTGTGAAAAGGCATTGGCCAGCAACGCAGACGAAGGACGCTGGGTATCGTTACTGCTGTAAGTAGATAAGGCAGGTGATAAAGGCAATGATGATGTGGTGGTAGTATTGATATTGTTGTTGTTGTTGCTATGGATACTGTTGCTGGGTGGTTGTGCTGGTGAATAGTTATCGTAAGTTGAGGAAGCAATGACACTATTGCTGCCAATGGTATCGAGCGAATCGTTTGACTGGTATCCAAGTGCAAAAGATAATGATACTGGACGACGTGAAGATGAAAATGACGAGGAGGATGAAGTGACAGAGGATGCATCATGTTGCTGATAAGGAGCCAGCTCCTCGCTGCTATGGTTGGGTTTCTCATCTTGAAGATCCAATCTTTCCAGCCACTTATCAAGTACGCTATCATTGTTGTCATTATCATTGTTGTTGTTGCTGCTGCTGCTGGAGATCAAGTTTTGGTCAATCGATGTCATGCTGGTATTGTGATAAGTTGACGATGATGATCCAACACCACCACACTGATGTTGAGCTTGAAGATGCTTATCAAGGTGTGCTTGAATCATTTCCATCCACACTTGTCCTTCCATCCCATTCTCTGCGTATAGTAGTTGGTTCAAATGATGCCTGCATCTTGATTCAATTCGAAAAGCATACGGCGACTGCTTGACTGGGTGCTTGCTCACTTTTCGATAGTGTTTCAGCTCAATGACACCCGCCGGTTTCACATCGTTCTAATGGTGGTCCCTTCCCATTGAGTACTATGGTCTTGTACACGCGCACACACACTTGGGTATACTTACAGGTTGCTTATAGTAACGTAGTTCATTATCCTTGAGCACAAAGTAACGTCTTCGCCATGTCTTGTGAATGTTCAGCCAGCTGAGCTTGTAGAGCCACCCTTCACGGAATGTGGAAACAGTGGTCGTTGACATGTGTCAAAGTGACAGCAACAAAAAGGGGAAAACGAGTAGAGTGAGTCAAAGCGCCGTCGTGTGGAAGAAGAGCAATATCCGGGTCAAGTTTGAAAATTAATACCATAAAACGGCGGCGGTGGTAGAGAAAGCACTGTCCACGTGCTAATCGTTCTCTTAGTTTCTTTCTGCCCTGAAGCATTGGAGACGTGCATCGTCTTGCATCCGTCACCTACATATGTATTTTTACTTCCTACTATAATACCATATACATATGCGATCACATCTCCCGTGTAGTATAGACATTGATTGGATATAAGAGATAAAATGCGCTTTTTAATATCACTGGCTGATCAGTAATGGCTGCTGCTTCTTTTCATGTCACAACGCTTCTTTGGCAATCGTTGACGTGATCCCATCATCAGACCAAGGTCATAATGATATAAGATCTCTTCACCTATATACCCTTTTTCTCATACGTATTATCACAACCCATACACTACTCAAATCCAAACACACACACACACACACACACACACACACCGCACACATCAGGAAATTTCATCGTGGAGGAGCGTGAACTCTCGGCTGTGTCCGATTTGCGCCTTTCTTGTATTGTTGTACGACGCTATTCTGATGATCGGCAAATTGCAAATCGTAACGCGTTTGCTGTCTCAAGGGTTCATCTCCCCCATTCATCAAATTATTCTCCATTACATACGCAAGTATCACTCTATTGCCTTGAATTGGATCTACAACATGCTGTAGCATTTACTCGCATCATCCGAAAACAGTAACTAGCCTCTCACCACCACATGCCCTGTCACTTGGGTCCACTTTGCTGGTTCTGAACATGATGTAATCCCTTTTGATCGATATTCCACTGCATCCATTGTATAGGTAGATCTGATATTAGGCGTGGGACAGCCCCCAAAACCTCGTTGCTCTCTTCAAGTTTTGCTGTAGGAGGTTGGATGTCCGATAAACAATGATACCATGTACAAGCAATATTGCATAATTGAGTTCAAATTGTCCCATCCCTATCCATCCTTATTATCGTATGAAGGCGTATCCAAGGGGAAGATGGATCATCTAAATAGATTACTAGGATACATGAATGCAGCTATCGTGTGTACTAGACCACCCCCATTACGATGTTAAGCTAAGACGACGGCTACATGAAGCACTGCATTTCCTATCCTTTGTATGGGAAAAACCAACGCTTGCGTTGTACATATCAAACAGCAGCAATATAGATCGTTACGAACAAACACGTCAGCATCTCGTATTGCAACAAGCGTGGTGTATAATTATACATCAAGAGATGATGATTTAATGGCGAACCCAGTTACTTGGGCTCCCATTATTGCGTTTGTTATCACGTATTGTTGGATGATTAACCTTCTTATCATTGGGGAAAAAGATAAGCATATGAACAACGCAACATGCCATGTATGCTTTTCTTCTCTCCCACGCGTCAAAAACCCCGGTTACGTCTTACCAAGACATGTGGCCTTACAACCCAGCTGTGATCATTTCACGGGTGCATTTCTACATGTGGGAATCATAACGCACGGGCACCAACATGCTGAAAGATCATTATATTGAACAACGCGTATATACATGCGTCGTAGGACATGGTTAAAATATACCATGGTGAAGCACATGTGCAAAAAGAAAGATCTTGAGCTATTACTGCATTCGGTCAACAAGATGGGGAGCTGCTGTCATAAATGGTATGGCAGATGCAAGCTGTCAGGTCTGTGTGCGCACTATCTTGTGTCACCAGAATGTCATGGCGGGGACATAGGTCCGATTGAAAATTAAGTAACGCAGCTATGTAGCGTGCCTGTATACCAAGATCGGCCATTGTTGCCCAATCCACCTACCTTACATAATATCAACGTTGGTCCCTTTTCATCTTAGTATCCTGGATCATTGACCCTTAATAAAAACAAAGACTCAAAAAGTTGGCATCCCGTGAAACCAATCTTTTTTTATTTTTGGATCATTGACATGCTACTACTACAGCTGATTTGCATGATTTGGAAGTCCAAAAATTATCCTTGTTCATGAATATGGTGCATGGCAACTAATGGCATGGCAACTAATGGCATGGCAACCAATTACATGGCAACCAATTGCATGGGGTGATTACCTGATGGAAGAGCACAGCTACATACGACGACCACGTTTGAACATGACATCAACCTCAAGAACAAGGCCTGATGAGCGTTTCCATTCGCTCTCTTCTTCTCTCATCGCTGCAAGTGTTGCCTCAAACTGCCCAAAAGATTCATTTGGTAAAGTTGCCGCGGTCGTTGTGATCCCATATCAAAATTAGAGCAAGCTTAAGAGCGCCCTGTCAATTTCAGCTTTCAGATGATAGAGCAAACCATATCACCAAATCCAACTTTGCATATGTATGTATCATGGGACGAGGTAGCCATATCAAAGGAATGTGATCAACATGCAATTTGATTAGGTTTTACCATATTACAAGAGTCAAATGACACAATGATGACCACGACAATGTAATCAGGATAACAATGAAGCACTAATTAATGATCACAAAGAGCAAGACATGCATCAGCTTTCATCCACAGGTATGCGAGAAATGAGATACTCACCAATCCGGAGCACATACATGATGGTTTAAACAATCAAGGAGCCATGTGTGGGAGCATGGTGAGCGACACCATCATTTTGGGAATAATGTACTTCCATGCATGAATCGGTGGTTGGCATGAACCAATACCAGGTTGCAACATCCATCAAAGTCAATATGCCAGCAGATGATCTTTTCGGGTCATTAATTACTCATTGTCCCATAAGCGCCTCCCCATCACCGAAAGAGTTTTGCCATTGTCCTGCTACATGCATTCATGATGGTTGTATTTTTGTTGATCGAGCACTATAAGCGGCAATGATCCAAGTACATTGTTGATACTAAAGTGAAGCCCTATTTGGGTTGAGTACAAAGTATGATGCAAGAGTTATGGTACAAAAGCAAAACATGGTTCTTTGATATGCTATGTTGGTGTTGTAGCGTTGCTTGTTGATTATCGTCGCAAGAGGTAAACATTGTAAGAGAGAGGGGAGAGGGATTTAAGGGTGGAAAGGCTGAGAGAAAAAAAGGTTCCTCCACACGCAATAAAAACAATCCTCACGTTTATGATAGAGCCCTATAGCTACTGAAAGCTTGTTACCATTGGCAAGGATGCGAAGAATCCAATGGGATCAAGTAGCGAAAGAGGATCTTGGGTAAACAACTTTCAATTTTGAGCTCGAACAAGCAACCTTCCCAAGCAAGCGTCATGTACGCATAATAGCGATGATTCAGCTCCACCTAGATCAAGCCTAAGGTTACCATGCTATTAACCACAACCATCACCCTATAATAAGGTCAAGCTATTGCTATCATAAACCCGGAATCGTGCGATTACTATTTCGTCCATTCTCAAACTGCAGAGCTTGGCATAAAGTGGTACGCCACCTCCAGCGATATGTATTAGGCCTGCCGTATGGTATCGGTCATTTTGACCTGCAGCTTCAATCGATGGCGATGGTCATCCACCTTTTTCGTTATTAAACATCTCGCTTGTGCCACCCGATATCACGAGAATCGAGGTGTATGAAATTAATGGAGGTTCTTCTGTACAAGGTAGCACTAGTAGTATTCCTCTATGAGAACCTTGTAATAACAGCATACGGTCGTGAAGGTACATTGATTCATTATTACTCTGCTATACGTAGCAACGAGCGTCAAGGATCACTGTGCATGGCAAAAATGCATTGGATGGGTGATATTATAGATCACCTGGAAAGACAATAGCGAAAAAGTGATCCTGAGTTTGAACCATCCGATACATGAACAACGAATCATTGACGGAGGCGCACCGTAAACGTGAGACAAGACTTGATTCCCGCTAATTCAGCCGACAGGTACATAATACAAACAGCAAAGGTTTTCGTTCTTGTCATTCTTCCCCTTCCCTTTCCTTTTCAACGCATACCGCTTGTTCCCATGGGGTTGTCGATTTGGCCTGGTCTCTACTTTAACGATATCTCATACCTCTCCATTGGAAGCCTGGTGTATGGCTTGGCGATTGTAGCGGCTGCTTTTCATAGTGAAAGCTCAACAAAACCCACACCCTACTCAAAGTTTGGTAATGGTCCAAAAGCTTCTCTCGACAGCAAAGTGGCCATGTACATCATCTATCTCCCAGCTCTTGTCTCAGCACTTTACATGAGAGAAGAAGTTGTTAATAGTGTTATTTCACGATACACATTGGTCGAATCATTTTACTTTATTCACTTTGCCAAACGATTGATGGAAGTGAGCTATGTGCATATCTATACATCCAAGACCGATGTTGGCACCATGCTTACTATTTCAAGCACCTATTTCTTGACGACGACATTGACTTTGTTGAATTTACGACGTGTTCCCGAAAGCGTGTTTGGATCGGGATGGCTTGCACTGGGCATGGTATGCACTATTGTCGGCGAACTTGTCAATGGATACCATCATTGGCTATTGCGTAAACTTCGACTTGCAGGTGGTAATACCGCTATTGTCAACAAGAAGTTGGACGACCAGAGAAAATACACCTTGCCCTCGGGTGGACTTTTCGAGTATTGTATCGCCCCACATTATGCTGCAGAGCAGTTGTCATACATCGGTATCATGCTCATGTGCCAAAACGTGGCTGGCATCGTGCTCAACCTTTTCCCAATGGTTTATCTCACTCTCCGCTCCGCTCGAACCCACGAATGGTACGCTTCCAAGCTCTCGAGTCAATACGAACGATCATTGCTACAACACCGCAAACGTCTCATTCCGGGTGTTTGGTAACCCATGGCAACCTTACACGTATACAAAGATACACGATATACGTAGATACCTGAAATATAGATCATATTATGTAACCCGGTATTTGAAGTCATGGTTGTATTATAGAGTATGTTGGATGGAAAGGGTTAAAAAAACATTAGCTGAAAGATGCAAACATCACGATGCACCATCTGATGATGATGATGATGATGCAGTGCTCGCTCATTTATAGTGGGGCGGAAGCAAAGAAAGCCTATCGTGCATAAAAAGGTTGCTGGTAAATATTCCTTGTGCCCCCTTCTCACGGTTCCCCCATTTTCTTTCCTCTTTCTTTTTTCTTCTTATCTGGTAAACGAACAACCACAACCATCAGCAACCCATCCTTATATATCTATCTATTGCAACATGCCGCGACTTGTCGTTAAATGGTAATAGGAATGAATGCATCCATGTAACTTTTTTTCTCAACACGAGTTCTATAATAAAAAAAGGGGAGTTCCACTGGCACTCGTTACTGGGGCGGTTTATTACTACAACTCTAGTAAGCACAAGAGTGACCATTCCCAGCCATTAAAGTTCGAGCCATCTGGTCAAGCTGATCATGATTCGGAAAAATTGGAACACATCCGAGAAGACTGGAAGGAACGTAACCAAGGAATTGGCTTGCGTGATGTCAAGTGAGTGCAACAACCATCATCACCCCAGCTTAACCATGCTAACGAATTTGACCCGATTTATGCAGCCGAAGCGGAGGTGGAGTATAGGAAAACAATCATCTCTTCATTGTGTGTGTGTGTGTGTGTATTTCCCAAAAGTGCCCAACAACAACAACAACAACGATTCAGCTAGCTAGCTATCTTGTGCTTATCACATGTTAACGATACGAGATCTACAGAATAAAGTACATAAGCATGGGTGTGACACACGTATTTAACTCACATTACCTGTACTCTTCGATATTGTCAAAATCCAGAACGACTATACCAAAAGAAGGAGGAACCCAAAAGTTAGTGCATGGAAGAAGAGGACACCGCCAATCCTTCTTTTACACTTGCCTAGATCACGCTTTGACAATGGTTTCTTGGTTAATGGGCAGATGTTGCGTTGACCTTCCCAACTTGTTAAGCAACGGACCCAACTTTCGTACCTATTGTAAACACAATACCTTAGCTTTCAAAAAGGGATCCAGTAAATGCATGCTATCTTACCCCATTACATGTCCATATTTCGAAATGGCAGGCTTGACAACCTCTTCAAGAGTGATCGGATCGATAAAACCAGGCAAAGGATTTGTTGCATGTGTCATGTTGGCATTGGCTCCCCATCCAGTTGCATCGTTTTCCTTTCCATCACTATCCTTGGCCACACCTTTGCCTTTCCATTTGCTGTTAGCGGTGGGTGATGCATTGTCAACAAGCCCTGCTTCGATGGCTGCTGTGGTGGGTCGACGTTGGCGTTTGCTACGACGACGACCTGATGCATCGTCATCAAGTCGCATAGTGTAACTTCCTGATCGATCATCGTCATAGCCAATATAATCATCATCAGAGGATTCAGGTGAATCCGACGCACCCCATCGACGATCTTTGCCACGTCGTCGTCGAAGTCCAAGCGTGGTTTTTTTGGATGTTGTAGATGCTGCTGGTTGTTGTTTCTTTTTCTTACTACGTCCACCACTACTACCACCACCACCATTGCCATTGCTATTACTGCTGGATGCCGCTGTAGTAGCTGTACTCTTGGCTTTTGATGATGACGACGGTGATGATGATGATGAAGCTGCAGTTGCACCATTGTTGCTGCTGCTGTTGTTGTTTCGTGCTGATGAGTGTTTGTTGTGAGATCGAAACGTCTTTTTGACCCCGCCATCAGCTGTCTTTTTGTCGAACAAGTAATGTGCCTTGCCACGCTCATCCAGAACGTAATTGGGATCATGAATCTGCTTCGTTTCCACCAGGAGCCGATAAAAGTTGGAACACTGATAGCCGACACGACCCGGGATTGCCATACTGAAAATACCCCATTGTCCATTCGCACCCACTTCATCCAATCGCTTGTAAAATAACTTTTGCTCATCCTAAATATCGAGTTGTGTATAAGTAAACCTTGCTCATGAGAATAACGCATATAATTCGCTTACCTTTGACCATTGTCCTCTACGTTGTACCTCACCAGGGGCATTGAAGCGATAGTAATAGCTGTTGGGGTTCTCATTGATCATCTGATATGCGCGAATACGAGCTTCTGACCACCCCTCAAATGCCTTTTCAGGATCCTCTTCTTGATGCTTTTGTGCTTGTTTGACAGCTTCATCCAAGCAAAGGCGACCACCCATACGATATTGTCTTGTAGATAAAGGAATGAGTAATAAGGATCCATGGTATAGTATGCATTTACCTTTTGGCATTGTCATTGGTGGTTTTCCTCAACGTCTCGGAACGCTTTTTCACCAATAGATCATATGCGGTTTTCTGGGCATCAGTCATCGTTGAAGCTAATATTGCAATGGTGTATAAGTAAATGTTGACGTTTTCTTGATGAGTGACCTACCCTTTTGATACGTTTCATCCACATATTTGGACGCTACGGACTTGCGGATTTCATGAAGGTATCCAGGCTGCGTCAAACGGTAGACGACTTCTTCCTATTGTAATCATAAAGCTTAGTTTTCAGTGATAAAGCGGGGAGATAGTGGATGGACCTACTTCATCATTATCACAATCTCTCAACATGGCAGCAATCTCCTCGTTCTCCACGTGGTCGAAAATGGCACGAATCTTCTTAGCTTTGCGGGCTCTCTCGCGTCTCTCGTATGCTGCAAATTGCTTCTGATGCTCTGCGACTCTCTTTGCAACAAGTATCTTTTCTTCTTCGGTCAACTCTTCGCTGAAAAAGCTTTCCTTGTGTACGACTTCCATTTTTTGGCTAGGATAAAAAGGATAAGTATACATCCCCGTGTGAATGAAATGAACCCATAATACCTTTCAGGTGATGATGCCGATGATGCATCATTGTCATCGTCTGCAGTGGTGTCATTGCTCTGATCCTTCTCATCTTTCAATGGGATATTTTGATCATCTTCATCATCATTCGATTCTGGTTCTTGAGGCTTGTTGCTACGCAAACGTTCCTATAAGCGGATGATGTCGGTGTTAGCCGTGTGCATGATTTGACATGGCAACCCCTCCCCACACACACCACTTGACCCCATCTCCATACACGCTCATCTCCTCTTCTGTACTTGCCACAACCGATGCAATCTTGATAATGTCTGGTATGATGACCTCTTGCCAGTGTACGATCTTTGGTCTCTCCTTTGCATGTTTAGTGTCTAAGAGAAGAAACAAGCACCATAAGCTGACATTGTTGCGGCATAATAAAGGAATCACCACCCAAACGCGTCCAGTGGTTTGACAAAAGAGTCATTACGCACCTTCATGGAAGAAATGAGACGTTGTGAATGCTTGCTTCTGTTGCTCTTCAATGGACTGCTGCTTTTTGTTGTTCTTGGGCGGCATGGGTTGAATCCAGTTGAATGAGAGAAAAGAGTGTCAAAAGTGGAAGAAAGAAAGGAGAAAGCTACAAACAAAGTGGGTGATGCTGCATCGCGTTTCATGTTATCATCCAACCAGAACAAACAAGCTCACATGATCAACACCCTAATTTAAAGATCGTTCACAACAAAAGATAATCACACTGATTTTATTCGTATCATCAAAGGATGTGTGTGTAATGCATTAAAGCATGTTGGATGACTGTTGCTTGACAGCCTTTTCTTGCTGAATGACTTCCTTATCCAAGCCGAGCTGAGCATCGGTCCAAAGAGGGGACACCTTGGGAGGATTGGCCATACCAACGCCAGCACGACCTCCTTGAGACACCCAATCGTTGACACGCTTGAAACCATAACGATTCCAAATGGTCTCAAGAGAATCCACGAGATGATCAATCATGCCTTGATTGTGACCAGGAGTGGGAGTGATACGAAGACGTTCTTCACCAACAGGAACGGTGGGATAGTTGATGCTTTGGACATAAATGCCATGTTCAGAGAGCAATTCATCCGAAGCCAACTTGGCTTGAGCAGCATCACCAAGCAAAACGGGGACAATGTGAGAAGGATTAGGCACCACAGGAATACCAAGCTCATTCAAACGAGCCTTGACGACACGTGAGTTGATTTGTTGCATTTGACGTTCCATGTTGGAGACCTTCAAGTACTTGACAGATTGCATGGCACCAGAGACAACAGCGGGTGGAAGGGAGGTAGTAAAGATGAAACCAGGTGCATAGGAACGCACCATATCAACCAATGATGCTGAAGCAGCAATGTAGCCACCAACCACACCATAAGCCTTGCCGAGAGTACCGGTGATGATATCAATTTCATCGAGAATTGAACCATTGCCAAGTGTGGGATGAGCTGCATTCAAATCGAAATCAAGATGCTCGGCAACACCGGCACCACGTGGGCCGTACATGCCAACTGCATGCACTTCATCAAGGAAAGTAATGGCACCATACTTTTTAGCGAGATCGACAATTTCACGAATAGGGCCAATGGAACCACACATCGAATACACAGACTCGAATGCAATGATTTTGGGTGTAGCAGGATCAACCGATTGCAACAATTCTTCGAGATGAGCCATATCATTATGGCGGAAAATCTTCTTTTGTGCACCCGAATGGCGGATGCCTTGGATCATGGAAGCATGGTTCAATGCATCCGAGAAAATGACACATCCAGGCAATTTGCCGGCAAGCGTAGCAAGTGTAGCATCATTGGCAACATAGCATGATGAGAAAACAAGGGCACCTTCCTTGTGATGAAGATCAGCCAATTCGGATTCGAGACGCAAATGCAAATCGGCATTGCCAGCAATGTTACGAGTACCACCCGCACCAGCACCATAGCGGTCTAAAGTACGTCTATCGTCACGAAAGGTAAGTATGTGTTGTGTATGTGTGTGCATGTGATGCGTTGTTTATACTTACTTCATGGCCTCTGTCAACACTGGGTTTCTTCCCATGCCCAAATAATCATTGGCGCACCACACAGTGACTTCATCTTCGACACGAGCAGTGTGAGCACGAGGGAACTTTTGAGCAAGGCGATTGATGTTGTTGAAATAACGATAGCTCTTGTCCTTGTGCTTCTTTTCCAATTCATGTTGATAAAATGATTCATAATCGAAATGCTTGGACTTGGTTTCAAAAGAAGCAGGTGTTGTTTCTGTCACGGTGGCAACAGGGGGACGCACTACATCAAAGATTTATGTGTTAAATGGGATGCGATAACGTTCCCCCAAACAAGGGTCTTAGACACATTACCTGCTGCAACTTCAGATTGCTCAACGGCCTTAGCCTTCACAGGAGTAGTGGGCTTTTGAGAGACGACTCGCGAAGTTGAAATGCCACGGGTTTGAATGGCTTGGCTCATAACAGGACATTGCTGGGCCTTGTTCAAAAGAGCACTACCAGGCTTGGCAGCAGCGGCACCCTTCGATTGCAAAGCAGAGAGTCTACGCAACGAAGATGCTGATGCAACGTGCAAAAAGGGGCATGATTTTTTGGCTTGGACAAGTGCAACCTCCATTTCGAAATGTAAAGAAGTTGAGTAAGAAAAAAAAAGCTGCACACAAGAGTGGGGGGGATAAAGAAGAGCAAGAAAAAGAAAGATACCATTAGAGGAAACCGCCTCTGAACAAAATAAAAACCACCGGGGTGCAATTTTTTCCTACTCCGTGTGCCAATCGAACGGCAGATTGGTAATGACGATGGCCGCCCCATCGCGTATTCAGGTTACCGAGAAGTGAACTATCGTTGCGTAACCTTGACTAATGCTCAACACGTGAAGTCTATTGTTCTTGTTCTTGTTCAAATGGGAAAATCAACCTTGTCCTGTGGGTAAAAAACATGCCTTGTCCCTTGTTAAAAAGGATGCACTTGGAGCACCTTGTCAAAGGAAAACAATCAAATGTCTCTTCCCCCATCACTCATTTCGCCGCGCTTTAATTCTCCGGTTACAAAGAACTATGATTACAATAAACAAGGTTTTCTGCAATGTCATCCTTTTGTTCTTCTTTGGTAGTCCCTGCTTTTCAGTGGGAAAATGCAACCATACATGTGGGATCTCATATCCAACGAGGTGATTGTTGCCTTGTATATCACTTTTTGATATCAACCCCACAATACCACTATTCCGATACAGCTGAGCCCTTCCTCAAACTTTTCCCGGTTGGCAAATTTAAACATGAATCATTCAGCCTTGTATCCCCAATGACCAAGCTATCACCCAGCAGCATCAGAACATGATTACTATTTGTTAAGTAGAATGCCTATGATAGCCCCTACTATGCTTTCGGGATCAATCAAATGGGCTGATCTGTAGGAAGGCTGGTCGGCAATTTCGGGATGCAATGAGTCAAATAGATGTCTCATGAAACAAAGAAAAAAAAGTTTTCTAGCACAGCCATCCAGGAGAAAGACCACACACACACACAGACCTCATGTTCGATCCACCACCATGTGCTTGCATAAATCCACATACCAAATACAGCATATAAGAGATCAAGTCATCTCGATTGATCATCCACGTTTTGTTCTCTCACACTCATTATTATCCCTTTCAACCATTTCCCCATATCAAAACGACATAGCAACCTATTAACTTTTGTACATGTGTGTGTGTGCATGTTTCACTCTTGGGATTATAATAGATATACAACGTAGTACGGGAAAGGGGAGACCATTTCTACCGAGGGGAAGCCACACGACGTTGTCGTTCGAGACACTTGTCAACGATATCACCTCTACTCATCCTTCTTCCTTTGTCTACTTGAAGCGAGTGTCGATACAAATAATAAGCCGGCTCCTCACTTTTCCGCCTATTTTTGTTGGCATCATCATGTCGATCGGTTGATAGAATATCCCTTGCACTTTGATCGAGGACCAAATCATCGTGTGGTAATCCCGTATCGCTCACACTCCGTAAGCCGAGATACTTCCGGCGCGATTTACCCGATCCAATAACACGTTCTTCAAGATCATCTGGAATCACAATCATCCCTGCTGCCACGCTCACACGTCGACCTGTTGGATTTAATAAGTGTTGATCGGGCAACATATCCGTAGGTTGACATCCATGATCCACGTGCTCATCATGAGGTGATAATTGACCATGCTGTTCTTCTTCTTGCTCCCTTTTCAGCCATTCTTGCCGATTGGTTTTGAGAATAGTCAAAAGCTCTTCTGCTTTGGGGAACATGGCGGCAAAGATCTCAAAGTAGGGTGATACTACAAAGTCCCCAAATTGCAATCCAATGGTGGTTTGCTTCACTTGATCCTTATCCATATTCGGTGATACTGGTAATCCATGTTTCTTTTCCATTTCGCCCTGACGAAAGAATTCTTCGCACACTAATTCGGACCATTTGGTGCAAATAGGCCATGGTCTTAATGCATTGCTGATATCAGCCGCATGTAAAATGATTTGGCACAACATTTGTCGTTCTTGGTGATCCAGAAATTTGGGTTGGAGTGGTGATGATGCCCCATCATCAAAGAATGTCTGTGATTGGAAATTGCGTAGCGGGCTTGTGTCGCTTTCGAAAATATCTTTCATGTGGCCACATGTGTTGTCATGGTTACTGTTGCTGCCGCTGCTGTTGTTGTTGTTATTGGTATTGTTGTTGTCTCCCGAATGAAAGCAATAATGTGATCCTTCTCCTTCATTCTCATCACGATCCACCATGATCTCCAATAGGCTAGCGAAATTCTCTTGTAATTCATAATGAAAGACCATGTCGGTGGCAAGGATCATTTTGATAATGGAGGTGCGAAAACGGTCTTCGGTTGTCGGTATGGACTGACGTCGGCTGGCTTGTTCGACGTTGCGGAGCAACTTGTGTTTCGAGAGGAGATCCATTGCCAACGTGCATGAATAACTTTCCAGCACAGACTTGTTGGCATATCGGATGGCTAATTCAGTCTTGAGCTTGACTTGATAATTGTTATTGTAACCGGGCTATATAAAAGACCACAATCAATGCGTGGAGGTGATGGGAATACAATAATTTACAACTTACATGCCCGATATCGTGACACAAACCAGCAATGAACAATGCTGCTACATCCAATCCAGACAAGTAATTTGCAACTTCGCAGTGCAATAACATGTGATATAGCACAAGACTAACATCAGCTGCATGATAAAACGAATGATATGGATTGGGAAGATAGCCGAGATCCACGTCGATCAAAAAGTCAAGGAAATCGGATGGTGTTATATCGAGTGCATTGAATATGTGTAGTCGCTGTGCACTGCCGAGTATCATGCCATAAATCTCACTACGAGACTTATCCAGTAAGGTATAGTCCAGTGACGAATGTGCCGGTACATCAGGATCAGCGATCTTGATCATCAACTACAAAGACCACCATGAGCACAATGGAGGACGATTCCCCTTCCATACTCTTTGGCTCACCTGTTCTATTTCAAAGAGGTCCTTGGCAGGTAGCTTGTTGTGTCGTAGTACGAGCATGATACGTAAAAGACTGTAAAGAAGAAGAAATAAACCGACAATGTGGGTGTTGGTGTGCGGTGTGGCAAAAGAAGGAAAAAAAACGGATGCGTGTGTGGGTGGGTGGGGTGTGCAAGGGTTCGTTGGCTCTTTTTTTTCTCACCCAGTACTCTCTCGCTCTCTCTCGCTATGCTGGCTCTCTCTATCTCTATCTCAATCTCTGAGCCTTGATAGGAGAAGGATGACAATGGCTTCAAAGTGGCCCGTGCTAGTAGTTTCCCATCCACATAATCTAATGCGCTGCTATATCCAATTTTAACATTGTTTCCGAAGCTGTGGGAGAATATATTTACTGCTGATGCTGAATATGGAATATAGATGAATAATGCAACGATAAAGTACAGATAATAAAGGGAGGCTTAATCTCTATACTCGTTCATGAAAGACTTGTGGAACTTTTCAATGTTGGAGCAGAATTGATCAAAGAGATGTTCTTCAGGCAAGAACGTTGAGCGGAAATGCCAGGTGTCCTTTTCTTGACCGAAACCAGAACCTATATCCACGCATGAATACTCTATCCCCATATGTAAACATCAACAATAACACATACCAGGAATGACACAGACACCAGTAGCTTCAAGCATTTGAAGAGCATAGAAAGCATCAGGGCTCATGTTGGCAGCCTTGGCAGCATCAATAGCCTTCTTGGGCAAACGAACACGAGGGAAGAGATACATGGCACCTTGAGCATCATTGCAGGTCATGTTTTCCAAGTTGTTGAAGCAGTTGGCCAATTTGGTGGCACGACGACGAAGGGACTCGTAGATAGTACCAACTTCCTTTTGATAGGATTCATAAGAAGCATCACCTTCCTTGGGAGGGTTGGTCATCAAATCAACCATGACTTGACCATGAACGTTGGGGCAAAGGGAGATGGAAGCGACCTTGTACAATTGCTCAAGCACCTTCTCATCAATGTTGACACATTCAAGATAACCACCACGACGACCACACTCGCCAATCATACCCTTGGAGGTGGAATGGAAGGAGAAAAGCTCAACGTTTTGGTACTTGTCACCCATGGATCGCAACACCTTCTTGAAGCTGTGGAAAGGACGTTGATCAGGTTGATAAATGTTGGTTTGATACACCTCATCGGCAAGCAACACCAAACGTTCCTTGTGGCAGAAATCAATGACTTCACGCATGTTTTCTTCAGTCAAGCATTGACCAGTTGGGTTGCCAGGATTGATAATGACAAGAGCACGCACATCAACACCCTTAGCACGGGCTTCTTCAACAGAAGTCTTGAGGTCAGCAACGCTTAATCCCCAATCTTGCTCTTCCTTAAGGTAGTATGGCACAGGGGCAGCATCAATCAAAGCCAACGTGGCTGAGTAAAGAGGATACTGAGGAATAGGACTAATAACAAAAGGGCATTAGCATTGATCCATATACATGTGCCCATCATACAATACATACATCATGAAACCACTGTTGGAGTTTTGAGTCAACAATTGCAACACGTTTTGGACACCAGAGGATGCACCTTGAGTGAGGTAAATGTGATCGGGGTTGGCAGGGTAGCCATCGCGACGCTCCAAAGCCTTGGCAACGTTCTCACGGATATGAGGGATACCTTGGGAATGCGAGTAGGCACCAACACTGCCAATGTGCTTCAACAAAAGTTCAGCACGCTCAATGGCATCTGAAGGGTACAACTTGTTGAGAGTCTCACGGTTCTCAGGCTTCAAAAGATCAGGGTTGTCAACGAGCGAGGCAACCTTAAAGAAAGAAAACGATGAGTCCCTTGCTTGTATCAAACAAAATACGCCCACGCTTTGTACGTACCTGACGGAAGAAAGTAACAGGCTTTTGGTTCAACTGTTGGGGATTGCCAATGTTACAAAAGACGACGCGATCAAAGCCCTTGTTCTTGTTGGCTTGCAATTCCTAAAGGCACACTTGAAATGAGACACGCTGGTTACTTCCATTTTCGCATTCCCAAGCCTTACCTTGCTAAGAGCTTCAGCACGAATGGGAAGAGCACCACGAACAGCATACTCGGCATTGCGAATTTGAGGATTCATGGATTCCACGGTCAACACCTTGCCTGTTGTCACTTTTGTTAGTTTCACTGCTCATGTTTCCACCACAACATGTACAACAAACCTACCAGTGGAGGCAGCGCGAGACACGAGGTACAATCTCGATGGCTGAACTTTGGTGCGAGTAGATAATCTGCAAACTTGGCGAAGCATACTAGGATATCATTTAGTATACAATAAAGCATTCATTGTTGAGTAACACGTACGTAATGAGATAGGGAAAAGAAAGAAAGAGAGATGAGATGCGTGGTTTTCGTGGCGAAGACCTGTCAAACCCAAGATCCAGTCTTAAATTTTTTGCTTTCTCCGCGACGTTTGTGCTACCCAATGCATTGCTCGGATCTCATTGTGTGAGCTTATCTATTTCCCCAACATTACAAATGTCGTCACCAATACATCTTCCTGTCCCATCTTGAAAACATACAACATAGGGTACATGAAAGACACTATTGGATTGAGCTATGTCTGTTAGAATACTATATAATCACCAAGATCAAGCTGCATTTGGTGCATGGGAAGAGCTTTCTCGGTAAAAGGTGAGGTATATTTGATTGTAGCACGAATCCGAGCTATAAGTAAAGTGCTGCTACACACGCAATCCGATTATATACCCTTAGAGCCCAATGGATGCCCTATAATACTACAACTCGATTGCCTGCTAGTTACTTCCCCACGTTTACTTTGACTAATTAACTTCATAGACAATAAATGCACACGCATTACACGCTATTCGGAAACGGATCAACAATTCTCGCACTTCCATATACCCGAAACTAACACAGCATTTATGTTAAGATAAAACATACGTTACCAGCTCTTGCTTCATACAACCATGGTAGCTAACCCGTTACAAGAGTAAATGCTTCATGCTGCTTACTCTAAAGTACGCAAAGATACAATCGAAGAGTAACTGCTATTAATGATCGAGGCGCTAATTACACGTGTAACCTTATTACGTGCATAGCAGCTTTATATGACTCTCACACAACAACGGCCTATGTCATTCACGTATCTACTTTTGGACAAATGGCATTCCGGAATAACCTACTGGATGACTTCGGCGATGATCGGGTGATGACCGAAATGATAGGGGATGGGGCATCCTAGCATAAGGAAAAAACTACAAGCAGGCCATGTTCAGTGTTCTAATTATGAAAAGTAGAGCTTGCTCTCAAGCCAGTACGTATTGGTGGAGAACAAGTACATGGCCCAGGATTTGAATCTTCAATATCTAAGGTCAGTAGATCCATCTAAATAGGTCGCATACAGCATGATGATCGCCTAAAGCTATCCTTGTTCTACCAATTTGTTTTCATCTCATCCTAGTTTATGTGCTTGCGATCTCAAGGATCAACTTTGCTCAACACCATCTTTCAATGTTGGATAATAAAGGAATGAGAAAGTCAATGGTTTGCTAGATGCTGTATGCATTATAATATACCACTATTCGAACCACAATGTAATATCATGCATCGACCCTTCCAGTCCCGCCCTTTCGGTTAGTTACACAAACGAGTCCTCCTGCATCCTTGACTCTATCAGGGTCAAACTACTTGACAATGAACAAAGATCACTCTTCTTATAGCATCACGCTTACAAACATAAAGGTGCCTGTATCTCCAAACTTTACAATCAAACGTGGGGTTTTAATATATAGATGTGCTCGGCTTGGCCAACAGCACGTTGTGTTAAAGTTTCGCGTTCAATGTCGCAAACAGCCCAAAAAATATTTTTTGGTCGTCGTCGTCGAAGAGGTCGACCCCTGGATCCAGTTTGGCTGGTGGCGACATTGCGAAATCTGGGATTGGCAAGCTTGATCGTGAAACTTGCACCCAAGGTGCAGTTGACCAAGCCGAGCACATTGCTCTATTCAAAACCCCACGTTTCATTGTCAAGTTCGGAGATACAGGCACCTTTATGTTTGTAAGCGTGATGCTATATGAGAAGTGGTCTTTGTTCATTATCAAGTATTTATATGGAGGCTTTTGGCCTCAGATTTATTACGCGGGAGTATGTCAGAGAGTGATACCCCGCAAGCGAAACAAGATTGATACAATGAAAGTTTTAACGCGAAACAGACAAACGTAATCGGAAAGGCCTAATGCCTGAAACAAATAAGGACCTCATGTCCACAGAAGGATTGGAACCGGCGACCCCGGGAAACGGAAGGAACTGGATAGCCACTCGGCCAGGGGGGGATACCCCCGTTCATTATCAAGTAGCTAGACCCTGGAGAGCCAAAGATGCAGAAGGACCTCTTTGAGTAACTCAGCTAAAAAGTCAGGACTTCAGGGACAATGCATGAAAGGTACGCAACCCTCACTTTTATGTCATACATTGGCAGCTAACAGCCACTTTTGTGCATTCCCAACTTTTGTGCATTCTATTGTAGGTGGACGATGCTCCTGCTCTAGACATTCATTTCCATGATTAAAGTAGGTTGATCCGAGCTGATTTGGTTGAGTTACGCTCACACAAGATTACATCGGTTGAGCTACATCGAGCGTGCTTTATGTCCAGAGTGATGTAATCTCTCTTTGACCGCAGCTCAGTCAAATCAGCTCGGATCAACCTACTTTAATCATGGAAGTGAATGTCTGGAGCAGGGGCATCGTTCCCATGCAGTGGATCTCGCAACAGTGATGATTGGATAAAAGTGGCCGTTAGCTAGCAATACATGCCTGTTCCTAGGTGATCCATAAAGTAATTATACATTGACCCTTTCATTCATGCAAACGTAGCTGTGTTACACAACACGACCCTCTGCATCTTTTGCTCTGCCAGGGTCCACCTACTTGACAATGAACAAAGACCACTCTTCATATAGCATCACGCTTACAAACATAAAGGTGCCTGTATCTCCAAACTTTACAATGAAACGTGGGGTTTTGAATAGAGCAATGGGCTCGGCTTGGCCAACAGCACCTTGTGTACAAGTTTCACGTTCAACGTCGCAACCAGCCCAAAAAAATATTTTTTGGTAGGTCGTTGACAAAAGTTTCAAGAGGTCGACCCCCGGAACCAGTTTGGCTGGTGGCGACATCGCGAAACCTGTGATTAGCCACGATGAACTTGAAACTTGCACCCAAGGTGCAGTTGGCCAAGCCGAGCACATTGCTCTAATAAAAACCCCACGTTTGATTGTAAAGTTTAGATATACAGGCGTCTTTATGTTTTACCTATGCTGTAAGCGTGATGGAGTTGCTTTTTCCTAGTGGATGGTGTCGGCTGCATTAACGGAAAGATGAAGAGCTGAGTGAAACGGCACGTGGTGGTTACACAGACACGTTCTTGACAGGTTGCTACACAAATGGATGATGATGATGATTGCCTTTTGTAAGTAAACAGCATCCAATAATGAAAGTATGTCAAGGTATGCATCACATTTGCATGTAGGAGAAAGTCAAGCTGCATAAACCAATTTGTATATGTAAAAAGATACGTATACATATTGAATGGGTCACTCATCCTGAAACCTCAATGGAGGGATCTCTTCACTTTTTCTCTTCTCAAGCTCATCCCACTTCCCACTCCTCCTTATTGTATCACAAAAGCCATGTACTTCTTGCATGACCGATAACCGGACCACCTTTATTATTCCATCTTGGAAGCAATAGTATGTAATCCACAAGCTAGCAACCTCCAACAAGCGTGTAATAAATAAACAATGCTTTATTTCATCTAGTAGCTATCTTGCTAATGTATATTGCCACCACCATCGTCGTAGTCGTCCTCCGTCATCATTTGTACTCGTACTTGTCACCAGTCGTCAATCTCATCCGTCACCCCAGGTCCAAAAACACACAAGTTGAAAAAGAATGGGACCAAGCAGGCTTCCTTTTGAATCTCGTTGTCGTCATCATTGTCATTGTTGTGGATGGGGTGACCATGCTAATCATGGTAATCGTCGTCTCTATAAGTAAAAAGCAGCCAAGTTAGACCACCTGATACCGGGAATGATGACGACTTGGTAAACCGCTAGGCGATCCTCTCTAAGGAAGAAAGCGGATCAGAAGGAATTTACAAACCAAATCACCACCATACGAGCAACATCGAGCGATCCCTTTGTTCTTGAGAAAGTACTGCACGAATCACGCAAGGCCAGGCTCATAGTTTTCCTCATTCATCCTCTCCAAAGAAAGAATGATTCCCAATCCTTCCAATCATTTTCCACCTCATGAAAAGAAATCCTCAAGGGAAACAACGAGCCTATCACGAGAAGAGCGCGTTGGTTCGCACTGATGTCAAAGCTGTTGCAAATCCTCTTTTACCTCAACACGGTGACCATGCTCTTCCAACAACCCATCGTCATCGACCCATCAACTCAAACGCAGGCCTATAGAGCCCTGGACGCGTTTGAAGAAGCCTTTCCAGCACACTTGGATAGTGCAGAGCGACGCAGCGGCCACTTGATACAGGCTGGGACTTGAACCCAAAGAGATGATGATGATTCCCCAAGTTGCATTGCCTGACCAAAGAAACTTATTCAATTCATTGTTAGCACACACATCCAATAAACGCCTTTTTTCATTGTTTGTTTCATTGCAATTACCTTTTCCATAGACACAAGAACCCCTTTGTTGTTGGTTACTGGAAACCGACAACCATGGTGTAGTAGTGTAGTTGAGCCGAAACAAAGCGCCAAACCAGCCAACGTCTTGAGACCAAACTTGCCCTCTATACAAGCTAACATGTCAGTGGAACCAGTTCAGCTGCAACATTGGACTCTGAATGTACCTGTTGACACCAAGCGTAGAGCGGGAATAGCAACGAACAAGAGGAAGCAACGATATCGCCATGGCAACCACCATCCACCAACCACGCTCATTCCTCAGCACTTGGACACACTCACTCCCTGACAATGCATGTTCAGAACTACATTAACACCTCACAGCCAACAAGAGCACTCTTCTATAATACATTACCTTGATCGAGATGTCGTGAATGGAATAAGGAAAGGTGGGAGAAAAAGAAGAGAAGCCTTGTTTCAAGTCGTGGAGCTGCTGTTCCCCAAGTTTAAAATCCCCTACTGCTATTACACTGAGGCCACTCATCAATTACCCTACACACACCATCCACCCATCATGATCATCACCCTCATGATATTAGACAATGGATACACGTAAATAAAAGAAATGATCCTCACGTATAGCAAAAGGATGTGTGCCATTTTACACTTTACATGATAATGATGATCCAACGACAGCCATTGCCTTACTGCTATCCGGTCAGCTCGGATCAAGAAAGTTGAATGCTGGGCATGCTGGGCTGGAGCAGGACGATGGTTCGCATGCATTGGATTGGGCAACAACGGCGAATGAGTGACTATCAGGTAATAGATGCCTTTGGCCCAAGGCTTCGAATACGGGCTTGTAGAAGACTCTCGAGACCACCGTGGTCAAGGCATGTGGATACAAAGGTAAGATGGATGAACTCATCACAAGTCACTAACTTAGTTGCACAATAAACAAAACAGTGGCTCTCACAATTGTGTATTGAAAAAGACATGAATTGGATAGCGACATTTATGATAAAAACCCGATTTGCAAAAACTATCTAATGGCAAGGGTGCTGAAGGGATCAATATTGCATCGGTAATAAGGACATCCCAAATCGTAACAGCTCTTTACGTTGCCAAGACCACAACCGTCTCCAGCATGAGCAAGATGAGCTTGTAGTATGTGTGATCCACATTCTCCTTGTTTGTGATGACTCCTTTGGATAGAGGGAACACGACTGATGGTTTCACAAGAAGTACACAGAACCGGTCTTGGTGTTGCCTTGTCCTCGATATAATGTATTCACATCTAATAAAAAAATTGCATTTGAGGTACTATAATCACCATTTCATGAAGTTACATACCAAGTTTTTATTGCTGATGAGATCAATAGCAACATAGTCAAGTTGCCACTTAAACCGTACCCTCGGTAGATTGATGACAAAAATCAACCCGGCAAGGAGCCAAGCAAAGCGGCATAACAACCGGCACTTCCACCTTGAGAATCCACCGGTACAAGTAAAGGTTTACAAGCGGCAGTGGCAAAGTAGAGCAAGTGGTGGAGCCTTTTGTTTCTCTTAGAGCGGACTTAAAACAAGCCCAATCAAACGCTGGGCCCACCCTCTTCCCTTTCTTTTTTTTTTGTCCCGTTTCCTCGCCATGATCCGTAACGCGTTTGACCATTTCATGCAGACAAGTCCCTCAGCATGGGATCTCGAAGAGTGCTTTGTTATATATCGTTCCGCTGATGCATCACTCTCGATTCACGATGTTACTACCAAGATCCAACAAGACTTGACACGCGTAGCTGAACTTCGACCGCATCTCACTAATAAAGCAGATTCCCTCTCCGCGACTTTAAAGGTAAGTATGCTTTGGTTCCACATAGGACGAACCATTGAACAAATGATACTAGATACTTGATAACATATCACGCAGCGAGAAGACTGTGCTGACAACCGTGAAAATTGCTGACCGTTGGGAATCAAATGGCAAGGTCACTGTGAATCAATATGGAAGTCAAAGTACATCATCAGGCGAACCATTATCCAAACGCAAGGTCCACGATTCTACTACGCCGGTAAGCAACACTCTTCTCTCTACAAAAGAAGCCCATTAATTGTTTTCAATAGCTACTTGCGCTCCTATAAAGATGTAAGTCCAAAAAAAGCTTCCTGTTATGTGGCAAAAACATCTAATCATACGTGATGATCGAATAGGTAACATCTATCAAAGAGGCGAGAAAGATCATATTCTAGCAGCAAGTTTGGGATAACCCCATATATACGAGAGGACAGCTTCGATTTCGATTGGATCAGATCATGTTACTATCAGCTGTAAGTATCATCTTTTATTTCTGGGTGTATGTTTATGAGTTAACGAGATGACAGTGTACAGGAGTTAGAAGCTGGCAATATTGATTCGGATGAACGAACGGAAGCTTGGCTCATTGGAAGAATATGGGGTATGGTCGATAAGGCGTTTAATGATCTGAAGTTGTTTGACGTGAGCAGGTAAGTACATGATTCGCATGAAATGATCTACATTTAACGCCTTTACTTTCTAGAGGGGAGAAGAGCTGCCAAGCTTCGTCAGTGAGGAAGAACAAGAGCCGTGTGCCTCAAGGTGCTGATGCATTGCAACGCAAGAAGATGGGACGACGGCTAGATATCATATTGAAACGGTTGAGACTCGAAGTCGGCGGAGGAGAAGCAGGGAGGCACACAGAGCACGATGACACCAAAATGCTCAGGGAGAGGGACTTGAAACTACCAAAAGTCTTGAAGGACATGTTGTCGTCGTTGAGGCAGCATACATCGGAGAAGTCTATGGCAAACGTGACGGTAGTTGGAATGTTGCAATACGGTATGTGTACAAGAGTTTGTATAGATCTTCATTATCAGTCTCATTTAGCTGTCTGTAGGCCTAAAGATGTCCTTGCTGTTGATGGATATACCTGTATTTTACACCTGTCGCGTCTCAAGGACGCATACTGTTGCTGTCCCCAATTGCGAAGAACATCTTGGATCATTACGAATCGTACTGTACATGGCATGGTGCGCAAAGATCATCATACGACGTTCCTTAGAAGCATTGAACTCCGCCGATACCGATTCTGATTCTGATTGTAGCATGTACTTATGTCACCTACAAAGGAGTCCCAATTCCCTATCAGATTGAGAGGTTGCCTTTTGCCTACAAATACACATACCACAAAGGGTCCATCAAGGAACACGGCCAAATGCCATTACATAGGCATCAATGAGCACGCCAAGTGGAAAAGCAATGATGTGAGCTACATAGATGAATGCTTGAGTACCCTCATTTTGTGAACCACATAAAGACTATCCTTGAGACTTACCAAAGGCCATCGATGCAGACAAGTAGAAAGAAAGGTTGTATGATAGTGTTGGCGACCACATCAGCCTTATTTATATGTGAGTGGGCGTGGGATTGTTGTCATGATGGATCGAATTGATAAAGTGGACAAGCATCTTGGAGTGCTGAGTAGAGTAATGGAAAATCAACAGCTGATAAATTTGTAGGTGACATAAGTATGTCCTCTGATTGTAGCCTTGAGGATGTGATGGAATTGAGCGATATTGATTATGACATACCATCAACTTTTACGACTCCTGACCGAGAAAAAAAGCATCGCACTGCCAAGTAGACTCTGTTGCTCCTCCTTCACCGCTTCCACATTTGTATATATCTTTTATGTTGTCATTATTTTGCATGAACAAGTATTCCTTGAGTCATTTTAGCCACCACATATTATTGCAGCCATCAGTGTAGCTTCAAGTAGAAAATGCCGAACAAAGAAAGCCTTAGGATCAATCATTTAGCTTGCTCCCCCTACTCATATCCCTGTTTGCCTAGCCATGTGTCTCGCCTTTTGTTTTGTAATTGCCCATTTGTTTGTATTACATCATTAGATACGTTTGTGTTGGATAAAGAAAGATTCAGGGCTCCCTTGCTCACATGACTTGATCTCATTCACTAAGGTAACCATTTTCACTGGGATGTCTCACTTCCGCTCAACTTGTCCAGTGTGCCAACTTATAAAAACGGTATTCATTCTCGTATCTGTGCAACATCAACCCACGTCTGATGCGAGTTCACTTTTCGGAAAGGACTAATACAAAACGCTATTATAAGGAATACATCGGCATAGTAGCGTTGGCAACAATTGGTTGCCATGGAGATCACCAAGGTATACTCCTTGGTGATGAAGAGGGAATCATAACATAGTGTAAGGCCACTCTGAGAAGGCTACTTTCTCAATTTTATTGTTATTAAACTAGCACTTGTTTGGATTAAACGCTAGTGGGCTGGAACACAAGAAGATCCTCTCTGAGTACCAAAAGAATGATTGTCGGCCGAAACGATCCCATTTCTATCGATCCTATCAACCCCTTTCTTTGTTTTCCGCACTACCACCACCACCACCAATACCAACACCTCTATCGCCAGTCGTTCCTTCTTCATTCCATGCGCGATAAGTCATTGTTCGTAAAAGTCCTCAAGATCGCTGCACTTGCCTACATTAGCTTCTCGCTCCTGTATGCAACCGCTCATCTGCTGGGTATCAAGAAATCGACCTCATCGAGTGGTCAACTATTGCCACGGTCAGCAAAACGAGTGGAACCTTTAACCGTATCCCAATTGCAAGAACGTTACAATGGCAATCAACAAGTTGGCTGGAGTAGTGGCAGTGGTATGTATTGGGGGGTTGTGTATGCGTCGGTGTCTATAGGATGACATGCTGGGACCCATATGGATGATGATACTGATGAGGGATATGCATTGACATGGATGGTTAGGAACCAATTCGCAAAAGGAATTCATCAGCGAAGACTTGATGTTGGAAAAGGTGTTTTCAGATGCGATGGGACCGTCCAAAGTGATTCCTTATTATCTCAAGGCAAAGGAGAGCTCGTTTGACAATGAGGAGGTGACAATCTCAACCTTGGTGACACACAATCGATTCCACGTATTAAGCCGACTTGCAACACGATACAAAGGCCCAATTTCAGTAGCTATCCATGTTAACGATGATGACAGCAAACAAGTCATTCTCACCGATCTTCACCGCATGTACGATGCCAATCCGGATATGGGACGCTATGTGGATATTCATTTGGTGGTGGATCGTTTTGATCGACAATTCAACATGTGGCGTAACGTTGCCAAGTTCTTTGCGCGCACAGACTATATCATCATGTTGGATGTGGATTTCCACCTATGCACCGATTTCCGTCAATCGCTTAAACAACACCCAATACTTATGGACGTCTTGCGAAGTGGCACTGGTGCTGTTGTCGTCCCTGCATTTGAATACATTAATGAGGAGGATGGTGAGGATTGGCGTGATTTTCCAAAGGACAAGGATGCTCTCAAGGAAATTGTGGCGGCTGATAAGATCGACATGTTCCATCGATCTTGGGTGCGTGGTCACGGATCAACCAACTATACTCGCTGGTACGCATCGGATGAACCCTACAAGGTCATTGACTACAATTATTCCTACGAGCCATACGTCATTTTCAAAAAGGAAGGCACCCCCTGGTGTGAGGAACGTTTCATTGGTATGTTGTTTTTGCATCATTCGTGAATAACAATGGCATCTCATATCGATATTTTATAGGTTATGGTGCTAACAAGGCAGCATGTCTCTATGAAATTTACTTGGCTGGTATTGACTATTGGGTATTGCCACATGATTTCTTGATTCATCAAACACATCATTACCCTGAGGAGACGCGTGCCAAGGAGGTAAGGGATCATGAAAAGTAATAGCATACATTTTACTGACATCCTCGCTTCTTTTAGCGCAAATACAACAAGAAGCTCTACGACTATTTCCGGGAAGAGGTCTGCTTGCGTTATTCTCGTACGATGATTGCAGCTGGATTATGGGACACGCCTCGTGCCGACAATGTCAAGCGTGAATGTTCCAAGATCAAGGGTTTCAAAGAGATTGTCTCTCGGATGTACACCTAATTCTATCCTCTTTCTCCCCTCTCGCTTGGTATCTTTTTCTCAGCATATCATTATCCCATGTACAGATCCTCCCTCCCCACCCCTACTTTTCCCAAATCAATCAGCATTATCTTTTTTAGAAAGCATCTCACCCACCCACCCACTTTTCATATACTGCATGTATTCCAACATTTGACCTTTTGACCGATACATCCACAACCCTCCTTCATCACTCGATTACACATAAAGCTTAACAGCTCTAGACTCATATAAGTTGCCATTCATTAGTACAGTGTTCATGTAAAAGGATTCATTTGAGCTCAGGGGTCGCATGTGTTTTGGTTGATTTCGTGAATGCAATTCCTTACCCCACAAAACGGTTTACTTTCCATTGCTTTGACAACTATGGGCCCGCGTACTTTATGGGACGTGATGCGATGTTTCGTAAACAACCACACTTGTAATATGAGCAACTTGCTATTGGAATCCTTCAGTGTATGTCTAATTAGAATGATTTGCCCAGTCGCTTTGTAAGAGATAACTCGATAAAAATAATTGAAAGAAGCATACCAATGAGCGGAAGCTCTCTATTTCAAATGCGTGACATGCGGCAAGAGTGATCATGTGCGTCGCCGAAATCACGCAATGCGCACGTAATATTATCATCTCCTTCATGTCTTGCGGGGAATGGTGTCACATCACGTAGTAATGCATCATCTTCATTGTGGGGAAGCTGATCAAGAAGACGCGAATCAGAGTAGTCCATGACATCGAGAAAACAACTTGCATTACATACATCATGCATGATTTTAAGACTACTTGCATTGAGCATACAGCTACAAACACCGTATCAGCTTGGACACTAGTTGTCTATGTTAATATGTAAATGATCCTTCTCCTTGTGAATGAGAAACTTCTCGAAGATAATACAGCATCGTAAATGAAATCCTTGCTGACAAATTACCGGATAACTCCGTGATCAATGAAATAGTTGTCCTTTTTGAATAAGAAATGAGGGGAACCGTTTGCTGACAAATCCATTGGATTACCAGCTTTGTATATACTGCGGTAGAGGGAGATCAAGATGAATGCAACGCGCGTACATTATCCAAAGTGGGAAGAGGCTTGGTAGTACACGAATGTGGCGACAGTGGCAATGAGCGGAGTGGTGGTAGATACGGACCGAAACGGGGCAAGCTTTAAAGCGTTTCTTGGAGGAGCAGTTTTTTCCCTCTTTGTATTTTCTTCTTTTACACACACCACACGTCAACTCGACATTTACATAATGGCACTGCATAATTCAGGCCAATTGGTCCTGTCGGTGCCGGAAGACATACCTCCATGGACTGGCATGTGTCATGACGCGGAAGGCTGGGTAAATGAAGACCACCATGGGTTGTATTAGTAAGCCTTACTCACTTGACCTACTCTAGGGTCCTTTCTCGCCATTACGTGAACCAGACTTTACACCATGCTTTGAAGACTCGTATGTTATTGTGGGATGATGCTATTGTGTCTTTTTTTATACGTGATGATGGATATAGCTGACGCTTTTATAATTTCCTAGGGTGATTATGTTGGCACCATCCGCCTTTTTGCTGATCGCTGGAGCTGCAAGACTATGGATCCTCGCTAAACGCGATTCATTCCCTACCGATATGACACGCAATTGGCTTTATTTTGTTAAAATGGCAAGTATTTTACACATCCTTATCTTCTGGTGGTGGTGGTGGTGGTGGTGTCCTCGGAAGCCAACCCGTCAAAAGATCATGCGGAGTGCAAGGATAGCCGATCACTAAAGAACAATGCGATTTCTAATAGGCAACCTTGATTCTCTTACTATTTACATCCACTGCAAGCTTGGTGGTACGTGCTATGGACGATGAGGATTGGATTCAAAATGCACAAGTATTGGCTCAAGGTTTCAACGTGTTTATTCTGGTAAGTGTGAGGAGGGGGCGCATGTTCATGATCAAAGAAAAAGCGGAGTCTAATCACACTGCTGTGCAACAGTTATTTGCTACCGGTATGCATCATCTCGAGTACACCCGCAATCGCATTGCATCAGCCGTCTTGTTGTTCTATTGGTTGTTTGTCCTCTTTGCCAATGCCATCAAGTTACGCACATTGCTTATGATGCATCAGCTTGAGGTTGATCCCACGCAGTTTATCTTGTTTGCTGTATCCGCCACCCTTGGTGCTATCATGTTTGTGCTCGAGAATGTGCATCGTCCAAAGAGCCAATACGTTATGCTTGAGGAGGATGAGGTAAGCAAGGAGAAAAGGAATCTAATAAGAACGAGTAAGTGAATAACTGATGATACGTAGCACGAGTGCCCAGAACCAAACACAAACATTTTCGGCCGTCTCACGTTTTCATGGATGACACCTTTGATGCGCCTTGGTTACCAAAAGCCACTGATCATGGATGACCTTTGGTATGTATTCTTGGATGATTCAATCAACTATTTACTTATACCATGGGGTACCAGGAACTTGAAGGAGGATGATCAATCTGCTGTCATTGGTGATATCTTTCAGAAGGCATGGGATCGTGAAGCGAAAAAGACCAAAAAGTATGTCCAGCACATTAAGCGCATGAATGCCATCATGACACTAATCATCAAATCTCATTAGCCCATCATTGCTTCGAGTTCTCATCAAGACTGTTGGTGGCCCATTCCTCTTTGCTGCTGTAAGTCTATTTCATTCTTATATCTTGAAAATCAGTGGTGCTTATCATGGCGATTACTAGTTCTTCAAAGGTCTTCAAGACATCCTCCAATTTACCCAGCCTATGCTGTTGAGCGCATTGATCACGTGGGTGGCCCAATATAGCGAATCGGATGGCCAAGGTGTACCTGCATACCGTGGTGTGCTTATTGCACGTGAGTTGCTTTCTTTTAACTTCAAGGGGCATGGGCATGCTTTCTTACGTCCATTATTTCTTTATAGTTGGCATGTTCTTTACTGCAGTCATCCAAACAATGGTTCTTCACCAATACTTCCATCGATGCTTTACTACTGGTATGCGTCTTCGTGCAGCTCTTGTTACAGCCATCTATCGCAAGACATTGGTTTTGAGTAATGGTAGTCGCCAGCAATCCACTGTTGGTGAGGTAAGTATTGAAAATGGATGGATGAGATACAACCAACACGTAAGGCTAATCTTCTATAAAAAAGATCGTGAATCACATGAGCGTTGACGCACAACGATTGATGGATCTCTGCACCTATTTCCATATTGGTAAGTCTTTCATGACGAAGCGTAGGGCGATCAACCTATAGCTAACCTTACATATATAGCTTGGAGTGGTCCCTTCCAGATTGTGATCGCCTTGATCTTGCTATGGAGAACTATGGGTCCCAGTATTTGGGCTGGTGTGGCCATCCTTGTTCTTGCTGTACCTCTCAATACATATCTCGCAAAGAAGATGCGTACGCTCCAAAAGCGACAAATGGGTAACAAGGATGCAAGAGTGAAGCTTATGGTAGGTCTTTGGATGACGCTATCGTGAAACGTATCCATATTCACTTTTATTATTAGAATGAGATTCTCAATGGTATCAAGGTCATCAAGTTGTATGCTTGGGAGAATCCTTTTATGGAGAAGGTAGGATAAGAAAAGGTTCTACGTGATCAATTTGCTAACTCATGGTAATAGATCTCTTTCATCAGAAATGACTTGGAATTGGCAACACTCAAAAAGATCGGTGTATTGACAGCCAGCCAAAATTTCACTTGGTCCTCGATTCCATTCTTTGTGTCACTGACAACATTTGCTGTCTTTATCGCAACGACTGATACGCCATTGACCAGTGAAATCGCTTTTGTCGCCATTTCTTTGTTCACCTTACTCCAATTCCCATTGTCCGTTTTCCCCAACGTTATCACCTCCATGATTGAAGCATCCGTATCGCTCTACCGTATCGAAGGTTACTTGTGCTCGGAAGAATTGGATCCTAATGCCGTGACTCGGGTGGATTATCGTACATTGCGCAATTGGTCTCCCAAGGTTCCTTTGGTTGAAATTGACAATGGCACTTTCAAGTGGTCTGACAATGATCGTGAACCCGTATTGGATGATATCAACCTCGAAGTCAAGAAGGGCGAAGTTACTGCTGTTGTGGGCCGTGTTGGTGCTGGCAAGTCATCCCTTATCAGCTCGCTTCTCGGTGACATGGTCAAGCAAAATGGTAACGTGACATTGCGGGGATCTGTTGCCTATGTGCCACAACAACCATGGGTGATGAATGCAACATTGCGTGACAATATTGTCTTTGGTCATCGATGGGATCCCGAATTTTATGATCGTGTACTTGAGGCATGCTCTCTTAAGAGTGATATCGCTATTCTCTCAGCTGGTGATCAAACCGAAATTGGTGAACGTGGTATCAACTTGTCAGGTGGTCAAAAGGCTCGTGTTTCACTTGCTCGTGCCATTTACGCTCGTGCCGATATTTATCTCTTGGATGATCCTCTCAGCGCTGTGGATGCCCATGTTGGCAAGCATATCTTTGAGCATGTGATTGGTCCTGATGGTCTCTTGAGGAACAAGGCTCGTGTTTTGGTGACCCATGGCATTGCATACTTACACAAGGTTGACAACGTGGTGATGTTACGTGAAGGCAAGGTTATCTTGAATGGACCCTTCGATGAATTGATGAATCAGCGCTCCGAGCTTTATGCATTGATTACCGAATTCAGCAATCAACGCAGTGCCAGCAACAGCGATGACGACACTGAAGAAACCTTTGATGCATTGGCTGAGGAATCACTTGCTACCCCAGCTGGTCAATGTGAGGAGGAAGCTACCTTCAATCGGGAACAGGAATATGCTCGTCGTGAACGTCTTAGCAGCACTAGCAGCGAACTTAGCGTCAAAACTTTACGCCGTGCATCGATGGCATCCCTTAGCAAGCAAGCTCGAAAGGTGCAAAGCGATGGCAAAGACCGCTTGATGACTGTTGAGGAGACTGCCAAGGGTAGCGTCAGCAACCAGGTCTATAAGGAATATATGAAATCATGCTCATTCGCTGGTGTTGTGATGGTACTCGGTTTCCAAATTCTTGCACAAGCCGCTCAAGTTGGTACCAACGTCTGGCTCAAGCACTGGAGCAGCAACAATCAACGTGATCAAGCCAACAACAATGTTTGGTTGTACCTTGGCATTTATGCAGCCATTGGTTGGTCCTCGGCTATCTTTACTGTGGGACAAACTTTGGCATTATGGGTACTTTGTGCCATTCGCTCTGCACGTATTCTTCATTCCAACATGCTCAACACTGTAATCCATTCGCCCATGTCGTTCTTTGATACTACACCACTTGGTCGTATTCTCAACCGTTTCAGCAAGGATCAACACACAGTGGATGAAGTTTTGCCACGTGCATTCCAATCTTACTTTAGAGTGCTCTTCTCGGTTATTGCCACCATTTGTGTCATCGCCTTTTCCACGCCTTTCTTCTTGACAGTGATCATTCCTCTTGGTATGTTCTTTATGTACGTAGATAACCACATGCTAATATTTGCTTACTTGATTCATAGGTTTCATCTACTTGTACATTCAACGCTACTACCTCGCCACATCTCGCGAATTAAGACGTCTCGACTCGGTGGGCAAGAGTCCAATTTACTCGCACTTCCAAGAAACCATTGCTGGTGTCTCAACCATTCGTGCCTATGAGCAACAACGTCGCTTTGTCTTTGAGAATGAAACTCGTTTGGATGATAACCAACGCGCCTATTTCCCATCCATTTCATGCAACCGTTGGCTTGCCGTCCGACTCGAGTTTATGGGCTCTATCATCATCTTTGGAGCTGCCATCTTTGCTGTACTCGGTGTACTTTATGGCTCTTCCTATTTGGATGCTGGTCTCGTTGGCTTGAGTGTCTCGTATGCACTTAGTGTCACACAAGCATTGAACTGGGTGATTCGATCGTACTGTGAAATCGAGGTAAGACTTTTATTACAGCTGCTTACAAATCCAATGGATAAGCTTACACGCCCATGTATATTATTTATAGACCAACATTGTCTCCCTTGAACGTGTGAAGGAGGTAAGGATTAGCGTGGCTAAGCGAGACGTGGCTGAGTATACTCATACAAGACTTTCTTTGTTGTAGTATATCGATCTTCCCACCGAAAAGTACGAGTCTGTGCGAAATGTTGATGCTGCATGGCCTGAAAAGGGTGAGATTGAATTCCATGATTATGGTGCTCGTTATCGACCTGGATTGGATCTTGCTTTGCGTGATTTGTCAATGAATGTATCGCCCAAGGAAAAGATTGGTATTGTTGGTCGTACAGGTGCTGGCAAGAGTTCCATGAGCTTGAGTTTGTTCCGTATCATTGAAGCTGCGGAAGGCAACATCACCATTGATGGTGTAGATATTGCTTCGTTGCGTCTTTTCGATCTTCGGTAAGGGGATGGAGTAAAATGGAGAATACAAGTGGTGCTCACACTCTTTAATGATAGGTCTCGTCTTACTATTATTCCTCAAGACCCCGTACTCTTTGCAGGCTCCGTACGCGAGAACTTGGTATGTCTAGTATATATGTATTGCTAAGTGTGATACTTACTTGGTGTGATCATTAGGATCCATTTGGCACGGCAAGTGATGCTGCTCTTTGGCAAGCTTTGGAATTGGCACATTTGAAGGAACACGTGTCTAAGATGGATGGCAAACTCAATGCTGTCGTGTTGGAAGGTGGTGACAACTTCTCGGTTGGACAACGTCAAGTAAGTATTGGATTATCATCCACGTCATGTATATGACAACTAATGGCTTCTTTTTTTTCCTCAGCTCATTTGTCTTGCTCGTGCATTACTTCGTCGATCGAATATTCTTATCTTGGATGAGGCCACTGCTGCTGTAAGTACCCAACAAAGAATGGCGTTCATGGAATGTGATCATTGATACGAGAGCTTTATTACAGATTGATGTGGAAACGGATGCTATTATCCAAGAAACGATTCGCCGAGAATTTGCTGATTGTACCATTTTGACGATTGCTCATCGTATCAACACTGTCATGGATTCAGACCGTATTTTGGTGCTTGATAAGGGTCACATTGCCGAGTTTGATTCACCACAGCGTCTTGTCGAGGATCAGAATTCCATCTTTTATTCGATGGCCCACGAGGCTGGTCTTGTAGAATAGAAAGCATAGCAAGATCATGCATAGGAGAGATATATTTGTTTATTTGTTTTTGTAAATCTATTTTCATGCAACATTGTGTATACACCACAATCAATGTATTATTCCTGATGTGACATGTTGTGAATGAGTGTTGATGGCTCTTGCCATAGATAGATGTGGGCATGGTGTTGTGAGTACTAGATGGATCACTGCTGCTTGTTATGTACAGCGCAAATCACTCTACTAAAGTATAAAGAACGACCTGACAAGTCCTCTTTGTGATGGATATGTGCTTTTATAACCCAAAAAAGGGGATTATGATGGATTGATCTAATTTTGGTCGTGCCCATTGTTCTTTCTTGAAAGAATCAGACATCGCTTATGAGGACATACTTATGTCACCTACAAAAAATCGTCTTTCAAGTGGCAGATGGGTTCATCAGCTGTGATTTTCCATCACTTCGACTCGGTATTCCAAGATGCTTGACCACTTTATCACTTTGATAACTCATGACAACAATTCCCCACCCACTCATATATAAACAAGGCTCTTTGCACCAAGACTATCATACGCCCTTCCTTCCTTTACTTGTATGCATATCATTATCAATGACCTTTGGCAAGTCTCAAGGATAGTCTTTATTATGTGATCCCCAAAATGAGGGCACTAATGCATCATCCATCTATGTAGCGTACTTCATTGCTTTACACTGTGTTTCTTGATGAACCCTTTGGGGTATGTATAACTATGGGAAAATTGAGACATAACGGATTACACGGATTTGGCGGATTTGGTGGATTTGGCGGATTGCACGGATTTGGCGGATTTGGCGGATTACACGGATTACACGGATCATACGCGGATTCAGCTGTTCTCTCGTTGCCATGGCAATACAAAATGAGGGTAAAGACTTAGAAACAGCCCATTCCTTTCTTTTTTTTAACTTCCATATCCCCAGAGTTCGACGACAGTGATCTTCTAACATTCCGATTGCCGGTCAACTACCTACCTGGGCAAGACATCGTGAGCAAACGAGTTCTTAACGATCAGCGTATCATCGACGTTATCGCAAAGTCGTTGCTATGTGTACCTGATGGCACCTACACTACGGCTCTCAATCAACTGCGGAATGGAACGTGTTGCGATGTATTGTACTTACCTTCTGTGGCTCAGCGGAAGTCTCTCCCACCTATCCTTATCGAGGTGCAAAGGACCGTGAATGAAGCCTTCATGCGACGTTTGATCATGTACTCTCTTTCGATATCATCTACCTATGAGGATTCGCCTTTGCCTATTGCCTTGATCTTCGTTGTGGACAAGGTGGTACCAAAGACATTGTTTGCCAAGTTTAATCCGGTGCCTGATATGCCACAAGTGATGTCTTTTCCTTGCGTTTCATGGGCGAAGGAATGCTATCTTGTATCCAATCGACCCTGTGATTCCGAAGATCTTCCAGACGACCCATTGTATGCATTATCATTGTTTTTCTCTGAGCAGCGATCGGGACTTTATGAGCATTCACATCCAAGCAACAGCATAATCAAGCTATCATATCAGATTGCAAAAGAAGGATCCAGTGAAACACGTATATACCAGGATGATCATCTCTCGCAGGTGGAAACCATTTGCACAATCAATGAAAGGATACTCCAAGAAGCCAAAGATGAAGTAGACCGTGTACCTGAAACACGACGTGCATCGCGAATCCTCAGCCGTGGAATACAATACAATGCAAAGGTGAAGAGAAGACTTGTTTTGGAGGAAACCGATTCCGATTCATCACTTGATCCTCCTCCTCCAAAGACCAAACACAAACCTCATCACTCATCACCATCAACTACTACTACTACTCTGGAAGATGAAATCGCATTTATCAAGGAGTTGAAAAAGAATCGCGTTGGAAGGTTAAGCTGGGCCAACATTTTGCAACAAGGCCATGCTCGGGGTATGTTTAAACGTTACTCTACGGGTGATAGCTTGCGTACAAATTTTGGAAAGCATGTTTAATATCGATAACTCTTCTAATCGTATACCCATCCGTATACTACTACTACATCCTCCTGCCACATCATACCATTACTATATATTGTATCACTTGTTGTAATAAAGAAATTTTCATGACAACGCAAAATTTATTCGTGTCATCCACACAACCATTGTGACATGATCTTTCTTGGCAATATACAATGAAGATACTACAAATGTCGACGTGAACAATGTACAAGGAGGCGGTGTAGCGGTGTAGTAGTCAAGTTGTGCAACATGCAACATGGTAACACAGCCACGTCTGGGCTTGTAGCGGGGGAAGCACAAAGACTGACAATGATGCGGTTCGTGCGCCGAGATGTCTTTTAATGGCAAGCTCTCTCTCGAAATTATTTATTACCATCCCTCCTTCTCTTTCTTTCACTCAACGCGCACAACATGGCCCTACAGGAAACAAACCAATGGGTCCTTTCAGCGCCGGCGGATACTTCAAGAGATGCAACCCCATGGGCTGACATGTGCCATGACGCAGAGGGCTGGGTAAGTAAAGTGAACGGTTGCAAGATCGCGGTACACTTGGGGCTCATGTTGATTGGTTCATTGGCTGCATTGCATTAGGGACCTTTCTCGGCATTACGAGAGCCTGATTTCACGCCATGCTTCGAAGACTCGTACGTGATTGCTTTTGGGTGGAGGCTTCGCTCCCTTTGTCGTCGTACTATGAATAGCTCACATATCAGTTTTGTAGCGTGGTGATGTTGGCGCCATCCATCTTCCTGCTGTTCGCTGGTGTCATTCGACTCTATATCCTTGGCAAGCGTGATTCTTTTCCCGCTGACATGACGCGCAACTGGCTATATTTCGTAAAGATGGCAAGTATGACATCCTTATCGTGATGCCGGGATTCGGTAACCGATCGGCCCGATCATTTTAAGGTCGACTTTGTGGAGGTGATGGATCACTAACTGGCAACGCGTACTATAGGCAACCTTGATCCTCTTGTTGTTAATCTCGACTGCAAGCTTGGTGATGCAAGTTATGGCTGATGATGACTGGATCCGAAGTGCTCAAGTGCTGGCTCAAGGTGTCAACGTCTTTATGTTGGTAAGTAATACTGAATGGATAAGGAAAATGGGTGAATACGGTGTTTAACCGCATATGGATTTGGATCAATAGCTATTTGCTACCGGTATGCATCATCTCGAGTACACCCGCAATCGCATTGCATCCGCTGTCTTGTTGTTCTATTGGTTGTTTGCCCTCTTTGCCAATGTCATCAAGTTACGCACACTGCTTATGATGTATGAGCATGAACATGATCCAACTCGATTCATTTTATTTGCTGCTTCCGCTTCGCTTGGTGCTATCATGTTTGTGCTTGAGAACGTGCCCCGTCCAAAGAGCCAGTACGTTATGCTTGAGGAGAATGAGGTAAGTTGAAGGAACATGTTACCGCATGATGGGTACAAGTGAGTAACTGGATATACTACGTAGCACGAATGCCCAGAGCCAAACACAAACATTTTCGGTCGTCTCGCGTTTTCATGGATGACACCTTTGATGCGCCTTGGTTATCAGAAGCCATTGGTTATGGAAGATCTTTGGTATGTATCTATCTCTTGTTTTAATGATTTGAGGAGCTATACCTTATATGCACCATTTATGTATCTAGGGATCTCAAAAAGGAAGATCAAGCTGCCATGGTTGGAGAAATTTTTCAGAAAGCTTGGGAGGCTGAAATGAAGAGATCAGCAAAGTAAGCCCTGAGAAGACCATGTGACCAACACATGACTAAATTTTCTAATTTGTATAGACCTTCCTTGCTTCGAGTGCTCGTCAAACTTGTTGGTGCCCCCATGCTCTTTGCTGCTGTGAGTTGACTTTTGAACCAAAAGGATGATAACATTTACTCACCTTGTTGTATCACTAGATCTTAAAAGTCATATATGACATTACCCAATTCACCCAGCCTGTGCTTTTGAGCGAATTGATTATTTGGGTCGCACAATATGGTACTTCCGATGATGAAAGTGTGCCTGCCTACCGTGGTGTTATCATTGCCAGTGAGTCCATACATTATACCATCGTATGAATGATGCTCTTTTCTTATTCGTTTTCCCCTTTCTTTAGTCGGAATGTTTGTTGCCGCTGTTGTCCAGATGCTCTTCCAGCAGCAGTATTTTCAGCTTTGCTATACAGCTGGTATGCAAGTTCGAGCTGCCCTTGTCACTGCCATCTATCGCAAGACTTTGGTTTTAAGCAATGCCAGCCGTCAGCAATCTACTGTTGGCGAGGTAAGTTGTATGGACAAAGTTGCATACAATTGCTAATGATAGCTCCCAAATAGATCGCAAACCATATGAGCGTCGATGCACAAAGATTAATGGACGTGTGTGGCTATATCCATATCGGTATGCTTTTCTTTCACAGTCTCGACGAAATAACTAAGATACTAATCTTCTATGTATAGCTTGGGGTAGTCCATTCCAAATCTTTCTGGCTTTGGTCTTGTTGTGGAAAACTATGGGTCCAAGCATTTGGTCGGGTGTGGCCATCCTTATTCTTGCTATACCGCTCAATGGATACCTTGCAAGCAGAATGATGAAGCTCCAAAAGCAACAAATGAAGAACAAAGATGCAAGAGTCAAGTTGATGGTAAATTAGGAAGAGATCCCTTGTGGAAAAACAACCTCAGGTATCCTAATCGACATCCTCCCTCTTGTTGTTAGAATGAAACGTTGAATGGTATCAAGGTCATCAAGCTATATGCCTGGGAGAATGCATTCATGAAAAAGGTATATCGGTGAAAAGTCTATACAGGATGTTACTCATATCAATTATGATAGATTTCCTTCATCAGAAATGATTTGGAATTGGCGACTCTCAAAAAGATTGGCGTGTTGTCAGCAGGCCAAAACTTCACAATGTCCTCGGTGCCTTTCCTTGTGACACTGACAACATTTGCGGTCTTTGTAACAACTGCTGGATCACCTTTGACAAGCGAGGTGGCCTTTGTTGCTATTTCTCTCTTCAACTTGCTTCAATTCCCATTGGTGGCCTTGCCTTTGGTCATTTCATTTGTCGTTGAAGCATCCGTATCGCTTACTCGTATTGAGAAATACCTGTGTTCTGAAGAATTGGATCCTAATGCCGTGACTCGTGTGGATTATCGTACACTGCCCAACTGGTCCCCCAAGGTTCCTTTGATCGAAGTTGATAATGGCACTTTCAAGTGGTCTGTCACGCATCGAGAACCCGTGTTGGAAGATATCAACCTCCAAGTCAAGAAGGGTGAAGTTACTGCTGTTGTGGGCCGTGTTGGTGCTGGCAAGTCATCCCTTATTAGCTCGCTTCTTGGTGATCTGGTGAAGCAAGGTGGCAACGCGACATTGCGTGGATCTGTTGCCTATGTTCCACAACAACCATGGGTGATGAATGCAACATTGCGTGACAATATCGTCTTTGGTCATCGATGGGATCCCGCATTCTATGAACGTGTACTTGAGGCTTGCTCTCTTAAGAGTGATATCGCTATTCTTTCAGCTGGTGATCAAACCGAAATTGGTGAACGTGGTATCAACTTGTCAGGTGGTCAAAAGGCTCGTGTTTCACTTGCCCGTGCCATTTACGCTCGTGCCGATATTTATCTCTTGGATGATCCTCTCAGCGCTGTGGATGCCCATGTTGGCAAGCATATTTTTGAGCATGTGATTGGTCCCGATGGTATCTTGAAGAACAAGGCTCGTGTTTTGGTGACCCATGGCATTGCATACCTACACAAGGTTGACAACGTGGTGATGTTACGTGAAGGCAGGATTATCCTGAATGGACCATTCGATGAATTGATGGATCAGCGCTCCGAGTTTTATGCTTTGATTACCGAATTCAGCAATCAACGCAGTGCCAGCAACAGCAACAGCGACAATGAGACTGATGAAACTATTGAGGAAGCGGCTTTGGATGAAGAACTTGAATACACCCACCGACGCGAGCATCTTAACAGTATAAGCAGTGATATGAGTATCGAAACGCTACGCCGTGCATCATTGGCGCCACTCAGCAACCAACCAAAGAAAACCCAAAGTGATGGAAAAGATCGTTTGATAACCGTTGAGGAGTTGGCCAAAGGTGGTGTTAGCAAGCAAGTGTACAAGGAATATATCAAGGCGTGCTCAGCTACTGGTGTTGCCATGGTGATCGGCTTCCAAATGCTCACCCAAGCTGCTCAAGTAGGCACCAATGTATGGCTTGAACAATGGAGCAGCAGCAACCAACGTGAACAGACCAACCACCATGTATGGTTCTATCTTGGTGTTTATGCAGCTATCGGTTGGTCATCCATGATCTTTAGTGTGGTGCAATCTTTGATATTATGGATCCATTGTGCTATTCGCTCGGCACGTACACTACACACCAATATGCTTAATGGTGTCATCTACTCACCCATGTCGTTCTTTGATACCACACCCCTCGGCCGTGTACTCAATCGATTCAGCCAAGACCAATACACTGTGGATGCAACGTTGCCTCGTGTATTTCAAGCATACATTCGAATCATCTTTTCAGTCGCTGCCACTATTTGTGTCATTGCAGTGACAACACCACTTTTCCTTACAACGATCATCCCTCTTGGTACGTTTACTCTTGTTACTTACGTGTTCATTTATGCTTACATACGCACCCTATTATAGGCTTCCTCTATTTTTACATTCAGCGTTACTATCTTGCAACATCACGTGAATTGAAACGTCTGGATTCTGCTGGCAAGAGTCCCATGTATTCCCATTTCCAAGAAACCATTGCTGGTGTATCAACAATCCGTGCATATGAACAACAACGTCGCTTCATCTTTGAGAATGAGACTCGCTTGGATAACAACCAACGTGCGTATTTCCCATCCATTTCATGCAACCGTTGGCTTGCTGTGCGACTCGAATTTATGGGCTCCATCGTCATCTTTTGTGCTGCCATCTTTGCTGTACTTGGTGTACTCTATGGATCATCCTACATAGATGCTGGTATGGTTGGCTTGAGTGTGTCATATGCATTGACTGTGACCCAAGGCTTGAATTGGTTGATCCGCACTTATTGTGATATCGAGGTAAATTGTGTGCCATATATCCTTATCGGTTGCTTTCGTTCAACTCACATACTCAACCTTGTTTAGACCAACATTGTGGCTCTTGAGCGTGTGAAAGAGGTGAGATTGTGAGAATTGATTTTGCCGAGGGACGTGTGAGCTAATGATTACCCACGCTGCATCCATAGTACATTGATCTTCCAAGCGAGAAATACGACTCCAAGAATACGGTGGATGCTGCATGGCCCGAAAAAGGTGCAATTGAATTCCATGGTTATGGCACACGTTATCGTCCTGGATTGGATCTCGTTTTGAGCGACATGTCAATGAACGTATCGCCCAAGGAAAAGATTGGCATTGTTGGTCGCACAGGTGCTGGCAAGAGTTCCATGAGCTTGAGCTTATTCCGTATCATTGAAGCTGTGGAAGGCAATATTACCATTGATGGCGAAGACATTGCCAACTTGCGTTTGTTGGATCTCAGGTAAGAAAATGAGTACCGATGTTGTTGGGAAAGCGTCTATTGCTCACTCGAATCATCATATAGATCTCGCCTTACCATCATTCCTCAAGATCCAATGCTCTTTGCTGGCTCAGTTCGTGAGAACCTGGTATGCGTTGGTTGTATGTGTGCTACAAGGAAAAAGGCTGATAGAGTTGAATACTAGGATCCATACGGTACTGCGACCGACGCTGATCTTTGGCAAGCTTTGGAATTGGCACATTTGAAAGAACACGTATCCAAGATGGATGGCAAACTCAATGGCGAGGTGTTGGAAGGTGGTGACAATTTCTCGGTTGGACAACGACAAGTAAGTATTGGGTTATCATCCACATCATGTATATAACAACTAATGGGGTCTCCTTTGTCATCAGCTTATTTGTCTTGCTCGTGCTTTGCTTCGTCGATCAACTATCCTCATCTTGGATGAAGCCACTGCTGCTGTAAGTACCCAACGAAGATGGCATTCATGGAATGTGATCATTGATACGAGAACTTTATTATAGATTGATGTGGAAACGGATGCTATTATCCAAGAAACGATTCGCCGAGAATTTGCTGATTGCACCATTTTGACGATTGCTCATCGCATCAACACTGTTATGGATTCAGACCGTATTTTGGTGCTTGATAAGGGTCACATTGCCGAGTTTGATACTCCTCAGCATCTGATTGACAACAAGGATTCCATCTTTTACTCGATGGCTCATGAAGCTGGACTTGCCGAGTAGAGTTATTTGTTTTGTTCATGCATTATGATGTATATAAACTTCTCACGATCATGCAGCCGCATTCCGCTTACAATGATTTGTAGTACAAACATGCATATTAGTGTGTGGGGGATAAAAGAAAAGCCTTCTTTACGGAAAACGTTTATACAAAAAATTGTGTTGAAAAAACTTTATACAAATGAGTTGAGAGCGTGTTGAACGTAGCACGTGTGGAATGCAACATGGGGGGTGGGAGTGGAGGAAATAGGAATATGGTTATGAACGTGCAAAACAGGGATCTAGTGAATTAGGAAAGATGTTGGTGTCGAGTATTTAGATGGTGACAGTGGACTTGATCTTGGTAGCATCGAAGCCAGGCATGGGGTAGGAACGAGCGAATTCGACAACCTCCTTCTTGAGTTGAGCAATTTCCTCATTACCATCACAATGAGCCACAAAGTCCTTCATGAGCTTGGAGCCAGCTTGTTCTTGAACCTTGGTGGCGATTTGAACGGTACGATGAAGGAACTCAGCAACCTTGACCATATCCTCCTCCTTCATGGAACGCGAAGTAAGAGCGTTGGTACCAAGACGAACACCACCAGGGGTGACAGCTGACTTGTCACCAGCAATAGAGTTCTTGTTGATGGTAATGTGGACCATGTCGCAAATACGTTCAACCTTGGAACCAGTCAACTTTTGTGGCTTAAGATCCCACAAGATCAAGTGGTTTTCGGTACCACCCGATGCGAGCTTGTAGCCATAGCCGACAAGAGCATCAGCAAGCTTGCTGGCATTGGCACGGACTTGCTTGGCGTATTGTTGGAATTCGGGAGAAGCAGCTTGCTTAAGAGCAACAGCAATAGCGGCAATGGTGTTGTTGTGAGGACCACCTTGGCACGAAGGGAAGACAGCTTGGTTCACACGATTTTCAAGATCATCACCCTTGTCGCGGCGGAAGAAGATAAGACCAGCACGAGGACCACGAAGAGTCTTGTGAGTGGTAGTAGTGACAACATCACAAAAGTCGAAAGGCGAAATAGCTTCCTTGCCAGCAATCAAACCAGAAATGTGAGCCATATCACACATGAGATAAGCACCGTGTTGGTCGGCAATGCGGCGCATGGTAGCATAATCCCACTCACGGGGGTATGCTGAAGCACCACAAATCAAAAGCTTGGGACGATACAAGGCTGCATTTTCCTCAAGACGCTTGTAGTCAATGTAACCAGTGGCAGGATCAACTTGATAAGGCATGGATTGGAAGTAGATGGAAGAAGAAGAGATCTTCTTCTTGTTGGTTTGGTAACCATGAGTCAAGTGACCACCAGAGGGAAGATCCAAACCCATCAAACGATCCTGGGGTTGAATGAGAGCAGTGAGAGCAGCAAAGTTGGCAGTGCTACCAGAGTAGGGTTGAACGTTGACACCCCATTGTTCAGGGTTCAAGCCAAAAGCATCAAGAGCACGCTTGCGGCACAAGTTTTCCAACTCGTCAATGAATTCGTTGCCACCATAGTAACGGGCACCAGGAAGACCTTCAGAGTACTTGTTGGTCAAAGGAGTACCGTTGGCTTCAATAACAGCTTGAGAGGTGAAGTTCTATAACGACACATTAGTTATTTGGCACTTGCATATTCCCGTATCATATCCTTTTTTCCCTTCCTCATACCTCAGAAGCAATAAGCTCCAAACCAGACCATTGACGCAACTTTTCGTTCTCGACAATGGCAAAGACTTCCTTGTCTTCCTCCTCAAGAGTAGTGTTAAGGCAAGTGTTCCAGGGATCGACGGGCTTAGCGGCCATGGCTGTATGTGTAGGTGGTGGTGTGTGGGGAAAAGAGTTGAGTTGCAGATCAAGATGGACGAAATTGTTCACCGCTGAAATACGTTGCTGATGGTGGCTTGAACATTTTTCATTATCAGTCTCATTGACCAATCATGACCTTGTTCAAGGTGATCATCTCAAAAACTTTCATTGACAGCTTGCCATCGCATCTGCATATTCAATAATCCTCGGAAGACATATTTGGCCATACTGGGAAATCAAAAATGGCATGCTTTCCATAGATCCACTCATAGCTCATCGTATTCATTACTATCAGCATTTTTGTATTATCAAGCAAATCAGCTACCCCACCCGATACACTACTTGTATTCCGCGGACACTGCAGCTGTTTTCTAATGAGTCAATCCCAGCTGAAACAGGGACCCTGGTGGGGGGGAGATGTAGGGAAGTGGAATGCATAAAGCTACAAGTGTGCTTGGACCACGCCCTTTACGTAAAAAGAAAAGGGAATGTGTGCATATACATTTCCAATAGCTGTAATACAGATGGCATGCCTCTCTCATACATAAACACAACTTTAAATGATATACAATTTGCACATGGCGAGTAGTGGGCTGCCAAGAGAGAGCTGAAAATTGGATGGCGGTGTGAGCATGATTGGTTCGAGATCGCTGGATAAGGAATACATCCTCCTCCACCGTGTCCGAAAGAAAAATGAGTCAATGAAAAACACAAACCAGGGGTACGTAACAAATAAAGGTGTGGATATCCATACTATTAGAGCAATCTTGTGTACCAGCAGGTAATCCATTCCCTTTCATTGGCGTATCATCATCTTTGACGACTCTAAAATAGCTGCTGTTGGTTTCCAAGGCAACCGATTATAGATAATAGCGATCAACGTGCGTAGTTGTGATCCATTGTCATGTCGTTGTTGTTACGAATATCGTTGTTATGGAGTGATGCGGCGTGTAATATTGAACAGCAATTGAGCCATCATACATTGTTGTATCTGGTTCATACACAAAACGGATAGCGGGCCCCTTTCGATAGCATCATGCCCACATACGACCACTTTTCTTCACTGTTATGAGTGATCTCCTACTTGTGTGCAGAACTTGCAAAACGATCTTTCCTTTTCCTTGGGCCTTAGCTATGATTTTTAAACCACCAGCAAAACATGTAGCGGCCTGATCACGTGAAGACTCCACAAGGGGTACATAAAATGCATTGTGATATTTATTGAGATACCATCGTCGAACGACTATGAGAGTGAGATAAAGAATACAAATGGGGGTGACACATAGTGTTGACAGGTTGCACAAATGGTTGAATACTGCTCCCTTCGGTCATAGTTGCTTCTTTGCAGATAAACATTCAATGATCCAAGAACCATCAAGTGTGTGAGAAACCAATGCGTTATACGCTTATAGCACATTCGGTAGCGTGTATATCCATGTTTGGTGTAAGGATCGAATACCTTGATGGCTGTGAAGTTGTCAAGTCGAGCTGCATAATCAACTGGGTATCGTGCACGGACCTGATTGACATCTACTTCCGCCAAAGTAGGGTCTATAATTATAGTTTATCACGAGGAATATACACAATGACATATCGGGTTACGCAGCCGTCTCCAGGGCAGTACTGCAACAAGCGGGGGTAAGTGACCATATCGAAGACAATGAAAGGAACAAAAAAAGAGACTCCTCTTCTTCCCTCCCATTTTACACAAAGTAAGGCTGACTCCTTTAACACCACAACAGAACACTGTCTTGCTGTCATTCCCTTCCATTCACAGCATCAATGTGTTAACAGGTGGCCAATGGCGACACTATTCAACAAGTGCATGCGATCTACCAATGCCTTCAGCTTCCATTCCAACACAACATGTACGCTCAATCAACTGCATTCCTTTTATTACTCAAGTCGAACATTGTGGTACTAAAGCTATGATGTAGGCTGATCTTCCCTCGTCTATACAAGAACCAAGGAGGTGTCGTGTGTATCGGTTCCATGGCAGCGGTATACAAGAAGAGGTCTTGATACGCCTTTACATTTCCACTTTTGGGTATGCTTACAAGAAAGGCAAATCTCGTGCTTGGTATCTCACATTGTGTTTTTGGTAGATTGAACATGTTGTTGAATAATCGTACCTCTGGCAGTAACAAGATCTTAATCACAAAGCAAGAATGCTGGGTATTGTTTCACTGGTATGTATAACATTGGATCGACAATGCAAGTGCTGTTAATTAACGAGCCTTACGATTACGATGAGACAGCAGCAGCACAACATGGACGGGATGGACACGATGCGGTTATTGGAAGCAAGGATGCTATTAAGAAGTACCACAAGGTGAGTGCTCATTATGGGATTTTGTTGTTTTTCAAAGTACATCAACCAAGTATACATCAATCGCTTTGAAAGAGCATCAGCCAGCGTGTATCACTTATCGGTGGATCATGTCAACAAGAAGCGACAACATCTTCAGAGCCATCAAACCTTATCCCAGCATCTCCTTGTGTTTCTGGTTATTGTCAATTGCCTGGATGGCATCCTGCAACGAGCGTCTCTTATTGTTGGATCATATCAGGAACGAGCAACAAGCAGCAATCTTGATTATTTTGGAGGAGCAAGCTTTACTTCATCATCTTATGGTTCTCGTTACCAAGCGACGGCCGGTCCTTTTGATGAACATCCTGGAAAGAACCCTTGTTACCGGTGGATCACATCAGCAACAAGGAGCAACGTCTATTTTTGGTGGCATCAAGTTATTATTTTCCCTCATCTTGTGGTCTCCGTTCTTATCACAATTCCTTTGAAGGACATCTTGCAATTCGTGTCTTATTCGGTGGATCATGTCAGCAACAAGCAACAACGTTGACATCTTGATAGTAGCAAGCTTTATCGTGTCATCTGGTGGTCCTCGTTGTCGGCAATTCCCTCGAGAACATCATACAGTGCATGGCTCCATGGATGGATCATGTCAGCAACAGGCAGCAGGATTCGTATGTATATTGGTGCGATAAGCATATTGTTCAATCGCCTGAGGGTCATTGTTACAACAGCCATGGGATACGATCATTATCATCATCCAACAGGACACGACTACAGGGGATTTATACTATGATTCATCCATTTACCAAGGTACAAAAGCGAATTGATGGGCTATGGATTAAGGAATGAGGATTAACAATGAGGATCATTAATTGAAGCTGTACGATGTGATGATGCAGGATGCCCTATCAGCCATCAACTACTACTGCGCGATACAAGTACTCTTCATCTGTTTGTGCTGCGATACAAAGGGATCAAGAAGTGATTGACCAACGGACGTATGGAAAAGGAATTATGTCAGCAAGCGATCAGGGGAGCTCTTTTTATCGACACGTTGGACTTGCAATGGTTATGGATGGATGGATACAATCAAGCAGTGATAGGTGATTTTGAAATGTCTTTTGGGTTACTTGACACCCATCAGCAGGAAGGATGGACCATGTTACGTGGATACGGCTATGGATGATCATGGATTGGATGGCATGGGTGACCGGGCTTACATCTTTGACGGAAGGCGGTTTGTCATCATGGATGATATTGGATATTCGAGTCAAGGCATGCACAGCAACTAGTTTACAACCATGGATGAAGACGTCTATGACAGCAGCAACCAAGGATACAATGATACAATAATACCCACTGGTTCTATGTGATCCATTTTGCTGGCTTCTGGAATGAAAGGGAAGATGGAGATTTGAAGGTCGGAAGGCGGGATTGGATTACCTACATTATTGTATCAAGATGATTTTGTTCCTTTTGTCATATTACATTCAATAAACCTTTCTTGTTCAATATGCTGATAGGCGATAAGCAGTGTCAATTCTCAGCCGGTTGTACACAAGTTCAAATAGACGCATGTATTTTCAAAGACAATAGACCCATAGTAACGGTACCCAACAATAAAGCTTGTTACAGAAGCTTGCTCCATTGAAAGCTTTAATCATTATGATCCATCTTGCACATCAATACAATTCTTATAATATGGTGAATCCAAGAGTCGAAGGATAGCACACTGCAGTGTGCATATTTATGAAGTAAGATATGGGGGGGGGAATCACATCACATAGAGGCAACAGGGGGAAATGTGTATTCTTGTTTGTCGTCATGAGCATCCTTCATCCATGATTGCAACAGCTGCTGCATGCATTGACTCGACTAATCCATTATCATCCAGGGCTGTAAACACTTTTCACCAATTCCATCCCATCCATCATCATCGTTAGCCGTGTTCATTGATATGCTCCATCCCTTCGTGCTGACAACGCGTCAAGTAATCACCCTGACCCTCATCACCGCATTGATTACGTTCACCCATCCATGACCATCCCACATCCAATGTCGGTAGAAAAGAAGCGCCAGAGATTGCTGCTGATGTGCTACCTTATCCATCCGATACTTGGCCTCTCTCTTTGTTGGCCATCATTTTCCATCGCAGCTCAATCAGGTGAAGGATGCTTGTATTGTGGCGTAGTTGATGTGATGTCGTCCAAACTAGACAATCACGTCCTAAATGGACCAAGGGAACCAAACCAGTCAATAGATCCATTCCTTCCATCTCATGTGTCAAAGCAACGCAGTATCCATATCCATATCCATATCCATAAGAAGCTGTATGTATTGAAGCATGTTGCTACACGTAAATAAAGCTGTTTCTATACAATGGCTATCTGCTGTCCACGTATACAAGGCTGTAAGACGCGCTGCTGCAAGTGAAGAGTGCTGTTTGAGACAATGGAGTAAAGCCCTCGCTAATAGCAATTGCTGGAATGAATGCTGTTGCTGTTGGTCGTGGTAGACGAGTGTACAAGAGAAGGTGTAGTGTCAAAAAACTCGTGGTGTTGTGGTGGGGGTACACACGCCATGGACTTGCCATTCAGCCAAAGACAATCGGATCAAGAGAGTTGTAGTAATGACATGATGGGTTGAAGCAGAACAATCGTTCGCAGGTGGTAGATGTACTTGAATGGGGCCAACAGTTGAGAATGGGGGGAAGAGGGAGGAAGCTGAAAGTGGAAGAGCTGGAAATTAAAGAGGTCATGCACTTCCCAACAAATCCATGAACACTCTTGATTATGGGATTGCCCACCTCGATCATGAAACGTTCACACAATGTGCCACTAGACATGCTGATCAACTTTGTTCTCACAAAGACTCCACGCTTCATTATGATAGAAGTAGTGGATGCAGCTAACTCGGGATGACGATGATTCAATTAATCACAAAAGCATCTGTACAGCTTTTTTAGCATTTATTTTGAGAAGATATTACAGTGTCGCATTAAAGCGTTTTCGAAAAAAGAATCAAAGGGTAACAAGCGGTTGTAAAAGGTGAGTTATCAAATGTGTGAACGCGCAATATGGATGATAAGGGAAGATGTGCTGTCGATAGGAGGAGATTGAAAGATATTTACAACTTGGCGCTGGAGACGGTGTTGACAATGTCATCATACAACAAGGTGGTCAAGAATTCATCATACTTGTCACCGGTGATGTTAGTGGCGAAAGCTTGCTTGGCAGCATCGAACTTGGTGGCACCATACTTGGCACCCAACTTTTGCTTGATCTTGTTGGTCTCTTCATCCAAAAGTTGGAGCATGTATTGGGGAGTAACCTTCTTGCCTTCAGCGGTCTCAGTGCCGTGACGAGCCCATTGCCAGAGCTGAGAGCGGGAAATTTCAGCAGTAGCAGCATCCTCCATCATGTTGTTCAAGGGGACACAGCCAATACCACGGAGCCAGGCTTCCATATAGCCCAAGCCAACTTGCAAGTTGTCACGGATACCAGCTTCGGTGGGCTTACCAGGGAAGTTAGGAAGCAAGTCATTGCGGTTGACACGAACATCATCACGACGAACGTGGATTTGGTTAGGTTGAGGCATCTTCTCGTTGAAGATACCAATAGCAATCTTGACGAGATCGGGGTGAGCAACCCAAGTCTATTATGCAAAACAATTCATGTCAACATCTTCATCCTTGTATGTCTCTTAAAATCCAATCCTATACTTACACCATCGTGACCAGCAGTAACTTCACGGGTCTTGTCAGCACGGACCTTAGCCATGGCAGCATCGTTGGCAGCAGGGTCGTTCTTGATAGGGATTTGAGCAGCCATACCACCCATAGCATGGACACCACGCTTGTGGCAGGTTTGGATCAACAAGCGGACATAAGCATCCATGAAAGGAGTGGTCATGGTAACCTGGGAGCGATCGGGAAGAACGAATTGAGGATGCTCACGAAGACGCTTGATGCCTAAAAGATGCATAAATACCGAATCAGTAACAGCCCAATCAAACATTCAATCCATTCAACAAGATATTTACAGGAGAAGATGTAATCCCAGCGACCACAGTTCAAACCGCTGGAGTGGTCACGCAACTCATAGATAATTTCATCCATCTCAAAGACGGCCATGATGGTTTCGATAAGAACGGTACCACGAATAGTACCACGGGGAATGTTGATCATATCTTGAGCAACGTTGAAGATATCGTTCCAGAGTCTAAAGGCATTAAAAGTAAATATAAGCTATTCTTGATTACGATGTTTGAGGGATACATACCTAGCTTCCAAGTGAGACTCCATCTTGGGGAGATAGAAGTAGGGACCACGGCCACGCTTAACGGTTTCCTTGGCATTGTGGAAGAAGTACAAGGAGAAATCAAAGATAGAAGCAGACATGGGCTCGCCATCAACGAGGACGTGCTTCTCAAGCATGTGCCAACCTCTGGGTCTGTATGTGATATACACATGTCAGCGGATGATCGGAGTTATGCATGAATGAAATTCAATAATGATGCTTACCTAACGATCAAGACAGCAGCCTTGCCATCAGTGCGGAGAGCATAACGCTTGCCATTGGGGTTGGTGAAGGTGATGTTTTCACGGTTGGCATCACGGAGGTTAACTTGGCCGCTGAGCATGTTGTCCCAAGTAGGAGCACTAGAATCTGAAAAATGATATGAAAAGCACATGTTAGTTATGCATGCATTAAAACTCCCATAGGCTTAATCCCTATTACAACATACCTTCGAAATCGGCCATGAAGGTCTTTGCACCAGAGTTAAGAGCATTGATAACCATCTTACGGTCAACAGGACCAGTGATTTCAACACGACGATCTTGCAAACCAGGAGCAGGGCGAGCTGCCTTCCAGTTGGGATCATTACGGATATAAGCGGTCTCGGGCAAGAAATCAGGCAAGACACCACGATCAAGTTCTTGTTGGCGGTAGACACGACGTTGCATCAAAGCCTTGCGAGTAGGGTTGAAGATGCGTTGAAGGGTGGCTGCAAATTGAAGAGCCTCAGGAGTGAGGATGGTGGCCTGTTCGGGGGTGACAGCACCAAGAACGGCAACACCGGGAACAGTAGACTTGAAGGGAGTAGCAGCTTGAGTAGAGGTAGACATGTTGATATGTGGAAAACGTGTTTTAGTGTTGAGCAAGATGCTACGAGGTTTTATAGGTGCGAGTATTCGGATCATCCGGAAAGTGTCGTCTTGTGTGGGGGACAAATGAGGAAGGCGTTAGGTGACGGCTGTTCCACCGAGTCCGTTGCAAGTAGTTGCAAAAAAAAAATTGGTAAGGGTGAATGGAATGCATCACATGGCCCAATAGCTCATCTTCACATGGATCCGAAAATGCCCATTTTTCCCTTGACGGCTATCTCTTTGACAATTACCTCTTGTTATATATAAAAAGTTGCACCTCTTGCAAAGTAGCAAATGGATGGATAACCTGTAAGGCGGGAGATTCTATAGTGATTTTCCCGCTTTGAACTTATTTATTGGCTCAGCGCACGCAAGTAGTACCCTATATTTTGTTCCCAATCAAATATACCACTTGAAACCTTGAGCATGATGGCATTTGGAAAATGCCAAAATGGACGGCAAATACTTAATGCGGAGACCGGATTGACCACTTGGATTAATATCCTGGCCCACTCATGGCCCCTCCTTGTTTAAGACAAAGGACCAATCTTGTGCTCCTCTCACAGATGTGAATGAAACAAGAGCATTAGTTTTCTCACCCACGTCATGCTATCCCTCTTATGAATGTGGGGGATAAATCTAGCAATGATCTCATGATCCCCCTTTTGTGCCAATCTACTTTTTGCTTCCTCCCCCCACAACACACAACACCAAACCAAAAGCTGGCTATTTTTCTACGATGCTATATTGACCAATCTGATTATGCATTACACCTGTCAAATGTATCCCTCCTCATTTGGCAAGTGTACAACAAAAAGCAAACAAGCGGCTCACTTTTTCACTGATTTGTGCTTCGTGCTTACATGAGCAGCTTACTATAAGAGTGGATTGAGGGCAAAAAGGAGATAAGATAATGAGCATCGTAAATGCGATAAAGACTACAAGAAAGACAATGGAGATAGCAGGCAAATGCAACAAATGCAAGTTTCTGTGTATTACGTTATCAAAACCCTCCCCTTTCATCGTCATCGAAACCCGCCTCCAGTGCCGCTCAAAAAGATATAGAGATAACAGGCACCATAAGCAGTAGCGATAAAAGAGAGATCGGTCGGCCAAATCGGAGAATGAGTGGCTTTGATAAAAAGAATTTTTTATCCCACCCTCGGATGCAATCGGCTTATTCCTTCTTTCTTCTTCTCTCAATTTCTTGGTTAGTATGGTTGTTGTACAATAAAGGTATATCTCTTTGCTTTGAATATGGCTGCGTGTTTTGTTGTGACATGAAGAGCGTGGAACCCACATTCTGCTTTGCACACGTGGCAACAGAATACACACACAAAAGCAAGTTTCATTCGCATCTACGTGTTGGCTTCTCTATAGCCTCTGCGTATACCTGCTACATGTTAGCGCTTGCAATATTAAATGGCATTCGTTTGAGGACTATCGCCTTTCATCATGGCGCTAGACTATAGGTACTATGCCGAAATACCCACACCCCCTTTATCATACATTTTTCTTTGTCATCAATAAAACAATCATCATTTGTAATCTCATTCACAGCTATGCTTACGCGAGAACTTGTACAATGGATCATGTTTACATGAAGGCGATGAAAAGTTTTTACACGTACTTGGCTAATTTACCCTTACTCGTTTTGTTGCTCTTGTTGATGATGACTACGAGCAAGTCCACCCTTGCGGCCAGCCTCACGAGCTCTCTCGCTACCTTTTTTAAAGTGACCGGTGGATGCATGGCCTCCCTTGGAAGCAATCTCATGCTAAAAAAGTAGTGAGCTATTATTATGGTTGTTCTATTCCTTGATGTTCGTGTCATAGAACGTGCCTGTTTTTGCGGATCCATGTTGTGGAAGCCACCCGAGTGGCTGGCATGACCGCCTTTTGCAGCAATGCTCTCGACTTCCTCGTGGGAACGATTTGCGAAATTCCCAGGATTGTTTGAACGGTTGGACATTGTTGAGTAAAAGCTTAAAGTAGTGTTACATGACGAACAAAGAAACATGACCCATTTATTTGATATCCATCTCCTCCATTCACAATGGCAGCGGTCTGCATAATAAAGAACCATCCAACTTTTAGCATGGTCATTGTGCCCAGCAACACATGACACATGCATCACCACTACCTTGTACCTTGAAACGACCGATTAGCCCCTTGTTAAACATCGTGTGTGGTAGCCAGTCATTGCGTGCTTGGTTGACGTGCCTTGACGTCACGGTGCAGCTATTGGGTGATTCACATGTGATATGCGCATAATGGCACATCATGCACCGTAAATGAGAACCTACAATTGGCGTACGCGGATATCATCCTCAATAATGGGTGCCAAATTACCCCGCATCTCAATCCTTAAAACCCTTGTAATCTATCACAAAATCAGACTCAATATAAGAGCGGGCTTGTTGCATACCCAAGCAGCATCAATCATTGTTATCTTCAATATGCCTTCTGGCAAGTCAAACAATCCTGGTAATTTTGCTAATCGACCCCATGAGGAGGTTGAGAGAATTGCAGCCATGGGTGGTCATGCTAGCCACTCGGGTGGTTTCCATAACATGGATCCCAAGAAGCAGGTATGTCATTGAATTGTATCTCACTTTTAAGCCTAAGACCCATTGTTAAACCGGCTGGTCCAATATAATGTAGCATGAGATTGCTGCCAAAGGTGGTCACGCGAGCCATGGGCATCATGGTGGATTTGCCAATATGGATCCTCAAAAGCAGGTAAGTGATACGAGTGGATCAAAAACCGAAAACGAGCTTAGTAGTGATTGTGTGTGTGTGTAGCATGAAGTCGCATCTCAAGGTGGTCATGCAAGTCAAGCCCATCATGGTGGATTTGCATCAATGAGTCCAGAAAGACGAGTAGGTGTCTTTATTATTATTATGGATCTGCTATTAGATACTGATCATTGGTATAGCACGAGATTGCTGTTGAAGGAGGCCATGCATCCACTGGTCATTTCCAAAAAGGAAGCGAGAGAGCTCGTCAAGCGGGTCATAAGGGTGGTCTTGCTCGTGGTCGTCAACGTCGTCATCAGGAGCAAGGTAACGAGTAATGGTGATAGTAAGATAGCAAACATGTATGGGACTCCATGGTCCACTTGTAAATAAATTTAGCCTTGTATATATGTAAACGAGCAAAGGCATATTCCTGCTACTGCTACTATGTCATGCGCTTTGTGCATGGTTTACCAAGATGTTGCCTATGGTATCCAAGACGTTGATTATGGTATCCAAGACGTTGCCTAATGGTATCCAAGCTGTAGCTTTATTCAACCAACAAGAAGAGGAGTACCATCAATGAGATGCTTTTCATGTTGGAGGAATACAACCAAAAAGGGTTACTACTACTTGCGACGACGACAACGAGATCGATGAAATAAGGGAGAGAGGAGTAATACTTTGGGTATCCACATGAATCATGCACACTATAGCCGTCAAAGTTGAAATGGACCCTAGCAACCGCCATTGTTAATTATGTCATCTAATGCGATCTGTGCACGCATTGCATGAGAAAAGATTCCAACTCAGTAGTGGCTCGCTTTGGCTATTCCGGTAGTCTAAGAAGCATCACAGCCGTGTACCGAATTGATCCCCCCTTTTATTGTGTCATATCCCAATGGTAAGGAAGAGGATGAAGCTATACAGGACGAGAATATGGATGGATGGATAGGATAATGAAATGGATGAATGGATTGACGTTGTGGATGAATAGGCTAAGCGCACCAAAAAAGTCGGAATCACCGGCAAGTACGGTACCCGTTATGGCGCCTCTTTGAGAAAGCAGGTCAAGAAGATGGAAATCACTCAGCATGCCACTTACACTTGCACCTTCTGTGGCAAGGTATGACTCAACACCCGATATCAAAACAACGACAACTAAGACGAGTATTGTATAGGACGCTGTTAAGCGTACTGCTGTTGGTATCTGGAAGTGCAAGGGCTGCAAAAAGACCTTGGCTGGTGGTGCTTACACTGTTTCCACCACTGCTGCCACCACTGTACGTTCCACTGTTCGTCGTCTTCGTGAGATGGTCGAGATCTAAGCTATATCTCATGATAATAAAGCGCTCTTTGGATATAACAAAATCATGCCGATACGTTATTATTATCATGCAAAGGTTGGGTGTTTATTCGAATGTGGATTGGGATTGGATGGTATAAATGCTATTGATGCTTTTACTTGTGTAATAGTAGGTGTGTTGTGTAGGGAATAATAGGAAAAGAGGGAGGGGAGCGCGACAAGACCAACCTAAATATCATCCAATTGAGCATTGAACTCATCCAATTGACTCTGCAATTCCTGATTCTTTTGCTTGAGCTCCTCATTCTTCTTTTCTTGTTCAAAGAGTAAACCTTCCAATTGCTGCACCTTTCGTTCGAAATGCTCGGCCTTGACATCCGCTTCACGGAAGCTGTTTCAGGGTCACACATTTCCGTTAGACGATCCTCATATCACCTAATTCCCCCATCCTCTCCTAAAACACCTACTTTTTGGTCGTTTCTCTCAAAGCCTTGTCCGATGATTCAAGTTCCTGTTCAAGGAGAGTAATCTTGCGTTGTGCTGCATCGTTTTCCTTCTTCAAGTCATCATCTTCGTCCTCCAAGCTCTTCAACTGGGTGATCTTGTCTTGTGCCGTTTCCAAGTCTTCAGTCAAGTGCTTGTTTTGGTTGTTCAAGGAAATGATTTCGTGATCGCGGTTCATAACTTCTTCCTCGAGAGCTTTGACCTTGAGTTCCAACTCGTCTGCTCGGGCATTGGCTGCCTCGGCTTCAGCACGAATGCTACTGATTTTCTTCATGGGCATCTATGAGCTCACACTGGACGCGTTCAAAGACGGCATGCAACCTACCTCGCGCAATTTATCCATGGTGATTCAAAAAGAAGGGGGTGGTGTTATCGAAGACAAGTGGAACAAAGAAGAAGAAAGAAAGCTGGAGACAATTCTCCCTCACACGCAGTGAAGCGCCCTTATTTCAAAATGTTTCGACGTGTAGCACGTGCTCTTCAAGCATGCCACCCTACTCTACATGGGCTATGTTCACGTTCTGATGCTGAGACAAGAGACCTTTTTACGGTAATCCATGTGGAGATGTGTTCTTCAGTGCACGGGCCATTGCTGAATAACGTTGTTGTTGTAAAGGGAATTTGCTGCTATCCATTCTGCTATTATCAGTCATCGTGTTCCTAGTGCATGTGGCACCGTGCCACGGATATCCGGTGCCGAGAAAAGCTTGTGCGATATTGTGCTCGCATGACCTCCTCCACTAAAAAACTTCTGTTTAAGGTGTTGCGTCCCTCTCTCTCTCTCTCTTTTTCTCTCTCTCTGATTTATTCTTTTTCTTCTTCCATTCGTGTCTCTACTCTCACTCATGTCAACACCATCATCAGCTACAGCTTCACGTAGCAACAGCACATCCACAGCTTCATCATCCTCCACCACAACTACTACAATCAATAATAACGAGCAGATCAAAACCCTACTTGCGTGTGATATCGATCATCATCAGCAGCAGCATTATCAAATGAATTGGACACCAATGAAGATGTCTCGGCCATCATCATCATCATCATCATCCTTATCCTTGGGCCAATACCTGCTTATCACCATATCATATTTGGCTATCATACTACTCATTGCATTCGTCACCACGTGTCTATTCTGCCTCTTCCTTGCAATCCGATTACTGGATGACATGATCCATACGGTAGTACCAGACCGCTTGTGGGCAATAGCACGTCGCCGGTTGGCTGCTGTGGACTGGGTAGCTGCTCTTAGTCGATGGAGTCTACGTTTAGCAAGTTTGGCAGAGTGGGAAAAAAATCGACGTGCATCATTGTATCCAACATTGAGTAAGCATTTTGCTCATATTGATGGAGACCGCTTGCATACCTTTTTGTTTTCGCTCACGGGATTCCTCTCCTCTTATACCAACCGACGCACAAGCACAAGTAGTAGCACCACCTCTTGATACAACAACAAAACATGCATATATACACTTTTCATCCCCTGAATGTGTTATTGATTAATCACCCATATACCATCTTTAATAATACATTGAAATATTTATACCGTATACGCCATGATGTACTATCTTTTGCCCATCGATAACGACTTTTTTCCTATCAGATGGCTGATGTTACATGTCTCACAAATCGAGATTCCCCCACCCCACTACTACCACCACCACCTACATTCCACAAAGCTGGATCGTGTATGCTCCCTAGATTGAATCAAAGATCGACATGTGTCAGGATGACCCGCTATTCACCCAACATCATGCGACTCGTGTCGAATGGCTTGTAACCTTTCTCCTTCTTGTAGCATGATACAGGTTGGGCTATGGTATGCCGCATATACGGTATTGAGCTATCACTTTCGATACGTCCTCGTTTCTTCAATGATGCTTTCATACCATCGCACCTCTACCACTGATATGCAGATGCATACAGCTGATTAGGCTGTTGTTGATCCATCAAGGACGATGATAAATATTCCAACAATGAGAAAGGGTTGTTTCAGATCCCCTAATCTTAACACAGCCATGTGGATATGTATACAAAGACAGGATAACAGCTATCAGCACCTCCTTCTTCTCGTCTTTTTACAATTATTTTGCCCGCATGTCTTTCTTGGATGCTTTAAAGGAAACATGGGTTGCTCAAATCGATACCATCCTTCATCGACATATCCCTGAACGCCTAAAAGCTATCGAGTCCAGCATATCACCTGAACACAACAATGCAAAAAAGAGACGCCTTAATCTTGACGTGGTTGAAAATAAGGCAATTGAAGAAGCAAGCTATTTGATCCAATACACTGGTCGAGGTCTGTACTATCATTTTTCTTTATCGTTTATCCTGCTAACGCACGTTTATAAAAGTAATAGGATGGACTAGGCGAGAAATGCTACAGCTGGATAACAAAGACGACAATGACGAGACATTGATATGCTGCAAAGGTAAGCACACATAGAACGGAAGAAAACATATGCTCACTAGCAATAGCGTTTACTTCCTAGTTGTTCAAACGGGTGCAAGCAAAGGCGAGAAGGAAAGCAGGGAGATTTTGCGCATGTATGTGGATCACCACACTGAGCGGGCCAAAGCACTTAGGTACACACCCACGCACACATTGAGCGCTTGTCGTATTATCCTTCCCACCACCAACCATCAAGCATTCCCTTTTCTATAACAGCAACAAGAAGGACTCCTCTGACACCGACACACCATGGGAAAGGTATACATCACCATCCTACAACAAGAACGGGTTCCATAATGCTTATCATTATTGCTTATATTTGCTATAGGGCAATCAACGCTGAAAATGACGCTTATGCAATCGAACTGCATCATGCATTACAAAGAATAGAGAATGCATGTAAGAATCATTGATTTCAATATCATGGAGGATGGTCCATTCACACATTTAGCTTTTCAAGATATGACATTTTGGGATGCAGCAGTACGTTTATACAAGATACGACATGGCAGATCGCGGGTGGCATATGAGTAATAATCATCGATCCAATATGCTATAATGTGCCCCTTTCCTTATCAATGTATAATAATAGCCAATGTTTTCCGTCAAGTAATCCAAATGTTGCTACGATTGTCCAGGACTATTTTTTCAGAAAGCTCAAATGAACGTAGAACCAACGCTGTCTTGATAAATCAATATTGAAATTCACGCTGCATAATCAATGATAATGAAGATGTACTTTGGTGGCAACCATGTCCTTATATTTATCATCATGTACTGTTTGCTTAAGAACAATAGGATTTCATCTGGGTACGATGGATTTTATTCGTATGTTGATAAACAAAACAATGGATGCGACAAATCTCTAGTTTGACATCTACCTAACCCAATCCAACACCGTAATCCCAATCCAATCCTGTACCGTACATCTGAAAGAAAGATGATCAACGATCCAACTCGATAACAGCGGCATACAAAACCAGCAGCGTCTGGTACATCGGATTCCCCAGTGATACACGCCATTCCAGGAACGCGCACCTTCCAGTAAAACACATACAATAGTCTCGACCTGCTTGGATCACTATGATGTCTCTGCTATCTTCCATGGGGTTGCTGTATGTCGTCACTGCCATTCAAGCATAAAGTTGCCTCTCACTTAAGAGTCGTGTGCTTCCATTCCGAGATAGGTACAATGGCACTCCTTGATAACAACCACAAACGACCTCTCCAAAGGTGAAATGTCACATTGCTTGGACTTTGCTATTCATTGCTGCACTGCATGTCTTGGGTTGTACATTGACTCTCGTTGTTGTAGATGCACTGGTACTTTCAACGCTGTGGTGAACCAGTGATTAAGATCGGTCATTATCACATCTCAGACA